GAGGAACTGGAGGTGAATCAGAATATTCACTGATTGAGTAGCCAATCAGAGCGCGCGCGAAACACTATCCACTGTTTCGGTATATACTAAATCTATGTATTAGAAGTAAATTGTAGTTATGATAAAGCATTTCCCGGAATCCTTTGAGTCATTAAAATAAAAAGCTAACTTTGACGATGTTATACCTAGAAGAAAAACCACAACAACATCCCATTTGCCATAAAATATCTTCCCATGTTACATCTGGGGTAATGGCGCCATCAGTCACGTGACTTTTGCGAAATTGACTTTTTTGTTGTTGTGACAAGATTTCATTATCGAGTTAAACACAAATAGCATATTTAAGGTTTTGGTTGTGGGGGACATTTAAAAATTATCTTTGTCTTTTGACCTACGGCACATAAAACTTAAGGAAGCAATGAACAAGAGCGAAAAAGTCGGGAGACTAGGCCGAGGGCTATAGAGAGTCGACGTTTCATCACAAAGCAGTGAAATTTGCAGGAATATAATGTTCTACCTAAAAATTTGTTTAACAACCAAAAGAGGGACATGACGTCATCAATCACCTGACCAGAGCGTTTTGAATATTTGAGTTCGGGTATAAAGTATATTTGTCGTCATAAATTGACAAGTTTTTGTTGCTTTTCATTAGAAATCTTTACACTGTATTGCCCCTGAGTAATTATACTTCCATTTACAAAGAAGAAGTGAAACGAAAACTTAGTCGGAAGTTTGAAAGCTGCGTAAGTTGACCGATATTGCAAGTTTAAATCTGAAAGGAGACTGCATTTTTAGAGTTTTGTAGAATTTAATCCTATTTTTACCAGCTCTTTGTTTGCCCAAATAAAAGTTCAACTTTGAAAAGCCAGAAGGATCTATTTGGTGGCCATATTGTTTTTCTTCTTTCCGGAGAGAGAGAGTCCATGCAACAGCTATTCTAACCCTAAAAGCCAATTGGTTTACTACCCTAGCCGTAAAACAGTGGAAATAATATTGAACAATAATGTGTTAATATTTTCTTCGACCAATGGACAGACACCTTAATTAGGAGTAGCTGCTACTGTCTGGAGAAGGAGAATGGTACGGTTCAGTCATGAATATTTCATAAATTCTTCAACGGCTTTACATGGACCAAGCCCGAAGACTGTTGAATGGCTCTTTGTTTAGCTTCACATCTAGCTTCGATCAGAGGCCTTTTATAATAGTCATAGTTGGCCTTCATTTTATAACATGTCTAACGATACAGATATGATCTCTTTAGACTTATCGATTATAAAAATATAAAACGTTGTTTTCCAAATTTTATTGTAGGATTTTAAAGAGTAAGAACGAAATAATAATTCGCAGAAGTTTCAATGTCAGGGAATGTGTCTTACGCGTTCACTCTTCTCTCGAATTTGCCATTGCATGCTGCCGTGTTTTGTGCAAAAAACAACAACAACAAAAAAAAAAACAGGCATAATATCGATTTTGCACACTTTTCCTAATTTCTCCTTTAAAATGAATCGTTTGAACCGAAAACTATTTTTCCTAAAATTAGGTCACTAAAAGGGATGTTTTTGCAAAATAATAAAAAATTCAATTTTTTGACGAGTGCCTTGCGATTCTCGATTTTCTCAGAAAATGGCTCTTAAGATGTTCATTGATGTAAACCAGAAACTCATAAGGGGTTGAAACGTGTAACTCACGTTCAGTGCTCGTGAATATTCACTTTTATGCGGTGGTGTTAAGACAAGAGTTCTACATTTCAAGGTTAAAAATACACCGTTTAAAGACAAAAAGTGGAAGGAGAAAGTTAAAAAGAATGTTCAATTGTCTTTTTGTGGAGGAAGGGAAGCTTTTCGTAAAGAAATCGTCGATAGGGTTTTTTGTTTACGGCTGAGCGCATGGTCGGTTTTGAAATGCAACCAGGCAGCGAAGTTTTTGCTGAATTTTCAGGTACATTTTCAGGGGCACCCAACGACAATTTTCGGAAACTATCTGTTCGGAAGACGATTTGAGATCTAGAATTTTCGGAACATTTTTTCCAAAATTTCTTGCTTGTCTTCCTCTCCTAGGATTTTCGAACATCTAAAAAATGGTATAATTGCCCATTTTTAACCGATTTTTACCCCAAAAGGGTCACCTACGATTTTCGGGAGCCTTTTTTCTGGCTGAAATTTTCGAAAAGGTAAGTTTTGATCCCTATAATTTTCGAATCGCTAGACTTTCAGCTGGGAAATCCGAACAGATGAAAAATTTTAGGGGATAAAAATATGCCTGTATCTACCGTTTTAATACTAACAATGCTATGTTTAAGTGGTCTTGAACTATATTCTCGTTGGGTGCCCCTGCATTTTGCACTCTATGGCCACGAAAATTACGTTTTAGAAAGGTAATTTATGTATTCTTAATTTTTTCATAGACGTTTATACATTTTTCTCTTCGGCGCTAAAGAAAAATTACAAAATGCGCCGCGATTTGAGAAGGATTTTGTGTTGAATTTGCCATGCGCTCAGCCGATTTTACTTCCGTGTCGGATCTACGATCCAGATAGTGTTATGTGAATTGCTTTAAAGGATTAACTGTTTGGATTTTGAATAAAAATTTTCAAGAAACGGCTTCTCTGACTATTGTTTTGATTTTGTTCATTCATACAATTAGCTCCAAACGCGATCGTGATTATTTGTACAGCATCCAAGCTAGCTGAATTACAGTTTAATGCTTCTCACATTCATTAAACGCATCACTTTTGCAAAGATGTTTGGTTAAGTTTTAAGATACTTTTCGATACGCAGCTAATGAATTTTATTCGAAAATATGTTTTAATACTAATTCTAGACTTTTAATATGAAAACTTTAAAAGCCTTTTTGCAGAATAGGTTTTAATATTGCGCAGAGGATCACCGAGGTATCTTTTTTTGAAGTGATAACTTCAGGAAGTCGCGCGGTCGTCATACAGTGGGTTTCATAATGTTACGTTTGGTCCGGGTGGTAAGCCAATTTCCCGCTCAGTATTTCGGTAAGCTTCCTGGTTTCAACCTTTAAAAGCTTACTCGTCTTTGGGGAGTTTTTTCCCCCTTTTGTCGGCCATCTTTTAAAGCAGACGCGGGAACGTACAACGTGAGGTGAAATTCATCACGTCGTTTACAAAGTTTGATTGGCTGGTTACCTTTTCTTCTCGTTCCAAATATGGTACTTTTGAAAAGGAATACTCACGAGCATCGGACAAAGCAAACATATGAGAGTTACACGTTTCAACCCCTTATGGGTTTCTGTGTAAACTCCGAACAGTTTGCAAGATTTAATTCGTTTTAGTTCATATAGTTATAACCACTGACTGGCGTGAGGTGTTGGGTGTCAGTAAAACGCGGGGTTCGGGCCGGGGTCCGGGATTTATCTTTTTTTTAAAAAAAGAATGCTGTTTTAGGGTTAGCGTTTGGGTTAGGGTTGACACGAACCCTAACCCTAACCTACCCCTAAAACAGCATTCTTTAAAAAAAAGAAAGATAGACCCCGGACCCTGGCCCGACCCCGCGTTTTACCATAGTTATTAGAGGAGACTGGTTATGAAAAGCGGCAAACATCAATGATAAAAACAACAGTGCTGCAGTTTATGTTGGAAGCACCCTGAAAGTGCCAGCCTTTGTTTTCTGTTGGCAAATTGTTACGGAATAAATTAATGCAACGTTTTTATTGGTCAATACAATCAAAATGATAGGAATTCTTTTGAACGTTGTGCACTTTCAGGTCCACAAAAACATATAACAAAGGAGTCTGACGGGTTTCATAACCATTCCACTCAATTAACTATGGTTTTACTGACACCCGGTGCTTTGTTTTTAGTTTTTGGGTTTTTTTTGGAACAACACCTGCCTTCGTTCGAAAAGCCAGTCACGTCTATATACATCTATATTAATAGGGTTAAAACTTTCTGTCACAGTCTAGTCTAGACTGTGACAGATAAAAGGAATAGGAAAGAAAAAAACCTTAGTTAAGAAAACACTGATAATTTTGCTTGTTTGGATTATTAGTTCTAAATATGTTCTTAGAGGCTCGCTGCGAAACCTTGCCTCTCAATTATATCATTTCCCAGTGTGGCGCATTCGTTTATCGACACTAACGTAAAATACTATAAGGGCACAAACAAATGATTCTCTGGTGCCATCTACAACTCATAATCTGCATCCAGTCGGTGGGAAATACTATTTCGCTGTTGGAGGCACATCGTACTTTCATTAATTAGATTTAGTTTGAACTCTCATTTCTATTCATTCACTCAATTTACGGCGGTTTGATTGTTGTTACATATGGTACCATTATTAAGGTGCAAAATTATCGTCTCTATAGGGTTACGATCATAAGTTATGATGTAGTTAGTGGCCGGTGTTTACTACCTGCACTTTAGCTTGTGATTCAGCTAAAACTTGTAACATCTACTGAGTTATTAATATATTTTGCTCTGTAAACTGCCGTGCCATACTGTGACAACCACAACATCAGACAGCATTAATGACTGATAAACGGAAATTATTGATTTTTGACAAAGATAAGAAACTTGTCGAGCCTCAAGCAAAGCAGCTGCAAACCAGACGCTAAATTGTAATAATGGGTGACATATTTGCATCGCGATCGAAAAAGTAGCCATCATTTAAATCTAGCTAAGTTAAAAAAGAAAAATATCTAACGGTTCTCCAATGGTCTAAGACGTTAAAGTCGGCTAGCTAATGTAAGTTAATCATATTTGAGAAGTCCTCAGAGAAATCAAAAAAGTGCCTTTTAAAGTAAACACCGGATCTTGGGTAAATAACGGTTAGCGCAACCACGAATTACAAGGTAAGTGCGGTTAAAAATATTTTATGATATTGAACTTGCCTTGAAAAAGTTTGACTGTTACACAGATTTTTTCGTTCTTAAAAAGACCTTATGTACTGATTTTTGATTATTTTCAGATAAAAAAGATGTAATTTCAGCTTAATATTGATTCCATACAGTAACATCAACTAACTCAGTGAGCTAGCATGATCAACGTAAGCACATGTGAAAATGGGCTTCCAGCGTTCACGTTGGCGGAGAAGATAGTTTTATCCACTTGGTATGGACTCGCAGGAATGGCAGCTATGACTGGTAACGCAGTTGTATTGTGTTTAATATATAGAATTCCTTCGTTGAGAACCACTTCGAACTTTTTTATATCCTCGCTGGCGGTAGCGGACCTTTTAGTAGGACTAGTTATAGCTCCAGTGTGGATCGTTCTCAGATGTTGGTACACGGATGTGCAAAACTATGGCGAAGCTATTGACTTCCTTTGGATTCACACAACGGTGGCTACTACATTTAACTTATTGTGTGTCAGTCTGGATCGAAATGTTGCTATATTCTATCCTCTACGCTACCAAAACATTCTCTCTAAAAGAAGGTGTTTTTCAGCAATAGCAATAGTTTGGCTTATGTCCCTGTGTCTTCCCTGCTCGAGGTTCTTGGTAGATGATAGCTCAGGCAATCTGGCCTTATGGATGTCAGTTTCAGTGATTACTATCTTAGTGCCCATGATTATCATTTTGCTTTGTTCCGCTCGGATTTTGAAAGCCACAAACAGACAATTGAACAGAATAATTCATATGAACAGTTTGCCTCATAACCAAGCTAAGGTTAAAAGAGCCAAAACGAACACCAAGGCTTCCAAGACTCTATTCATAATAGTAGGGCTGTTTGTAGTCTCCTGGTTACCAAGTTTAGTCACATCGTTTCTAAATTATTTTACTCAGTCCGGTTACTGCGGTCTCCTTTCCTACTACAACACAGTGTGGTTATGGGTAGAAGCGGTTGCATTCACTTCCTCGGGAATTAACCCATGGGTATACTGCTTGCGAAATAATGAATTTTATCAACATTTAAGTCGTCATTTTGGATGGAATCGAAATAGGATGCAACCGAAACCGTGTACACCGCCTAACGTGGGGATATCTAATGGTGGGGGTTGTGACGGAGGTGAGCGCTGTGTAGAGATGGAATTGTAATGATTAAACGATCAACATAGAAGAGATAAAAGACAAAGGATTGTAACACTTAGCTTGAATATCAGTGGTACTGATGAGTGGTAATTGTGCTTAACTTTCGTTTATTCCCCAAGGCTCAATGGAATTGGTGGAGGTGCTAGGATGCTTTACAGGACAAATCTTAAAGCTCAGCAACTGAACGCAGATCCCCACAAATCATTTGAATTTAAAGAACTATTGCTTCACTCTCACTGACAATTGTCAGTATTACACGTATTATTATTGTTTACCGTCCTCCTATTTCTGTGAAGAATGGTCTTACGCATGCCGCTTTTTTTTATGAATTTTCCGTGCTACTGGAACTCCTAGTGTTCTCTCCTGCAAATTTATTCTTAAATGGAGATTTCAATTTCCATGTTAATGATCCATCTGACAGCACCTCAAGTCAATTCCTGGACCTCTTAAATTGTTTTAATCTGGATATTTGCAATCTTTGTACTCCAAAACACAAGAACAATAATGTTCTAGATCTTATTATCATAAGATCAGGTGAAACATCCGTCTCAATTAAATTTATCGGTTCACGATCCTGTCATTTCTGATCACTTTGCAGTTCACTGCAGCCTGGCTATCATCACATCGCGCAGAATGCCTGGACATCATTAATTATTCATAGTCATCGAAGCGGCAAATTTGAATGCGAGCGTCCTTTGAATAGCCCAGAATTAGAAGAGAAAGAGCCCAAATTGGTCGAGTAGGGCTAGTAAAATATGCTTTTCTGTTTTTCAGAAGTTTTAATCTTAACTTTCACGCACGGCGTTTTGTAAAGCATATGATGTATCAACACTTTAAGCCTTAAACGAAGGAATATAAGGAAGTATGTAAACACTGTTTTTTTAAACCCGAAAATTCGGAAAAATCGGTCGTTTTCAGTATGGACGTCACTTTTGACAGCGATTTTCTGAACATTTTCACCAGCTTTCATATTTTCAAGCGCGGTAAAAGAAAGATGGTGCCTTTCTAGAACCTGAGAATCCGTTTTAATTTTCAAAATCGGTAAACGAGAACCACTCGATGATCGATGCGCTCTCATTCACAAGAGACTTAAAGGAAACACTCCTAATTGTGTGAATGAACTTCTAGTTACAATTCTAACATGCATATGAAGAATACAAGTTATTTTGTTTTAAATTTGCTTTGTCCTAGATATAATTATGCCACGCAGAAAAAGGACTTAGTTTTAACATATATAATTTTTGCATCATAACTTATCACGATATTGTATTTTAATCTGTATCTATATCATTTTCAATACATTTTAATGACTTACGTTTATAATAGGCAGAATCAGTGTAACTATTTTTAATTTTTCGAGGGCCACTGGGTTATAAGTTGTTAATACTGTCATGTGCTTCGCTCGCTAAATAAAGTCACCAAGGGTGTAAACGTGAGTCGGATAGTCATTCGAGCTTTGTTACCTAAATATATTTCTTTAATAATAAATGGAGAAGAAAAGAATCATTCTGTGTTCGAAACCTACATTTTTAGTCGCAAATGACCAATGCTCCCGGAATGTATGCAGTCATCCGTCTCAAACAAACTGGATTTGACAATTTTTCAGGGAGACAATGTTGCCGCCTTTGCCGGGAGCATGTGCTCTCAGCGCAATCGCTTCGGCCCCTGCTAGCATCGTAAAGTGTTAATTACTTCTTTGACCACAACCACACCTCTGGGTTATTAAATATTTCCGCAATACATGTTCAGTATGGAATCTAGGCATTTGCTAAATTTAAGCGTCCAGAATGCATTAGATTGCATCTCAAAAATTTTCCCGGGGTAGCATGTCCCCCAAAATTCCCTAGAAAAGTGCGCCGTTCGCAGTCCTGATGGCGCTCTTGCGCCCATATTGCCACTTTATACTATTAAACAATTATTCCTCGAGCCCAAATGGGCTCATGAGGCCGAAGGCCGAATGGGGTATTGACTCAGAGGCCATGAGGGCGAGAGAAATAATTCTTTAGTAAAATCCAACTAGTTGGTCAAAAATATCGAGACAAAACAACTTTAGCTAGCAAAACGCGACGCAAAAGCCATTGTTTTGCCTGCGCTTTTCGCTACTAGTGGGATATAACATATAGCCTAGTAGTAGCTCAACCAATCAGAACGCAGCGTTGATAATAGACCACTAGTTGGATTTTACTAAATCTCTGTAGGCCTCATCTATCATAAAATCCCTGCCGACTTACCATCTCATATTCACAGCGCGCTTGTGGAACAATTGTTGATTATCCAGTAGAAATAAAAATATATTCATGTCGTTTTATTGCAGCCATTCCTACATTTGCTCGTGTATTTTTTATTGAAGAAGCAGAAAGAAATTACATTTTCTTTTCCATGCACATATGTAAATAATGTTAATAGATTTAATGCTTAATTCTGTACATTATTTATGCACATGAGGTACCTTGATTATAATATAGTAAGATTTAAAGAAAAAATGTGCGAAAATCACGTTGTTATGAACAAGAAAGAATCTCGTTATAATTTATGAGTTTTGGATTCTTAAGCCCCATAAAATCAGTAAAATAATAACGTGATCGACTAACACTCACACACATGTACAAATATAAATAGATATAAGACGTATTCGTTTTAAGTAGTTGTCACTCAAATCCCGCGGCTGTCTTAAGGCAAGTTAAACTTCCTATGCCGAGTTGATGACGGACCTGCGAAAATTAATTACTGAGAAACAAAGCAATAAAATAAATGTAAAAGCGTTCTAAGGAATGGAACTGCAAAGATCGAAAAACAGTTATCCAAATATTGTTCTGAGTTACATTTTACCTCCACATAAGCAAACAAACGTGCCTTGAATAAAATAGTTTGTCGTTATAAAGCGCCTTAAATAATTTATTGGTACTATGTGCCAATTTCAGCATTTACCTTTCCATTGCAGAATTGAATTGACAGAAGAAAAAAATTAAAATTCCTAATTCAAATGATAAGATTAAACAAAAAAAAGCAAAGGAGAGCCAAAAAGGAGCACGGATTGTTTTCATGTCAGGCCATGGTTATGTCAAAGTGTCTTTCTTTAGATTTATCATTCAAAACTGAAAATATCGTGACTTATGGATCTTCTATAAGTCATAAGTTTAGCACTGTGGGTTGCTAATTTGACAGAACATCAAAAGCGTGCGTAAATGGTAATTTTAAAACTACTCAAATAAACTGGACCTTGACCTGCGCGGGTAGTGCTACGAATTTCATTTAAATACTCCACAGATCACTGGTGAAAATAGTTTTCCTGGTGCTGACCAGAGACGATTTCTTTACTGAAGCTGCAAATGTTTGATGGCTGTTGCAAGCATCTAACTTCCCTTGCATTACCGACTGGCGAGGCAAATTTTCCGGCAAAAAATTGTAAATCATAATTAAAATCAAATAGTTTAAGGTAAGTTTTAGCAATGTTAGTACTGTCGGTTCTGAACAAAATAATACAAATTAGAGATATAGCTATTGACAGAATCACAGTCAAACGACTGAGCTCGACAATAGACGTGAGAAATTTTAACTCCCCTCTACAAGTTACAGGGTACAAAATATAAGATTTTATGATGAGGTAATTGATTAAATTTCTTATTAGCCTTCTTTTAATTATAACTGTTTCTCCAGATTTTATCTTCTTGTACTTTATCATTTCACTTCACCATTGCATTTTATCATCATTTTATCTCCTATCTAGGCCCTACAGCTACTGAAAGAGCTACCGTTTTTCTGTGCATGGTTTCATTCATTCACCCATTTCTTTCCACAGATATTCATTGCATATTATATAAAAGAACCATTGTCGACTCTAAAGAGTATATACTAATTTAACATGGCAACAAAGATCATCATGTCAACTTGGTGTGGTATTCTAAGTTTGCAAGCGATAGTTGGAAACTCGCTTGTATTGTGGTTGATAGCAAAGAACAAGTCACTAAGAACAAATGCGAATTTGTTCATAACATCACTAGCCGTGGCAGACCTATTGGTAGGACTTATCATTGCTCCAGTATGGATCATTTTTAGGTGTTCGCAATCCAGCAAGGATAAATATGAACACAAGTATGCGTTTAGTATTGACTATCTTTGGATTCATACAACGGTTGCTACAACCTTTAACTTATGCTGTGTGACGCTGGACAGGCATATTGCTATTTTCCATCCTCTACGATACCAAAGCTTTCTTACTAAAAAACGGTGTTATGTGGCAATAGCCCTGGTATGGTTAATGTCCGTAGTCCTTCCTTGCTCGAGGTTCATTGTTATGAAGAGTTCGGCTATAGTGTTATTGTGGATGTCATTCACGGTCGTTACTGTTTTAATACCAGTGATGATTATTACATTCAGTTCAATTTTGATTTTAAAAGCTGCTGCACGGCAGTGAAAGAAGCTTATCATAACGAATAACTTTTGCCAGGGCCTAGAAGCAATCAAGAGAAGTAAAAAGAATTATAAGGCTACCAAGACTGTCTGCATAGTGGTGGGTCTGTTTTTGGTTTGCTGGATGCCTTGTCTAGTCACTTCGTTTGTGAATTATTTCACTCATTGTGGTCTATTTTGCTATTACAACACCGTATGGATCTACGTAGAAGTGACTGCATTTTCCTCTTCGGGAATAAACCCGTGGGTATATTGCTTACGACATGACGAATTTTATAAAGCATTGACTGCCACCTTTCGACCTCGAGGAAGACAAATTTCTTTGGATCAGAATCGTTTTCATCAAACAAAATCATGCTTTCAGCAGTAGAGATAGTTACTGATAAGATTGATCCGGAGCTTGCGTGCACCAAATTCTTCAATTCTAGGAGCGGTTTAAGCTGGCAATATTTTATTCCATACTATGCAGTCGGTCACGTTCGTGTAACCAGATGGCTAAATGTTCATTGATTGTAGTTTGTATAATAATAATGTCAATAGTAAACAATTCACAATGACGTCACTTTAGGAGGATCTTAGGGTTTCATTCGGATGTGACCATCCACAACATCGATTAAGCGGTGTGGGCTAATTATTCTTCATATGAAGTAATGCTTTTTAATATTTTTTTTCGGCTTACACTCCAATTACATTGTATGAATGTTGAGGCGAATGATTCGTGTGATGGGTCATGGGTATAAAATGTATTAAAATGAGCATGAACGAAGGAGAAAAACTTGGGCGAGAAAAAAGTGGAATCAGTATTGATACGTATCTGTGATCCACTTAAATTATGATCCACCTATTATTATTATTTTATTTTTTTAAGCCAAGTGTTAGGATTATTTTGGTTAATTTAATTGTACGCACCCCTTGCGTGCTTGTATTTTTTTTGTGCCTGTACCGAATCATGGGATTGAGAGATATCACTTGAGATGTAACCCTAACCCTAAAAATAAGGTCGCTGTTCGTTCGGTGGATTAAATCATGATCATAAAAAGAGTGAAAGAACAACAGATTAATCTTCGCGGGGTGGGGACGGGGGGCGGAGGGACTCGGGGGGTCGTTACCAAAAAAAATTTGCCATACGTTAACATGATTGAGGCTGAGGTACCGAGTCTGATCTTAGCTATCCACGTTTTTGTGAATCTCAATTGCATTGTCCGGATGTTTTTAGGGTGAAGTCGGTAGGTACCACACTGCGAACTGGATCAGTAGTTATCTAAAATGGGCTGTTAAAAGGTTATAACAAATTCATTCACATACGTAGTTTTTTGTAATAACTGTTAGTGTTTAATAGTTTAACTATAGTAAACTTCCGTCCTAAATTGTAAATAATTGCATTCACTGAAGTAATTTCTAATTTCATCTTGTAAAATTATGACATAACATAATTAGTTTCCTTTAGGCCTCCTCACCATTATTTTCTCCTTTTTGTATCTTTGTTGTTCTTTTAAATTGTTATACATTATCATTGTGTGTGGCAAATTAAATAAATAATAGTTTTGTTATATTTAAGGGATAAAGACCCCCAGTCAGATACTCATAATTTTAGCTTACAGTTGCTAACTCATAGCGATAAGACAAATGCTGGGTAGTGGTATGCTTTCAGCGGGTCGTTCACCAGTGTAGTTATAAAATAAGATCATTCAAGGTAACTATTCATAGGATTCAAGATTTTTCCATAGAAACGCACCTTTTCAAGGTTCTATAGCGAGCGTTACTTACCTGCGTGACAAATGTTTCTAGGGTCAGCAGCATGCAGGGCCACACAAAAACAAAAATGGCGTTGTTGGCGCTCAGTTTGCTATCACTGACAGTCAGCTCCGTTTTATCTGCCCGGATTGTTGGCTTCATGGCCCTTGGAGGATCTCAGTATATTAACATGAAGCATATCATGGAAGAACTGGCTTCCCGGGGCCACCAGGTAGATAAAGAGTCAGTGGTTTTAATATTCCAGAATATTCATGCGACACATTCAAGTTGTAAACTTAATACTGCAGAGGGCTTCATTGATACAATCTCTTGAAAAGATGTCCCAAATACTAAAGGGGGTATTATTTTGTTAGATTATTTCTTTCCTATTTTAAAAGGTTTGTAAACAACGTTTGATTTTAGGAAAGGCCACTTTAATGAAAAACTCATCGATCAGGTTATGGAACATCAGAAAGCCGATTCGATCGCATAATTTATCTATTGTTTTTACTCTCATATTTCATGCAAATGACTGTGTGCGTTTTCATGACTTAACTGGAACGGACAGTGGTTTCTTGCTAAGTAAAAATTAAAAGCATTTTAATGCCTTGTCCTACGAACAGGGGCACCCAACGAGAATTTAGTTCAAAACCGCTAAAACATAGCATTGTTAAACGTATTTTGGTATTTAAACGGTAGATATAGGGATATTTTTATCCCCTAAAAATTTTTCATCTGTTCGGATTTCCCAGCTGAACGTCTAGTGATCCGAAAATTATAGGGATCAAAACTTACCTTTTCGAAAATTTCAGCCAGAAAAAAGGCTCCCGAAAATTCTAGGTGACCTTTTTAGGGTAAAAATCCGTTAAAAATAGGCAATTATACCATATTTTAGATGTTCGAAAATCTTAGGAGAGGCAGGCAAGCAAGAAATCTTACAACAAATGTGCGAAAATTCTAGATCTCAAATCGTCTTCCGAACAGATATTTTTCCGAAAATTGTCGTTGGGTGCCCCTGTACGAACAGCACACGGGCTCCTAATTATTAATTACAATCTTGCGTGACAAACCGGTCGGCAACGCAAAAGTTTTCCCACACGCAAATAAATGATTGCCACCGACCATAAACGTACTACACTGTAGATATCGGCATCTGTATGATTAATATCGGTTAGCTTAAGGTGATTTTACCCAGGACTATTCGCAACGACTATGTTTAGCGCAAAACCGCGTTGCAATGTTGGAACAGTGTTGCAACCATGAAACAATGTCGCAACAAAGTTGCAACGCTGGGCTGCGCTAAAAATCGTCGTTGCGAATCGTCCCGTGTAACATCACCTTTAGAGCAGCAATCGGTACTGACATTTAAGGTGGTTCCATAGTAAAAGAACCTAACATAGATTTTAGCTAAAACTTGGTACACTGATGTAACAAGTCAAGAAGATGATAAAAAAGTAATAAAAAGTGGGGGTCACCGTGCTCGTTTTGACGTCACAATGCTGACAAATACGGCTATTTAGGACCCTTTTACAAAAACCGCGGGCAGCGCAAAACTAGACAAAAAGGAGAGATTTTTTCGATGATGCATGTGACATCACACAGAATTTGACTTTTATGTATTGTTTATCCACTTACGTACCAGAAAAATGCCCTTTAATGCCCTTGTTTTTACTTTACGCTCCAAAGTAGAATTAAATTGGACGCGCGCTTTTCGACCCGTGATGGCTCAATCCGTACAATTTAGTAAAATTGCCAAAAAACTGAACATAGATTTGTGCCAATTTTTTTCTCATCGAAAGGAAGCACTGTCCTTATTAAAATCATGAAATAAAAAATGGGGGTCACCGTACTCGTTTTTGCGGTAGAGCTGCAGAAAGTGCGCACCAAACGCATTTTCTCCGATTTTTGAGAGAGGACTGGGGCGAGTTTCAAAATAGAATGTATGTGAAAAGGGGAAGAAAGTATTAAAAAGTCCGTTTTTACAGAATTTACATCGAGATATCACATTTAGGACACAATGTGGTAAAGAAAGTGTTTAAATGAAACTCAAAGTGAGTAAGCACAAGTTAAACATCCACTATCGAGGTTCTCCGAGAGGAGGTCGAACTCAGCAACACGCGTACTGCTTACGTTATGCGCATTCGCAACGCATTGAGTCTCACCTCGGCAAGAAACAACAGCAAGCAAAAATTCCAATAGCGTTTCTCTTCAGTCAACTTCATTTTAATAACATTACTTCACGTGCTCTTTTTTACGGTGGCCATCTTGTTATGCGCAGTAAGAGATGCGCAGTGCAAAACTAGGGAATCACCTTAATGTAAATGCGTGACTTGAGTCACGCTCTACATGATTGTCGGTTTTTCTCATAAGTTTGGCTCCAAGACTGATTATTTTTTAGAACATTCTATATGACATAATTTACTCCGCAAGCTGAATCTATTGGAGGCAAAATTAACGGGCTACTTACAGGCTTAAATATGTAGGGACAAAATTCAGTGGAGTGCAATGTTGCGTTTACATTTCACGCTTGTGAAATGGGAAAAAACAAACGCAAGCGCAATGCAAGGAAAAAAAATTTTTTTTTTACCGCTTATCTAAAGTAATTATTGACTTGAACTACTGCGAATCAAAAACGTTGCTTAAAGAAATAAGTCACTTTCTTTCGATTCATTCAGTTGAAATAACTGGTGTCTGAAATATAACTTGTTGTAATACCCAAAATTGAAAATAAACAAACCAATCACCTGACATTTGGATTTACTTTGATTTAAGGTCAATGCGTGAGTGGAAGCATCATCGGAGAACTCGTTTGTAATTCATAGATTACTTTTCGTTTGCATACTTGCTACACAAAACTATCTATTGTTTAAAAACGAGCCTGTATTTTTGGTGGATTAGCGTGTATAAATTCAGAGCCACACTGCGCACCGCCCCTTACACATGAAAGCACCTATATTTGGTTTCACGTGACTAATCGCTGACAGGGACCCCTCTCGCGAAAAGGAGACCAATCATGATTTCAAGGTGGCTAGCACAGCAGAAAAAAGACAAGGTAAGCAAGGTAACTCGTGCTACTGTATATTGGTACCTGCTGAATTTTTATTCGAGCCTTGCCAAAATGTTCGCTTGTGTAGATGATTTAAGGAATGGTAACTGGAAAGTAAAATATTGTTGTCCATAAACTATACTGCGAACGTGGTTCAATGGACCGGTTTTATAGACAGCGTGAGTGGCGTTGGTGTCTACCCACAATAATAGGGTCAGAGGGCGCTTAAGAATTAAAAATCTACGTTTAAATGAACTTGAGTAGATAGGTGGAGCTTGATTGTCCACTGGAGGTGGTCCTGAATTGGTCTGTTGTTGACAATGACTGATGCTTCGCTGCTACTGTAAAATACTTTTTTTCTTATTAATAGGTGTCGCTGCTGGTTCCATCCTCCCAAAAAATTAAATCAATTGAGAAGGTGCCACACAAAATGTACCAGGTTCCTCTCAAACCTGACTACCTCGACGCTTTCGTCAGGCTTGAAATGGAGGGATCTTGGTTTCAGGCCATTAAGAGTCACTGACTCCAAATATCGAGAATCGCTGGACAGGTTCGAAAAATCGAAAACCCTGAAACTTTGCCTCAAGAACGCTTTTAGGGAGATGTCTTCGAAAATGTTATTCCGATTTTCTAAGAATTTAATTCTTAGAAAATCGGAATAACATTTTCGAAGATAGCTCCCTAAAAGCGTTCTTGAGGCAAAGTTTCAGGGTTTTCGATTTTTCGAACCTGTCCAGCGATTCTCGATATTTGGAGTCAGTGACTCTTAAAAGAGGAAGGGAACTCCAAAGTATCATATGCGAAGGGGCTTTAAACAGCTCAGAAGTACTGGCGAAGTTGAAAGATTTTGACTTGCTCGTTTACGAAACTCCCATGGGAATGTGCGGTCCGCTGGTTGGTGAGCTTCTTGGCATTCCGCGAGTGGAAATTTTGATCTCCTCACCGAACACCCCGTTTGGTTTTGACCACATGTTTTCCATGCCTGTCTCCTATGTCCCGCTGAACATGCTTGGATTCTCTGATGAGATGACGTTTATGGAACGAGTTATTAACTTGGTTTCGTATCTTAGTTGCAAGCCATTGTTTGATGTTGTTTTCGGTACTATACTGAATAGTCTCAAGGTTAAGTACAATGTTAAACCTGAAAGAAGTTACCAGGAAGCTCTTGGGGATGCTGAACTGGTTTTGATTGCAGCAGATTTTGCGTTGGAGTATCCTCAACCTCTGTTACCAGGTATGAAATGCCGTCTATCATAAGTAACGTATTCGAAGTAAGCCACAGTGCAACTATACTCGATTAATTTTTCCCTTTTGGCTTCAATAGGACGTGTAAAAGGTTATTGAAAATTCCTTCGCTGGCTTTAAAAGCTTACAATCCTTTCCATTAGACTGCGAGCAGTCTCTCTTTTTCTTCAGATTTAGTTAGCGGGGTGCGCTCGCGGGCGAGCGTCGAGCGGCGAAGCCGCGAGACGCGAGAAACGAGGGCGCCAGCACGAGAACAAAAAAGAGAGACTGCTCGCATAGCCAGAGCAAATGAGCTATATGCGTTGGCCTCACAGCACAAAATACGATTGGCTGATGCGTGAAGCGTTGACAAGGAACTGTCAACAATCGAAACCATTGACAAGTTGATGATGGCTGAAGCACTGCAGGAATGTTTTACATGTTCCCGAAAATAGAAAAAAGAATTAGATATAGAGCAAAAAGAAGCATTAGAAGGTCTCATTTCTCCGGGTACGTGACGTGATCGCAATTTAAATGCTCAAGGCCTCTCTTCGTTGACGAGGAGCGCTTTTACTGGAAGACTGTTAGACTGTTTATTTTAAAAAGCTACTACCAAATAATTACCCACTACTAATTACCGACGGATGCACTCCAGGTCAACGAGCAAAAAACAAATCGACGCCCGAAGAATGATTCTGAGTGACTTGCAGCGCAGCGCTTAGTTTTAGTTAAGCCGTATTAGGATATGTACAACACTACCCGGTGAGAATTTAACATCCCGCAAACAAGAAAAGAGCTAGGCCCCGGGTTCAAAACATAAACAACAGGAAATGACTTATTAATATGCGAGAAATAGACCAGCTTCATGACCTCTAAATGTGAGACTAGCGCCAAAATTAAGATTTGTTCAGTCATTTAGTTTAGAATCGACTCTATGCACTGCATCAGCCACGCGTTAAAAAGAAAAGAAAAAAAACCTCTGATGTTCAAGCAAACTCTATGGTCACGTTTCACTTGCTTAGCCTGTCAACACTTCAGTTTTCACGCCAAAAAAACACTAGACCAAAAAAGACCATTCTCTCTGGCTTTGCGGGTAGTCTCTCTTTTTTCGTACCTCCCGTCTGATATCACTCATCCCTGTAAAAAAATATACGGGGATGCAAGATACGGCTCCCATAACATCCGTTCACCCGCGGCCCATACATTCAGGCTCCAGTCTGTACTGAGAGTGCTTTCCTCTACCGATTTACCTTTGCGCACCAACATAGCCGCTGTTTGCTAATTGTAACACACCAGTATAGCCGCTGGGACGTCATGTGAAAAAGCTCCATTTGTGTCCCAAGTTTCTGATTGTCATAGTTTTTTTATTTCTTCAAAGATTTGGAGGAGTAAAAAAGTCGATGGTGGTGAGATACCTCATTTAAGCCTTAGACGTTCACTATGATTTAGCTTATTTCGGTACTAGATATATATACTTCTCCCTGAAGTGTTTTGTGGGATGGGGCGTTTGCTATTCACCCATGATTTCGGAAATGTCGATGGAAATCTCCATCGGATGAAGGAAGCGTGTTATTCAAGGTCCATTCGTTCCCTTCCACTAAAATTCATAATGGCCGTACATACATGGTACGGAAAAACTCGAAACTGGTGAAACGATGGAAAACACGTTAATGGAACAGGAATTTCTACTGAAAAAGTTTCCAGGGGAAAAAGAAGACCATCAGTTAAATTATGTTTTATTAATTCCACTCATCCCTGGGAAATTTCCAGCGGTACGCCCGAAAAATACCTGAATTTTCCGTATCTCTTGGTTAAAATAGAAGGCGTCCTTTATTAACAGCTCACCGGATGGTTGGACCACTTAATGTCAAAAGTGATGTTAAATCTCTACCTCGTGATCTCGAAGAATTTGTTAGTGGTTCAGGAGGGCATGGTTTTATCATTGTTTCCTTTGGATCAAATGTGGCTTCCATTCTTCCTCGAGACCTTGTAGATATGCTTGCAACAGCTTTTGGAAAGCTAAAACAGCTGGTGTTGTGGAGACTTAAAGGTAACTTATGTATATTTGTAAATTATCCTTGGTTTTGTGTGAAATCAGTAAGATATGAGATTCTCTCGTCAGGTCATCAAGAATTTACTGGCAAATTCTTTCTTGCAGGCTACATCCCAACCTTTCTTGCTAAAAACATCAAAGTTATGGATTGGTTACCGCAAAATGATCTATTGGCTCACAAAGATATCAAGGCGTTTGTCTCACACGTGGGTCACAACAGTCTGTATGAGTCTGCATATCACGGGGTTCCCTTGGTCTGTTTCCCACTGTTTGCAGAGCAGCATGCAAATGCCAAAAAAGTGGAACATTTTGGACTCGGTTTAGCGGTGTATCACGAACATACTAATGCCCATCTACTTTCTGAAACGATTAAGCTGGTTGTAAGCGAACAAAGGTAATTTCCATTTCCTTTTGAATTTATTTATTAACGATTCGTCCTTTGAATGGACAAAAGCGTTTGAGTGTCGAAGGCTGAATTCGTTGTACTGCATCAAATAGTTACGTCTAGTCATAAATAAATTAAATTTAATACTCTTTAAATGATGACTCCATTGGACGTTTCAGTGGCCAATAACCTTTTCACTTTGGTTGCGAAGTATCTTACTATTAGCAGCTGTTTTAACACAGAACTCGTGTGATACACTTAAGAGTTTCGGATGAAGTAAGTTTTTCTATTCCTCCGTTTCCACAGCTACGTTTTTAACGTTATTACCGTCTCTATATTTCCTCCTCAATTTCTTTGAAATGTGAAAGCTGAAGACTCGTGTATAGTTTGCCTTACAAAAGTAACTGTTACTTGTCTTGAGTTTTGACCGCGCACTGCTTGTCTTACGTTCATTACATCAGTTCACATGAGCTGCGAGCTGAATTTGAAATCGACTCATTTGAAGTGAAACGTTGACCCAGTTAAGTTCGGCTCTTTATTCTGATTTGGATCGGCTGAGGAGTTCTGTGTCTGGCCAAGTCGCTAAACAAATAGACCGGCTCGCTAATTTTGGTCGATTCAAGCTGTGATTAAGCACGACTCATTTGAAGGACGGCGTTTGACCTATGCCTTAAAGGCTACCAATTCCCAAAGGAAGCTTTGCAGTAAGGTATATGCCTTCTGGAAAACTCCGTTAACTACTATTCGCACCAGCCCAACCTGCAATTCTACTGTGCTAAAACATTTCTAATTATACCTTCCAGACAAACTGTACCACCACCTCCACCACCAAATTTTGCAATTCTTAAAGATTAATCGTCAACCATTTAGTATAGTTCATAGGTGGATCGTGGATGGTCCATGGACGCTTCATAATCCTTTACACAAAAGGAAGTATATGACTGGTTTCATACAGTAGACTTGTTCGGATACAACATGCCAATAATATTAAAAGAAAGTTCCTCTTCTCTAGATTCAAGCAAACTGCAATGCGTATATCCAGCTTGTTAAAAGACCGTCGACGCGCTCCTCTACAAGAGGCCTGTGACTGGATAGAGTATGTACTGAGACATGGAGGAGCCAAGCATCTTAGACCTCAAGTGTTTTACACTCCTTGGTATCAGTATTATTTGTTTGACGTCATTGCTTTTATTGTTACGGTGATTATTTTGGTTGCTATAGCGATGAGGTTGATATGTAGATTCATTTGCGGTCTGTGCTGTATGAGAGAAGGAAGCAAAGAGAACAGGGGGTGAAACGAATCAGAGTGGCTTGGAACACTGAAAAGTCAATGTTTAAGAAGGTATAATTGTAGTCACGGTTTGGCTTTGAAAAACGGAGACAACTGTCTGCAAGGTGTGTCATTTTTATATGCAATGTAATGTTAGGTACCGTTTTGGTGCCCACAGTTTTAGCTATCGCAAATATTACCTAACATAACATTACGCATAAAATATGACACACCTTGCAAAATATTTTTACGCCTGTTTCCTAGACGCATTACCACGTGGTTTGTCCTTCCTATACACAAATCCGTAGGAGTTTTGTATCCAGTGTAAAATTACGTTCGTTGTGGCTATATATACAAGCATTTTTAGTTGCATTTTAAAACTCCCTGATAAAGTCCCTAAAGATAGGGTCGGTTATTTAAAGGGGTTTAGCCCGAATTTAAAAATACCGCGTTTTAGCCATGCATTTCCAGTTTGCTCGACGCTTTTATCTAAACACCATTTATCGCGAACAACTTCAATAAAGCATATAGCGTAGACTGGAAAAGCACTTATTTTCGTAAGTAAATCCATTAACAAATTATCGTTGTCGAAACGTCATATTTTCATCCGGTTATTTTCTGTGCTTTAATGTTCTTCTTCTTTTTTTCTAATAATTTATAATTAGTTTCTCTTTATTTAATACCTGTTTAAACTTTAACTGAGATCTTTTTATTCAGACTGGGTGAAGAAATTGGTACTTGATCCTGTCTTCATGGTTGAAACAACACAAATCAAGATACTTTGTCAGTGCAAAAATTTTAACGTAAAACACAAGCTTTCAATTTCATCGCCATACTTAGATTCCCAGTCCGACAAAATCGAAAGCTTGTGCTAGGATGATTCTATGAACAATTCCTGAGGATAAGATGCCTTTGTATTTTGTTGTCTTGGATTTTGTTATACACCAGCTTATTCGTGTTGTATATATCTTGGACAGACTTTACGTACAGTATATGTACATCTCTTTTAAGGGATTTTTTTGTATTTTGTTCAAATATACCATTTTCGTATTCTCCGCAAAACGCGAAAAACTAGACTCGTTTGGGATGATTCCTTATTTTTAGATCACTATACAGCCTACAACAAAATAATAAGTAACAATCTTTAAAACGTCGTCGTTTATATGTAGAGAAAAGGTGTTTGAGCTACCCTGGCAAGCCAACTTTTCCTACATTCCCTCATAAAACTTGGCAAACCGTTTACATGAGAAACAAAAGGTAGGCTCGGCCAGCTTTTACGATAGTTGGGTCACCCACCTGGTCGGGCAAACTTTTTTCCATTTAAAAATCTTCGCTCGCCCAGCTGGGCAAACTTGATCAAGGCAGGACGATCAGAAGCATGTGCGAACTGAGCGTAGCGTTGGCTCAGGCAAAGAGCTCATAGAAGCTCTCTCTAAAGTTGACTCGGCTGGGAGGTTTACTCTCTTTCTCGGGTCAAATTCTCTCCATATAAATGGGCCTAATATAGTCTGAGATACATGTATAAGATACATGTAATTTATAGATTTGGCCAGGGCTAAAAGCGAAGCTCTCGTCACTTGATATTATTATAATTTACTCAGAAAATAAAATCGTGTAATGCCAAACGGCGAAGGCGACGAAGAACAGCAAAAAAATCAGTAGGTCTAATTAGCAAAAACAAACCAACAACTTTGCAAGTGTAGCACCCTTTTTTTGGAAATTTCTTTGCCGTTGTTGTTGCAACGTGAATCTTCCTCGTCACACGTTCCTGCTCCTTTTTTTTTTTTTTTCTCTGCCGCTCTTTTTCCCCTTGCTGGCCGCTGGCATTTTTCCTTTTTTCACCCCCGCTATAAAATTTTCTTGCTGATTTTTCAAAGAATTTCGCTTGTATCCTTTGTTTTTTTTTCGTTCCTGCTCCTTTTTTTTTTTTTTCACTGCCGCTCATTTTCACCTTGCTGGCCGCTAGCATTTCTCATTTTCTCACCGCCGCTATAAAATTTTCATGCTGATTTTCCAAAGAATTTCGTCTGAATCCTTTGTTTTTTATCTCTCGCTCTAGCTCTCTGTCGCTGTTTTTCTCGTTGAGCTTCGCTAGCATGTCGCCTACCTTCTCGTTTTCTCTGTCTTTCTTTTTCTCATGTTCCAAATTTGTGGACTTGACAATTAATCTAAGTTTAATACGTTAGACAACACGGATACAGAAACAATTTCCGCTTTCCGTTTTGTCTTTATTGACTCTTTAATTGTCTCTGCTTCACAAGACGCCGGTGGCCATGCAATTTCCCGCCAAAAAACCGCGAGTTGCATTTGGGTTGCCATACCTGTTGATTGAGTTATTTCACTTTGGTATACCTGTGTTGCAGATGGCCGGACGGACGTACGGTCACATGACTACAAGTTACTACAAAATTTCTCGGATGCATAGATAACAAACTTTTCTTACCCACGGTGCACCGCTGCGCACGCCTCGCGCGCGAGAGAGCCCCGTTATAACTTTGTTAAGAGTAATTCTTTAGCTTATTAGTTTCACTTTTTAGAGATTAAATTTAATGTTCATTCTGAGTTAATAAGTCTTAGGTTTTAGCATTTTCTTAGATTAACCATGCTTTTAGCTTATTCTTCATCATTCTTAGTTTTTAGCGTAGTAATTTTATTTAATTTTTAATCTTTGTGAAGCGCGTCGAGTAGCTAATGTATGTGTGCTCTATATAAATGTACTGTTGTCATTATTATTTTCATTATTATTATTATTATTATTATTATTATTATTATTATTATTATTATTATTGTTATTACTATTATATTTTCCTACATTGCGGAGAACTCGAAAATTGTTCCATATTGTTTATTTGAGCAAAATGTCGGTTATATATATAGACGATTTTTACGTCACCGATTTGGAACAAGCAAATATCAGAATTTATATGATAATGTCACCTTCTACTTATACCAAGTCAAATTTCGTGGTTACTTAATAGCATTAGCTGCAAAATACTTAATGACTTAATCATTACTGAGTCAAGCATCGCCATTATTGAAAAAATATTAAGTGCAAATTAAGACGGAATCCACCAGTAATTTTAATTTTCAGTGTATAAAAACCTTGTACCAGAATAGTTTAAACAATATTGCATTTTTTTTCACTTTTCAAGGGCTATAGACATAATTAGTTATCTACAAAATCACCAAAGACAATTTCTCATGGGAGCCCGAGAAAATAAATGTCAAAGTTCTCAAGAATTGTGAAAACACAGTTGAAATTCAGAAAATTTTATGTGTAAGATGTCATTTTGGGAAATTTTACATTTAGTTTCTCGGGCTCCCATAAGAAATTTTCTTTCGTGTTATTTCAGATAACTAATTATATCTATAGCCCTAGCCTGCGAGGGCATCCGGTTTATTCGGCTTTAGTTTCTAGTTTTTCGGAAGGAGATCGAGAAGCGACGACCGGAGATACGTCTTCGGTTCGCAGGCTACTATAGCCCTTGAAAAGTGTAAAAAAAGAATGCAATATGCTTTAAATTATTCTGGTACAAGGTTTTTGTCCACTAAAATTTAAAATTACTCAATTTCCTGATGGATTCCGTGGTAACCTCTTATATTTACCGAGTTATTAGCTCTGTATTATCAAAAACCCATTAACGGCTAAAGACTGTAAATACTGAGTATAACCTCATTAAGTCGTATACAGCTGTTTCAACAATTATTTTGTCAAAATCGTAATTTTTAACTATATAAGGCCTCTTTTATATGGAGAATCTATTGATAATAATCCAGATTACCTTTCGGAATTGCCGCGAGCACTTTTGCGCTTTTTTTCTACAGTCGTTCTCGAAACAGCTTTGTATACAGAGTCAGACTTTTCCGTAAGTGAAAAAATGATTTACTGCGAAGTATGCACGCCTTTTTATATCGCCGTTTATATACTGCAAAATCATTGCATTGTTCTGTATCGGCCCAAATGCACAATACCGAATTGCCAATTCCCAATGCCTAAAGCAACCTTTATTGAATCAGCTATATGCCATCTCTGATTCACATAACGACTCCCACTCCCACTCCAACAGCTTTGTATGTGAAAACTAGCCTTAACGCACAAAAGCATAAAGATGGCGTTGTTGGCTCTGATTTTGCTATCATTACCGATCAGCTCCGTTTCATCGGCGCGGATTGCCGGCTTCATAGCCATTGGAGGATCTCATTACATTAGCATGAAAAATATCCTCGAAGAATTGGCTTCTCGGGGCCACCAGGTAGAACAGACAATACTATTTTTTCGTACGTTATTCTTACAACCTATACACGTTCAGATAGAGTTTGGTGTTGCTAAATTGAAGGAGCACTGAAGAGACGAACCAAATAGATTTTATGACTCAATATAGATGTGCTGCCAATATACTCGGAGTAGTCAATCGATAAAAATCGGTAGCAATCAAGTGATTTTTATCGATTGGTGACGGAAATCGGTGAAAATCGATAAATGAAACAAGTGTGTCATCGATTTCTACTGATTGATCGATGCAATCGATATCAACCAAATCAGATTTACCGATTTTTATCGATTTATTGATGGATAAATCGATACCGATTTTTATCGATTGACTACTCTTGGTTATATAACGTTATAGCAAATGTGCATAATCACTTTTATTAGTTTTCTCAGTTACAAAACGTAGTGCAACTAAGCATATTTCTAATTAAAAAGCCAAAATTGTATCCGGTTTAGACGTCGAATATCACAATTCAGGGATGAAAAGCGTTCGTGAAGTATACGTAGAACTCAATCAAATTCGACAGTTTTTAATTAATATTACACTTAGAGTGATTTTACTTGAACCGTGAAATAGATACTAACAAATAGTGTCCAATAGCAAGAGGTAAACAAAAGAATACAATATAATACAATACAATATTCACCTCTGGCTCAGTTGATATTGTATAACTCAGTTAACAACACTGTAATTGCCTGATGAGTGTGGTCATTTTTGACCATACGAGACACAATTGATACGAAATAATATCGTCGCAATAAAGCGATGAACTACCTCTGAAGTCTAGAACAATGTTTCTTTTATATTTGTCTGTGTATATAATATTTGAGGGTGTCCGCAATGACGTCATTAAGAGACAAACTTGGTCGATGTTGTTTTTACTGCTTTTGCGGACGTTTTGGCGATCAAGAAATGCAAGACGGCAATGGACCAGTTGTTTCAAAATAAGAGCGACAATCGAAATAAAAGAACTGTACATTTGTCAGAGCGTCTCATTGACGAGTTTGCTTAGGTAAAGGTTTGCCGAAGAACAATTGCCTTCTATCAAGTATTTTTTCAGCAGGGTAGGGTGGCTTTGGGCAAATGATGTATCGGTCACCAGAAAGGTCACCTCAGGACTTCCGGGATGGAATTTTTTGTACAGTGCCCAGGCCTCATTTTCTTGGCCGCGCGTTGATCTGGCCCGGCTGCTTCGGCGAGCATATTCTCGGTCTGTTTGGATTATATCCTTCAAGTTTGTCAAAGTCTGTGGGATCTCGTGTCTCCTACCTTGTATATTATTATTGTATATAGAGTGAATTTAAACAAATTACTGCAAATTATCACGAAACTTCGTTGGAGCAATAAGGACAACGACAATTAACTGCAGAGTAAGTTTCATTGATCTTTATTTAGTATTTCCTTGAAATTTTAGGATGGTATTTTTACCCAATACAAACACCGTAATTTTACTGGAACCGTACTGTGGTACTATCACAGAGCCTGGGTTACCTGTGATATTATCACACATGGCGCTGAAATGTGATAAAAGATTCGAAATTTCAGCCATCTTTGGTCGATGAAAAAGTCTTCAAAATGTGGGTACTTCTGGGTACTTCTTAGCCTGCACAGTATTCAGGACATCATTTTTCTGGCGTGAGGTCCACGTTTGGAAGATTTCAACATATTTTCCCAAAATTCTTGAATATTCATGACCTTGTTGTGGGTCACTGAACACTTTGTGATGGGAAGACTAATTGAAAGTATGAAAACAAATGTTTCTATGTGGAAATTCCGCTCTTAAGGCATTGCAAATGGGAGAAATCATGTCAAATAACGAAGTAATGCAATTTTCTTACTTTTACTGGAAATCGAATGCGAAAAAAGCCGACGAGAAAACCACCTTATTTCACGATGGAATCTGCCATGACTGCGATATTGCGTGATACTTCTGGAAAAATGCATCATAGGATACTATTCGATCGTCGTCTGGGCGTGGCACATACCTATATAGCCTATATAAGGGACTACCCCACGGGGCGAAAAACGCGTTGCAGATTATGAGTCTAATAACTAAGACATTGATTAAAGAAAAGAAAAAAACAACAGTGAAAGAATTAAGAGTCCTCACTGCAGGCTCAGAAATAGAACAATTACTGTTTGCTATGTTCAATATCCGGTCGGTTTGGATGTTATAATCCCATAAGATTTTCACTACATCGTCCTCTACCACCTTCTCCGGCCTACGGTGATACACTTGCTATGGATGGAGCTACATCAAGCCCATACTTCTTGCTGAGACACCAGTGAAGATGGAAGCATACTTTATCGTAACGCCACTTGTAATCTTTTTGTGCTAGCATTTTGCAGCCACTCACGATGTGGGTTACTTTCGCTACTGTCTCGCCACATAACCTACACCTGTCCGACTCTACCTGATAATAGATGTTCTTTCGGACAGAGTTCGTGTTTAAGGCTAGGTCCTGAGGACCTGTCAATAAACTCTAAGTGTCGCGCTTCAAGTTACCCTTTGATAATCAGTCCCACAATTCCTCTGTCTTCAAGGCTTCGGTATCCTTTTCAAACTGTCGATGCAGTGGTATAGCTTCCCTTAAGGTAACCTTCCCCACATAAATCTTTCTCCTTTATATATCTTTCTCCTATACTCCTACATGCTTCACTTCTTGCAGCATATAGGTCCAACAACCTACCCTCACTGGCAACACTCTTCTACCCCAATCAGACCCCGCCCCCTAACTTTCGGGACGTGTAAAAACGCAACACGTTAGCTCTAGGATGGACCACACGTCTCAAACGTTGCCTGGTATTCTAGCCTAGAATAGTGAAACCGCGAGGGGAAGGTTTCAATTCGACTTGCTCCCAATCGGCACGCGAGTCCTCAACCAAAAAATTACATCCCGCAAGCTACGCAGGTTACTGGTATTCCTGTCCATCTCCTCAAGCTTCACATTGGTCCACCCAAAACGCCTGCACTATATCTTATCACCGCTACAGCCCACGTGTTTATCGCCATGATCAAATTACCACAGCTGAGCTTAGACTTCAAGAGTAACTTGAGTCTGCTCATGTACGAATCTTTCTCAACCTCCTTCATTTTTCTGTCCAGGGTAGAGTCTAGTTCAAGTACTCCCGGGTAGTTGTATCCACTCTTTTCTGGATCACTTATGGACGTTCCCTTATTGGAAGATTTATCCCTCAATTTTCTGTTCTCTTCCCTCTAATGTCAACACAGCACAGTTTGCAATACCAAATTCCATACCGATGTTTTTGCAATAAAGGCATACAGTCTGCCCAAATAGTCAATTTGCGACTCGTTCTTTGCAAAGAATTTTAGATCATTAATAAATAGCAGATGGTTTACTCCAGGGCTCTTAACTTTTTTTCCAAACAATACCCAATGCTTACTTGTTGCAACACCATCGATATCGGTATTAAGGTAATAACAAAAAGAACTGGCGAAAAGGAGTCCCCTTAAAAAATGCCTTTTGATAGAGATAGAGCCCTGGTGTTGATTGTCCGCATACGTGTTGGTTTTCCCCATGTGAATGCGAGTTGACCCAAGGTCGGTGATGTTATTAGCAAGACCAAACATCTTCAAACTGGAGCCCCCATGTCATTATTATTATCATTATCATTATCATTATCATTATCATTATCATTATCATTATCATTATCATTATCATTATCATTATCGTTATCGTTTCGTTATCGTTATCGTTATCGTTATCGTTATCATTATCATAAGTAGTAGTAGTAGTAGTAGTAGTAGTAGTAGTAGTAGTAGTTCGTCGTCGTCGTCGTCGTCGTCGTCGTCGTCGACGACGACGTCGACGTCGTCGAGCGTCATCTCTTGAATCCTTACGACAGGTGTAATATAATATTCATCGTATCCCGCGTATTGTATTGGATTTGGTGATGAGAAGCTATACTTACAAGAAGAAAAAGTTCGGTAAGGAAACCTAATACAACCCTAATATACCTAATGATATGATTCTCTCTACTTATACTCTCATTTTCTCTTATAAACCTACACGGGACCATCATGATGTGGTTATCTCTGGTAAAAGCCTATTTAGAATAATATCAAACTCTTGTATAACGTAAAACTTAAAATCTGGTGTCCTTAGCGCCCTAACTAAGCATTTATCTCAAATGTTCTGGCAATGTTAAAAGTGTTTGAGATGGCCGACTTTTGCATCCGCTCAAGTAGGCCCCGTGCTCTCGCTCCTAGTAGCTTCCTCAGCGACTTCTCTATGGGTTTAGAGCAACCACCCAGTAAGTCAATTATTACGCTGTACTGTTCAACCCTGTAACCGTATCTCTTCTTCAGTTCCCACATCATGGGCCCATACTTGAGTGTCTTTTCCACATCTTTCTTGGCCCTACTCTCAGTCCATGGGCAGCTCATTTCAATTGTGCAGACTTCTTTTCTTTTCTTCTTTTGCTCGCGTCGATCCGATTTGCTCTAACTTCGTTGCGCTCTGCATAGGTGGGAATATCGCAAAAACGCCTCACTCGCGGTGTTCTGGTACGCTGGTTTTGGCATCACAGGTGAGTACCATGGTGAAACCTCTTCTCCCATGCTCTCGCATGAGCTCAAAAAACAGAATCTTCAAAGCTGCATTATGGCTTTATAAATGTAGGTACTTGGTTTGTGCCAGGGAGGAACATCCAGCCAGTACATGTGCAACGCTCTCGGCTACCTTCCTACATAACCTGCATAGGACTTCGCCGTCGGCGGAGGTTTGCGTCTTCCCCTTTGTGTAGAACTTCGAAGGTAACAACTGCTCATACAATTCATACATGCTCACGATGGTGTATGTAGGGCATGTAGCCCAACCTTTTAACCATGCAAAGCAGCTGGTTATGCTTATGCTCTCGTCTTCTCATCTGATACGGAATAACTTTTCTTGCCACTTTTTGTTTTCAGCGATCTCCAAGAACTGTATGCCTTGAGATTTCTTCAACAGATTTCCAGATCTTGCTGTAGTCACCACCTTTCCTTCCGTTGTAACCCACACGGGATTTAGGATATCTAGCTGAAGTGTGATGTTCAGTTCTTCAGCGTACGTAGCTGCTTCCTTCACAAGCGACTGGTGGCTTGATGCCATGGCATGTTCTTCTAATTCTCTAACTGCTTCCAAAGTCTGGTCCGAATTCTGATACAGTTTCAGAAGCGATTTGATTTTAGTGAGCTTGTACTCGTGTTCGACTGATCGCGGGGTCTCTCCCCTTTCTGCCTCGGTAGATACAGCAAAGAAGTTAGGCTAGCTGTGTGCTTCCTACCGTTCTCAACTATGATCTTCCGAGCTGCTCTGTCCACTTCTCCCACTCTGTAAGAGTCCAATGCTGTGTTTACATTAAGTGGCGTAGCACCGGGCGTTCATACAGATTAGTTGCCTGTACCCGGTTACAGTCAAACGGGGGGCTGGAGCATATAATAGCGGAGCTCTGGCGCGCGAAGCGCGCCTGCGCAGCACCATGGGTAAGTAAATCTACCCATCCCAGAAAATTTGGTAATCACTTGACCGTACACCGCCCGCAGCCCGTCCGTCAGCAGCACAGGCATACCAATGTTTACTCTCACACTTTCTAGCTACTCTGGGAGCCCAGGAGAAAGCTGATTGCACATCAATGTTGTCATTAATTGACAGTTGTCAAAGCAGGGTATCCGCTGACCAGTATCACCTAACCGTATCGCGGGCTCAGGTGTCGACCCATCAAGGTCGAGTATTTTTTAAAGTTATCCGCTGACAATTTACTCGTTTTCAAATTGTCGCAGGCTCACGTTTACTTTTTTTTCAAATTCATATCAAATATGTTGTGTTTATGTCAGTATCTCCCCGCACTATTACGATTTTGATTTCAAACTGACCTCAGACGCAAAAATTCAGCCAGTTCTTTAAAAATTCAGGCGGCGAAGACCTTTTCTAACCATGGTCACGTGTTGGTTACGCTCCACGTCCAATTTGTATGCTCTGATTTGTTGAAAGTTGTTTACTTTGACAGCTGAAGCTGACAGAGTTTTGAGTCAACTTGTGATGTTTTTAACTGTCTTTTTCCACTGGATGTAAAAATTGAAATACAGCTGCTATCAAGAGTGTTCTCTTACTCATGGCTGGTTTGTTTACTGGGTTTTTGGTTGAGAAATGCGTCGCTTGTCAAAGCCGATAATCCGATTTCGGATGGCATCGTTTTTGTTTTTCACCTTGCTGGATGCGTACGAGAATTTCTAAAGGCTCAAGCGATCCTTGGCTTACTTGATAGCTTTCAGGAGCTGCATCTCGAAATATGGTAAGCCTGAGTAGTTATTGTATTTATATCTAATTTCATGAAGTCCAGCTGCGCAGTTTATGAAGCTAGTTTATGCACGTTTGTATTAAGATTTAACTGAGACACTGATCTGACCTAGTATGAGGTTTGATATAAGCTTAAGCTTACAGAACTCTTAAAAGCCTTTAGTCGATATTAATTCACCGTAAATAGAAAGAAAAAACTTTCCGAAGAATATTTAGTTATAGTTTTGGCTATAGAAAGAAAGCTTTGAGCGATTTTCTTGTCGTGAGTTCATCTTTGAAAAAAGCAAACACCGGGAAATCGGCGGCTTAAAACATAAACTTCATCTTTAAGCTTACTAGTAAAGACTTGAGGATTCTTAAAGACACTTAAATACTCATTTGTTTTCGTGAATGAAAATTGTTGTCTCTGTAAATGTTCTACCGATTTATATTTCTTTATTGATTGTTGGTAGTCTCAAAAAGTGTAATTTTCATCGCTTTGCCGTTCGTTTTCAGGCGTTCATAAACATCGCTTGCAGGAGTACTCAAAATGCTGAGCGTATCAAACGCTTTTTAAGATTACCCATCGTTATTTAACCCATTAATTAAAAATTGACTCAATAAATTCTTTATCACGTTGAAGCGTAACTCTTTTAAAATTTCTTCGCAAATTTCGCGCTTGTCAAAAGTTAGAACCGGCCGGCCGTATAGGTGATTTTGGACATTTTTTGAACGGTTTCGCTAATTAAAAGTCCACGCGTGCTTCGATGGTCCTGAGTATTGAATGAATGCAATTTGTCTTGAAAAATTGTGAAAAACTGCATTTTGTACGAGGTCTGTATGATAAAAACAGCGCCTCATAGTACTCTTTCTCCTCAGATGTGGTGTATAAAAAAAAATAAAAGAATGGTTTGCAAGCACCCAGATTTATTGGCAAGAATTTGTAAACTTGTCGAACGCAAAAAATTCGGCCTGATATGTTTTCCACGCCTCATCTACTGTGATCAAGAGCCATTATTGCTCTTAAATGTGACCGAAGACTATTTTTTGGGTGTACATATAAGGCTATATCAACGCGATACAAGATTTGTTTCACTCCAAAATCACTTACCTTTTCCCTCAAAAGTCACATGAATGTGCCCTTAAGTTAACTGATTTGTGGAATACAAAATTATTGTTTGATTTAAGTTATAAATTTATCAATGGGAGCTTCGCTTTTAGCTGTGGCTGAATCTATATATTACATATCCTGCATAAATACTCTTTAGCCGCACGCGCCAGGGCCAGCCGTTCATCCTGTGAAACGTTCTCTAGCACCTCAGGAATTTGTAGTGTTTTCCTTCCCCAAGAGCCACGATGGTGGTTGTCTTGTCCATCCTCATACCAGACTCGTTTAGCACTTGGGCTCCCTTCTTCACGTGTACCACTGAGTACTTTTTCTTATTCCAGTGGAGGCTGATATCCTGCATCGCTCCTCTAGTTTCCTTCAGCACTCGGTTCAGCTTGCCCTCGGAGGCAGCAAAAACCTTCAGGTCGTCGATAGACAAGAGATCGGTGACTTTGACTTCAATAGGCTTGGATAACCGATATCCCTCCGTTGCCCACAGAAGCGACGCCAGTGGGTTCAGACACAGACAATCTGATCAATAATACTTATAACCAATAGCCTGTTCCAGGCGTTCGGATGGTGGGGAGCGGGGGCGTTCGGATGGTGGAGAGCGGGCAAAAAATTAGGGCGCCGGCGAAAAATTGACGGGGGAAGAAATAGGGCGGGAAAAGGGAGGGAAAATTAAATCACGAATGCTAAACGGGGACGGCAATAAAAAAGGCATCAAATCAATAGATCTAATAAGCAAAAATAACAAATCAGCACCCTTTTTTTCTAATTAGCAAAAAAGAAAATTAGCACGTGCAGCACACTTTTTTGTCTTTCTTTGCCGTTGTTTTGCACGACTACAATTACGTTTTGTACGTACATACGTTACGTACGTACGTAACGGCAAACTTCCTAGTTACACAGTAATTTTTAGGGAGTTATTATAACTTCAAAAATGGAGTAAAAATTTTAGGTACAGGATAACCCCTTTTACCGGGTTACTTTAACTCCTAATTTAACTCCAAATTTGGGGTCATTTTTACTCGTGAAAAAGAGTTCTTTTTACTCCCAGTCTGAAGTTAAAATAACTCCGAAAATGGGGTTATTTTTACTCCTTACATGGGTCTTTTTTACTCTTTTTGGAGTCACTTTAACTCTGAAAGTGGAGTAAAAATTTTAGGTACAGGATAACTCCTTTTTTGGGATTGTTTTAACTCCTCAATATCTGGGGTCATCTTTACTCCTGAAAAAGAGTTCTTTAAACTCCTTTTTGGAGTTAAAATAACTCCCCAAAAAATAACTCCACTGTTAGGAGTTGAATTAACCCCACTAGAGGAGTTGAAACTCCTTGAAAATTACTGTGTACACATTATTTTCATGGAGGAATTGTCGTATGTGCTTACCAAAGATTTTGTTTCCTGTGTTCATGTTCCGTTTTATTTTTTTTAAAGGCCGTCCATTTTCACCTCGCTGGTCGCTGGCATTTCTCATTTTCTCACCGCCGGTATGAAATTTTCATTTTTTTCTTATAACGAAATTCGTCTCCTTTGTTTTCAATCACTCGCTCTTGCTCTTTTTCTGTTATCAACGTGAGTGTGAACATCAAAAATAACGTCTAAAAAGACATGACTTCAATTTTTGTTGTTGTTTTTCTTTTTTCTCTTCAGTCCGATCGGCCATGCGATTTCCTTCCAAATAAAACCTTGAGTTGCATTTGGGTTGCCATACCTGATTGAGTTGTTTAATGTTGGTGTGCCTGTGGTGAGGACGGACTGGCGGTCGCGCGGTTGGGCGGACATACGGTTACTTGACTACCAAAATTTCTCGGATGCATAGGCTACCAAATTTTCTTACCGGAGGTGCTCCGCTGCGCGCGCTTCGCTCGCGAGAGCTTCGCTATCATTAATATTAATATTAATAGTAATATTATTATCATTATTATCATTATTATTATCAGCAGCAGCAGCACCACCACAGAAGACCTGCGGAGCTGATCGCAAATAAGAAGGGAGAAAGTTACTCAAGTGCAATTTCCTGGATAAGAGCTAAAGTATCTTTCGCTATCGTACGCTCTGCGATATTATGCTTGAGAGGCTCAAGATCCAGAAGACTACAGCTAGACTTTGTTGGCTCAGATCTACAGATCGAAAATATTAGAGCCTGCCCGAATTACTTAATTTTTTTTTTTGTTAAAGAACTTTTTTTAAAGAATTAGGAATTCAGGAATACGAGACTTTATTCTCTATAATTTGTTTCTTTTTAATATCAGAAACGGATGATTCTCTTTTGTAATGACAATTTAAAACTCTGGACCGCCTGCAAGAGTTATTGATCGCATCTGAGCTGCAAGGAATGTATTTTGGGAAATCGTAATTGACACAGTGATTATAATTTTTATAATTGATATAATTCTTAATGTTATATGGTGTTTAATTATCATCATCATCATTATCATTATCATTATCATTATCATTATCATTATCATTATCATTATCACAGGAGCCCATCACCCGAAGCCTATATCTCCCATACAGGCCTTAGAGTCAACCCTTTCCCGAGTAGATTTACAATTAGAACGGTTCCCAGAGGAGTCTCCTCATGTCGAAAGTGGAAAGAGCCAAGCACAACGACGTAATGACGGTGCTATTGTTCTTAATCTAACAGCAGGAAATAGAGTGCTGACAGGCCAAACATAACCATAAGCTTGTGAATCGTGACTTCATCGTTTTGCTCCAGAACATCCCTAAGAGATTTTCTATCTTTTCTTTCTAGCGGGTAGATTATCCTGTGGAAAAATTTAAACTCTGACTGTGTAAATCTCAATTTTGGCTGTTTGTCTCACATTAAGAGGCCATGAAGCTGGTCTGTTCCTTGCATATTGAATACTTATTTTCTGCAGTTTATTCTCTATAGTTCTGACAGGATTCGATTTTAGCACCGGTTTTCTTCAGCCAATTTTTTAAACGTGAATTTTTTTATTTCGGTTAAATGACCCCCCATATTAATCAAGATTTTAGTTTCTTAAGAGTTTTTCTGAAATGCGTTTTTCTGAATAAATACTAGTGGATGTTTCGTCTGTCAGTGTGATGATTCCCTGCTATGTTTTGTAACGCCGGGCCCTCAAGAAAAGTGATCTACAGATGTGAATTTAAAGCAAAGGATTGTAGCTTAAACTGGAGTTACACTAACTGCTGAGAACTGTCCTGTTATTCAGTCATAATTCTTTAAACGCACAGTCCATTTTGTTTTTCTTGAGATAAGTGGGTCTTTGGACTGGAGCGCGATGTCATGAAGATTACTTTTGAGTTAGCTTTACAGTCGAGCAACTGTTCTGTTCTGTTCAACTTTTCAAGTGCTAGTTTTTATCAGGCAAGCCTCATGGTAATACAAGTTGTGAAGGAAGACTGCAATTTCGGAACTAAAGCATTCCTCGTTAGTTGATTCTATGGTAATCGCTTTTGCACGCGGTGCTTCAGCTGGCGAAATCCACTCCACGGTGATGACAAAAATCCAATGTGAGTGAAGATAGACGTATAGGAAAAAAGATAACGGACGAAGGACAGGCTTCAGATTTAGCCTTCATCCAACTTTATTTTTTTAACGCTGACATACGAGACTTACGGAAATGTGACACTTTTCGCGGGAAGCAAGCCGTTCTATTTATAAGTCAACTCGGGAAAGGGTTGACTCAAAAAATTAGTGAAGATAGAGGCTCATGGGCTCCTGGTTATCATAGATTATCATTATCATTATCTAAAGTTAGTGTGAAAATAAGTTAGGATAGGGCATTAAAGTTCTATATATTTTTTTAGGTATCATTGCTTGTTCCATCGTCCGAGGAAATTAAACCAAATGAGAAGGTGCCACACAAGATTTACCAAGTACCTCTCGAACCGGAATATCTCGACGATTACATACGGCTTGAGATGGAGGGATCCCGTATGCAGGGCTATGCACGGCTAGTTGAGTTTCAAAATGCCTTATGCGAAGGTGTTTTGAATAGCACAGAGATGCTAAAAGAAGTGAAAAATTTTGACTTGCTTGTTTACGATAGTCCTGCGGGAATGTGCGGCGTCCTGGTTAGTGAACTCCTTAGCATTCCGCGAGTGCAAGTTCAGGCCCACCCAAACTCCCCGTTTGGTTTTGATAACATGATTCCCATGCCTATCTCCTACGTTCCGGGTCTCTTTACCGGGCTCAACGATGAAATGACATTTATGGAAAGAATTATCAATTTGTTGTCATATCTTCTTATCAAGACTTTCTGGATAGATCTTGTTTACTCTAGTGCTATGAATGACCATAAGATTCAGTATAAAATTAAACCCGGAAAAAGCTACCAAGAAGCGATAGAAGATGCTGAACTGGTTTTAATTGCGGCAGATTTTGCGTTGGAGTATCCCCAACCTCTGTTACCAGGTATATGTAATAATGTATATTATACCAATAAAAGAACAATTAAATGAATTAGGGACATTTAGCTTAGTTTGTGTCTTTTTAATGTTCTGAGAGGCCTGGGATTAGATGCGTAGTTAATAAGCTACTTTTTATAGTGTTGGCTGTTGAATACCTGAAAATTTTAGTGTTGTAGCTGCCTTGTAGCTGTGAAACTACTTTCCACCTAGTACCCTCCAAAAAAAGTTGTTAGAAGCTCTGTCGTAAGCAGCACTAGCTTTTTTAGGGCTCTCCAAACTTTCCCAGTGCCTCAGAGCTCGATGCACGAACAACTGAAAGAATGAGTCGGTTGTTTTTTTTTAAAATTGCCTACCTGGAAGTTTTTTGTTGTTGTTGTTGTTTAAAAAAATCATCCTGGAAGGTTGAAGATGAAAAAAACCACACACACACGGTAGCACTGTAGATCACTATGAGGGGATATCTAAGTACAATATTGGATTTTATTCATCAGGTAACCGTATGGTAGGACCATTGAATGTCAGGGATACCATTAAACCTCTACCACGTGATCTGGAAGAATTTGTAAGCAATTCAGGAGGACATGGTTTTATAATTGTTTCCTTTGGATCACAAGTGGCTTCTCTTCTTTCTCGAGAAAAAGTAGACATGCTTGCAACAGCTTTTGGAAAACTAAAACAGCTTGTGGTGTGGAGACTTAAAGGTATCTTATTCTTCGTTCGTTCTCTTTTGTTATACAAAGGACATTTGCGCTAACAGCTTATGCCGTACATTCTTATTTTGCATGTATTCTATCTCCAAAGGGCACCAATAGACGTACGATTATTCTTTAAAGATAGTTTATGACCTCTGCTTTTTTCCAATATTCAACAGATTCTATGAAAGAGAACAGAAAATCAGTGTGGGAGGTTGAAAAAAATCCATTATTCTCCCCTTCTTATGTCTCTCTTACTGTCAGGCAAAGAATGGGGTCTTTTAAGGATCTAAGGTTCACCTTAAGGAACGTCAGCAGTTCATAATGCTTTACCGGTCCAAAAATCCCAAATGTGGCAGAGAAACTTGCACTTAGGCGATTAGTTTGTAGATGGAGCCATATAGCCAGAACATCAACATTCGGCAAGGAGGTACCCAAAAACAAAACTGAACAAAAAATTATGGTAATGTAGGCTAATGAAGTTGAAACAAGGGAAAAATAAAAATTACCTCAGATAAAAAAAAATTACTGCAACGTATATATTTGTATCATCTGGCAATCACTCTTGATGTCAAGATACAGAATCCATATTTTCGTAAAAATGGGATTCACTTAGCTCTCTTAGGTCACTAAACAAAATTCTTGCTTGCAGGTTACATCCCTCCCTTCCTTGCAAAAAACATCAAAGTTATGGATTGGTTACCTCAGAATGATCTACTGGCTCACAAAGACATCAAGGCGTTTGTGTCTCACGTGGGTCACAATAGTCTGTATGAGTCTGCATATCATGGAGTTCCCTTGGTCTGTTTCCCTCTGTTTGCGGAGCAGCATACTAATGCTAAAAAAGTTGAACATTTTGGTCTTGGTTTAGCAGTGCACCATGACCGTACTAACGCTGAGGAACTGTATAAAACAATTGAGCTGGTTGAAAGTGAACCAAGGTATTAATAGTTTCTGTTTCTGATCATTGACTAAATGCCTTTTTCGTAAAGGTGGTTCTATAGAGTTGGATACCGATAAGAAGACATATAAATATTATATTTTTAAGTGTCAAAAAATTTAAAATGTGGAAAGCGAGAATATTCTTGATGTGTAAATTTTAAATTTTCAAATTTACTGTTATTCATATTTTCCTTTCACTTCCACAATATTTGGTCTTGCCTTTTTTATTTTTTTATCGACTATTGAAGATGTCTACACTCATTCTCGCAAAAAGCGCCATAGAAAAATAGAATGGACGAGGTGAGGTTACGCAAAAGATGACAGGTAAAAGAATATGCAGGTCGTCAATAAGATATTTTGCAATCTTGTATGCGCTATATTTTTGATCAGTCGTACTTCAAATCATCCATTTATCCTCCGTTACATCAAGGGAGGTTCTATGGGCTGGCCTTATAAGCTAACTGATATCATAATTGAATTACTGATAACTTGCTCTTTTCAGATTTAGACAAACTGCGATGCGTATATCCAGCCTGTTGAAAGACTGTCCACGCACCCCTCTTCAAGAAGCTTGCGATTGGATAGAGCATGTATTGAGGCATGGCGGATCCAAACGTCTTAGACCTCAAGTGTTTAACATTTCTTGGTACCAGTACTATTTACTTGACGTCATTACTTTCCTTGTTGCTCTGCTTACTGTGATTGTAGTGACGATAAGGTTGACATGTAGGTACCTATGCCGTATGTATTGTAAGAGAGAAGGAAGCAAAAAGAAAAAGAAATGAGGTAAATCAAAGAGGCTTCAACTTCGACTGATGTCAATCGAGCCTTTCAGTATATATAACTATATAATGTATATTAACACAGGTAACCCAGGCTCTGTGATAGTACCACAGTACGGTTTTAGTGAAATTACAGTGTTTGTATGAGGTAAAATACGATCCTGAAATTTGTAGGAAATACTAAATATAAGTCAATGAAACTTACCCTGCAGTTAGTTGTTGTTGTCCTTATTGCTCCAACGAAGTTTCGTGATAATTTGTTCAAATTCACTCTATATACAATTATAACATACAAGGTAGGAGACAAGAGATGCCATCTTCGCCGCCATGCTCTCATTCAACACAACTTTTCACGGAATTCGAACTCCAACAGCAAATAAACATGCCAGAACCGTAGTAATAGGATAGCAGCAGATGTAGAAACCAATGAAGCTTTCCCAGATACAGCTGCAGATAGAAAAACGAATCCCGCAGACTTTGGCAAACTCGAAGGATGTAATCCAAAAAGGCCGAGAATATGCTCGCCGAAGTAGCCGGGCCAGATCAACGCGTGACCACGAAAATGAGGCCTGGGCACTGTACAAAAAAAATCCATCCCGAGTATCCTGAGTTGACCTTTCTAGGGACTGATACATAGCTTTACCAAAGTTAGCCACCCCTGCTGGAAATACATTTGCTCGAGGGCTATTGTTCACTTGAGACAAACTACCTGTTCCAGTTCACGTGTCAAAATGAGAAAAAAAGCACGAAAGGTCAACCCCAGGACACCCGGGATGGGTGTTCTCAAGCAATGAAATCACGCTTTTGTAAAAATCCTAAGGACAGATGTTTCTGTTGGTTTCCAGCGGCCATATTTCTGCCCCTCAATATAAGACACCTACATGGCGTCTTCATACAAAGCTTTATAAGTTTGGGTAAAACATTTTTTTTTGCTAATACCTCGTATATTTATCAACTTTTATTTCCCAGATGCAGGAGTGTATTTTGAATGGTTTGGATTTTTGTTTTTGATGGCGTGACAGTAAAAACAGTGAATAAGCTGCCTCAGTCTGTAATTTGTTGTTGTGAACTTTACTTTACAAGAACTTATTCGTGCCTACAACTAAAAATAAGGACTTTTAAACTCTAACTTAGACAGAATTAAGTTAGGTTATTCAGAAGTAGACAAATTGGAACTTGTTCCTGTCAAGACAAAACAAACCAGATTACCTTCTGTGTATTAAGCACACTAGCTTTGACTGTTTCTGTAAGTTTGTATTACTGAAACTTATTCGTAGCTGATATATCTTGGACCCTCTCGAATACCCTCCGTACGTTAATTGACTCTTTTAATTACATTAGTTAATCATTCAAAATAGTTCGCCTTTTTCTGCGTGGCTCCAATCCCGCGGCTAAGACTTCATAAACAGCTTACGTTTACCAAATTTGCAAGATGCAAGCATTATATTATGGTATGCTCCAGCAACCTCGTTTCTAGGCAATATCCGCCTCAGTAGTGCAGAGCGCTGCAATCTCCTCGATATCTGTATAATTTTCAAATCATTTACTCAGCCTCATTCAAAAATTGTTAATTGTACGTTTTGCTGAAAAAGTTTTGGGCTCCCGCATTATACGGAATGAAGCAGGATATGAAATTCCTTCACCTTGAAGAATTTGTTAAGGGTATTCCCTCGTAATACTAGTTGTTCGACAGTTCTACGTCAGCCTTGACTAAGGTAGCGCATAGCTGATACACCCTATATACCAAGAGAATACCAAGTCTCGATCGAGTAACGTCACAACAACACAACAATGATCCCTAGCCCTTACACAGCACAATTCACACAATAGATCCACACAATAGTGCACATATTGACTTGGTATATATCGAGCATCACCCTAGCTTATATTAGCAACTTCTTGTACAGCTTGAATTGGAAGCAACGAACAACGACATTTATAAAGCGATGCAGATGCATTGCAATACATGTGACATATGCAGCAGGGGTTTGAGCCACAAGTGCGGAAGGATATTTCTAAAATGTCGAAGAATAAATCACTCGACTTCAGAGCAAGGCTTGGAGCAATTTTTACTTCAGTTCTCAATTCCTTTTCGAATTTTAGTTACGGACTTCTGCTCCAACCATTTCTTTGAATTGTATTTGCATACTTATTACTATCAATAACGGTTGCTACCAGAAATTTCAGTAAAAAATATTACAGATTTTCTTTGAAAGTAGGACCCACTTAAGCGCAAACTCCGTAAAAAAAAATTACTACCGTTAAAAATCGGAGAATTTGATATTGCTGAGTGATAACCTTAGTTCTTTCGTGACCCTCGCGTGAAAACCGAAAAGGTTTATGACAAAAAGTTCGTCATAGTTCAATGCGCAGTTTTTAAGAAAGTCGAAGCTGCACGCAGAAAAGAAGATTCAAAAGAAACAGATAGAGAAGAAGATTAAAACGGATTGGAAATGGGTTTCCTCATTTTGCTCACAGGTCTAACACTAGTGTTAGTTAAAGCTCATCTCTCCTGCAAAGCTGGCTGCAGAGGACACGTGTGAAGTCAAGAAATTCTCTCGATATGAGTCAATTCCTTATTTTAGTCATCTTCTGGTCATGTGATCCTGAGAAAATCCGAGACAAGGGTCTTGCACAATGTAAATAAGACATAGATATTGTAAGACATGGCGTTGGGGGCACTGATTGTGCTGTCACTGATTGTCAGCTCCGTCTCCTCGGCGAGGATTGCTGGCTTCATAGCCTTTGGAGGATCACACTACATTACCATGAAAAATGTATTGGAAGAATTGGCTTCTCGGGGCCACCCGGTAAACCAGTCTCTACCTTTATGAAACGTTATTCTTTTGTCATGTTCAAGTTTAAAAATTGTGTTCCCACAAACGGCTAAAAATAATTGTTTCATTCGGAAAAGCGAGCTGGATAATAATAAAATGAAAATACAACTTTGGACTCGATATATTTTAGTAGTCTATACAGAAAAATATGCTCGTAATACAATGCTAATCGAAGACCAGTTTATGTCTATAAATAAAAAGACATGACGTCACGTCATACATCGGTGATTTTCAAAATGGCGGGCAAATTTCTTGGTCGTTACGTTGCAAAGGATGTCAATTTTCCGAATGTTTGGATTCATCTTTTGCCTTCTTCAATAAGGTGGAGCTTTTGAAAAATAACATGGAAACATTCGCGATAAGGTTCAGTCGGAAAAAGTTTCAAAAGCATCACGTGAGGAAAAGAAAGGTACCGCGAAGTGTCTATAAATTGGCACAGTTTGTATGATCGTTTATCGCTTTCGGGCAACGTGCGAGGTGGTGTGGCAATATCCTGATCTCAGAATAGGAGGATTAGTATATGATACATTGAGCTTAATGTACGCCGAGTTTCAGCGAGCCAAAGTGCGTAGTTCTTCTCGTCAATCCCTTTAAAGTCGATGGTATGAAAAAATATGGAGACGACATCTATGTAATCTGCTTACATCAAGTCACTACCTGCTGCAACAGGTTGGCAGTAGAGATCAGTGGTAAGTGTTGAAATTTCCTCGTTTACTTCTAACAACAGGAGACTTATATGCATGTTTTGCGCATGAATCAACATCAGGAAAACGTAATTTTTTGAGTGGCAAATAGATAGCTCCTGAAATACATGCAGTTTATAAATTTAATGTTCAGGCTCCACAAACGGCTGCAAACGGTTAGACTTCAACAGTCTCTCCATATAATTATTAATGCTAGAGGGATAACGCTGCTAGTCTAGAATCTATGTGCAATTGCATTTTACAATATTAACTGCAATATTCCTTTGAATAATGTTTGATCAGGGGTGCAAGGAATCTCTGTTGTCAAAGTACAAAATATAAAAATAAACAAATTAATACTAATTATTTTTAATTAAGAACACTATAATTATGATAGTGTTAAAGTTTATGTATACAAACAGAAATAGATTTGAGGCATCGTTTGTGAAGGTTATTGTTTTATTCACTTATTGAAACCAATCTGTGCAACAGTCAATCTTAATAGACCTTGTCACGGTTTTCGACGCCATCTTGACGAGTAGGCAAACGCGTGAGAAATTACAGTGTTTGTATGAGAATCTAATGTCGAATAATTTCCGTGGAACGGCTGTTCTGAAAAAAATATGATTTGTAAACGAAAGCTTCACTCCCAAGGATTCTCCTGAAAAAATTTGAGCGCGTTACATACCCTAGAAGACCTAGAACCACTTTTTAAAATTTTCTATACATTTGTCTGTAAGAAGGTCCCGGGAAAATTACAGACAAATATATGGAAAATCTAAAGCAAGCCTCTGGAGAAATTTAACCACAGGTACGCCCCCAAAATTTTTTAGGACAATCCTTTGCCTTGTAGCTTTAGTTTACAATTGATATTTTTTTCAGAACAGCCGTTTTACGGAAATTATTCGACATTAGATTCTCATACAAACGCTGTAATTTCTCACGGGTTTGCCTACTCGTCAAGATGGCGTCGAAAACCGTGACAAGGTCTATTGTTCAGGAAGTATTGTTTCCCCAAATTTTAAAGTGGAAAAATCAATTTCAAGCTTTTTGTAAGAGCCGTTAGGGGGCAGCCAGTGAGGAATAACACGACATGGTATGAATGGTATAGCTTCCTGAATGGCCACCCAAAGATGATGGTTTCCTTCAGTGATACAGGCTTTTCCTGTTGTAAGATCACATGATATAATTATTGGTTCTTGAGAAACATTTTTCAAAATGAAACGTCTTACTTGTTCAAGATGTGATTATTGCCAGCTTTTGGCATGAGAGATCTGTCAAATTCCCTATATTCCCAAAGATCTTGTGTTTTGACCATTTGAAATTCATGCGAATAATCAAATGCATCAGAAATGTAAGATTTGGTCTGCATTGCATGTTTTTCACTTTCTGTGGGTTCATCAAGTGTCACAAAGAACATATTTGTATCAATTAATGGTTGAAATGCTTTTGCAAAATCATCATCACTATTGTCACTGTCAATCTCTGCAGTCATGCTTTTAATCAACTCTTTAAAGGATTTACACTTTGACTATTTTTTACCACCTTTTATGTCTGAAGTTGTTTCTGTTCTTCCAACTTAGAGATGTTATGATAATGGCGAATTGCTGTGATGTTGTCAAGTTTAACTTTGTTGTCAGGTAATGAGAGCAGAACTTTGTGTTTGTTTCTGATGTCTTTCATGATTTCATTGTTGTTGGAATGAATTGGCGTATAAAATGTTGTTGAAACACCATCATTATTTGCATGATTGTTAGATTTGATCTTTTCAAGCATCAGCAAGTATAGACTCTCCTTTTCTGGAAATAATGGCCTTGATCCTACAAAAGTTGCTTTTCCATTATTCCACAAACCATTATACACGTACCAGCCACTTTTACAATTTCTCTGAGTTGAATACAGTTCACAAAAATAGTGAACATTATTCCTGAAATTCGGTATGTGCAGTGATTAACTTCCATGTTGCATTTGCTGTCTACTGGTAAACTTGGAATATGCTTTTTACTAGGATTGTGTGTGCACCCCACAAAAAATTATCAGGTGAGTTTACAACAGTTTTTGATATTGTTGTATGGGGGCATTACAAGTGTTAGGCTGAGGAATGATGGCACAATCAGAGTTTGCACTAATTGCCAACACTGAATCATTGCCCATCAGGACAGAGCATTTTGAAAGTCCTACAAAATTGTTTAAAGTTAATTTATGTTGTATAACTTGAATAATAATTATTATTGATAAGTTCTTGGGAGTTCAAGAGGAAGTGATTATCTAAAACATCATCGGTACTAATTGAAAAAACACTATGTGTGTGGCTGCGGCAAGAACTGTGACTTCCATTCACATTGGTACAAGCTTGAGCATATCTGGTTTTTAATGCAATGTTTCTTTTAGATGATTTGGCATTGTTTCTGTAAGCCTGTATATAATGGAATCAAGGGCAGCCTCTTTTCCATAGGCATAATAGGTATGGCCATGAATAGTATTGTCCCTTAGCCACCTCCACAAGTTCATTTTGCTGTCGTGAAATTTTTTATTTTCCCTTAACGCAAATGAACTGAGCAGTTGTGTCAGGCCTTCCCCTAGATTACTGTTTGGAGGACAATTTAATTGATGCTTGAATGCATGATAGGCTACTTAAAGAAAAGTGTCTTGATGGCAGCTGTTATGTATGCCATAAGAGCCGTATTTGTAAGACTGGTATGCAGCTAAGGCATTACACGTACTTGTCCTCTTTAACCGTACCTCACAGGGACTAAGTTTACACTTCGGAAGTGTAAACTTAATCCACTCATCTTCCTTACAGCCCTGGCATTTCCGAGGTATTTTTGTTTTTTGTTTTTTATTATTGTCATTAGGCACACCTGCAAATTTCTTCAGGTCATCATGAGAAAGAGCATCTGTGTTGAAATGAATCGTATGCAAGGGCTTTTCAAAGCAATTTCCTTCATCTTTTGCTTCAACCCAGAGACATCTTCATGCCATGCTGGCTCAAATTTTCTTGATGCAAGGTCCCAAAATTTATAGTAGCAATTCTATGAGAAAGACTTTCGTGCCAATTGGTGTCCAGACAACATAGTGACATCGTTTGTTGATGTGCAAAACATTTCAAACATGATTTGGGGTATATGATTAATGCAAACATTTTTGTAAGGAATAGGTTTTCCTCCCATGAAAGGGCATTTTATTTCAATGACAGTTTTTAAAATTCCATCGTGTTCAATTATACCATCTGGAGAGGATCCTAACCATTCTTGGTTGTCTCCATCCTTTAAAAGCCAAATTCCGGTTTCTTTTATAACCACTCCATCTTTGTCCTCCGGAAAGAAGTTTTTAAGGTAAGTGGCAAGAGCACTATCTTCATTAATAGATTCCCACAGCATAGCAAGATTTGATTCACCTGATTTAGTTGGCAAGCCATGCAAATCACTTAAAATTTGATTCCAGTCATCAAGCATTGCCTTTTTGCCATACCCTCCAAAGGCAGTTGAAGCCTTGCTTCCATTAATTTTTCCTTTGCGAGAATTAAACCACTGACCACTCCTCTGTAGAACTGAGGGTCATCATCACGAGAGGGGTGGTGTAGGAATGGGTTGATAACATTTAAAATCATTGACACTCTTAGATGTTAAAGTACCTAACAGCTTTGCCAGAGATGTACTAGCAGGGTTACCATGTGTGCTTTATAGGTGGAGGTTTGTTTTGCTTGATTTTAGACAAATGCTGTGTTTTGTCACTTTTCTTGGGGCGTGCTGATCATAATTATGTGGGCTTGCTGTCCATAATAAAAGCACTTCTGTTGTGCCAACCACTCTGGTTCATGTCCTTCAGGGTACTCTGCTGCCCAGTGACCTAGCTTTTGGCAACGAAAACAGGTGTCTGTTGGTTGTGCCGTGGATGATGTCTTTCCTGTGTCCAGTTTTGTTCAAAATTTTTTCAGCATTTGTCTAACTGCAGACTCATCCTCTTCATGTTTGGGTGCAAGCCCATCTTTTGCCAAATATGTAACACACCTTCTCTTTGTGAATTTACAAACAAATGTACACATGTAGAAAGAACTTGACACGATGAAATGATTTGAGAAGATGAAATGTTTAATTTTTGTAGTAGCTCTTTCCAGTAGAAACAGAGGGCATTTTCCTCCTTCAATTTTTCTATTGCTCTCTGAAGTGAGGTAGGAGACCAGTTGCCGGTAAAGAAAGAAGATCTTATGAAGTAGTCAAGTTTTCTCGCAAATAACAAAACATGCACGGGGATGATGCTCTCTGGCATGAAGGGCAGTCAGTGTGGGTTGTGAAGTTCTTAAAAGTGTGGTTGGGGGGAGGAGATCGATGTATTCTACTGTCTGTTTCACATGTCTAGACAGCTGTCGCTCGTCTGCAGCATTGTGAAATGTTTCATCAAATTCCCACCTGTCATTAATGACACTGTCAGAATCTAGCTTATGAGCAAATGATTCCCTGATTCCCAACCTTCTTTTTCACTGAATACTGTTGTGTTTTCGCCAGATGAGGGTTTTTGTTTTGATATGGAAGTGAAATAAGGTTGGGGAGAGCAGTTAAGTCATAAGAGCCAAAATTTCCTTGCAAGTCTTTCATTTCTGAGGACAGAAGAAGTTGGGTTTTTAGGGAGGCAGCTAACACAAAAAATTGTAGTGTGGTTGGTTTCCCCCCTGATATCCTGGCTCGTTGTAATGAAAAGATGCACTAGAATATTGGGAATCTGATGACTCAGATGAACTGTCACTTTCATCTTCTTCATTATCATTAAGATCTTCAGGTTCTGTGGCGAGTTCAGGACTGATATTTAAGTCCTCAAATCCAACCAATTCTCCTGTCCATTTACAAAGTACAATCCCTTCCTTTATTGCCATTTCATCCCACTGAATACCTCCAATACCCTTACAACCCCTTCTGGTCATTTCTTGAACCATAAGTGTTAAATTATCCTTGGAGATTGGGCTTGTTGTACTTGTCGCCTGCCAATATTTTTTTGATGGTTTCCCAGGACAGAATTGGAAGAATGCTTTGGACCACCTCGTAACCTTTTTTGTGACATTTGCTTGCTATCATGCAGCTCCACTTTATCACAAGAGGGTTATATCTCATACCTTTAGGGTGGGCTTTTGCAAATTCCTCCTCCTGTTTCTTCAGTGAGGTTAAAGTGTCAGTAAGTAGAGCATAGAGAACAGAATTTTCAACAAGCCAATGATTTTCAATTGCAGTATCCATTACTTTAGCAAGCTCAGATGATTTGGGTTGAAAATTTTTTGGTGCTTTTACATTTTTTTGTTTCTCCTTTAGGTACAAACTGTAATATCGTTTTGCTTTTTTTTGGCTTTGGGCAACCACTTTGTGTAGATTTTTTGCTTTGGCTATGAGTTCAGCACGTGAAAGAGTACTGAGTTTAGTGTGTGAATCATAGGCTGTTTTAGACTGAAATGATTCAGATAAAGGTTTTGTTTTCCAACGAAAGCAAGATCGTAAAATATCTTGACATTTGTTGCATCTGGTTTTTGAATGGAGAGGTAGTTTGTAGGTGCAATTTAAGCTCCTGATGCACTTGACAATCTCTCCATCTACATTTGCTCCTTTTGCATCCTCAAAGTATAAATTTGTTTCCCTTTTTCTTTCAGCCATATTGACAAGGGCTGGATCATATATACCAGGACAAACTGGTAAGTTTTGAATAGTTTTAAGCATGACACCCAAAGCAGATTTTAATACAATGTACGTTTTCTTGAAAAATATTGTGTGGGAGTTCCCCACGGTCAATTTTGTTACCCAAGAATTCTACTGTAAATGGACAAAAATCCTTTGAAGGAAATGTTTTTATTTCGGAAGGAAGAAAAAGGGTTAACTCCTTCCACTTAGTTATTACAACACCTTTTCCGATATTTGGAAGAGAAAAAGACATAGAAACGTTCATAGTATTATCTGTAGTGTGCTGAGTAAAGGACACTGTCCATGGAAAAATACATGAAATAACTGTTTGAAGAACTGTATAAACTGGCAGAGGTGATGACTGTACTTCATTGTCATTTCCTGCATCTACTGGTTCTCTTGGAGCAGTTTGTATCATTATTTCATTCAACACATCTTTAAAAATACCTGCTTTAAAGTTTAAAGCATCTGACACAGCAAATTCTCTATCCAAGACCATTTTTTCTGATAACACATTGGCTTGTCCCTTAGTTGGATTAATAGTTGTTTCTTCAAAAAACTCATGCTTGTTGCTGTCATTATCTGTTGTTATTGTGGAAATTGAACTACCTTGTTTTTGGTGGAAGATGTTTTGAGCTTCTTTGTACTCATGCTCTATTTTAATGCATTTTAAATAGACATGCATAATATTATGTAGTCTGGAAAAGTTCCATCACAAGGATCTACACTAGACAAGTCATTATGTAAATCAGTCTTATTGCCAGTTCTTTCATCCAAAAAATTGCATCCCACTGAAAACGTATTTTTAAAAATATTTATGTGGTGTTTCTTGCAGGGAACACTACTCAGGCAAACCTTGTTGCCACATTGTGAACAAGTCACTATGCATGGTGTAACTTTCAGGATGCCCAGCTGGGCATCACTGCGTGATCTAGAGGAGCTTTTCCCGCTAGGAGGTTTATGCCCTCTTGCTGATAAACTGCTGTAATGTTTATCACATACCCTAAGATCTTTGAGATTTTCAGGTGTAACAACATCAGGGGCACATTTCAGTTCATACCGCCCAACCATACTATCAAATTTTCTTGATCCTGCATCATTTTCACATCCCTTCAGACAGCATTGTACACCTTCCATCAATCGCCCATGCATAAAAACTGTTCCTCTTATTTCTTCCAAAAGTACAAAATCAAATAAAGGCTTTCCACAGCATGACAACCAGTACAAATCACTTGTTATTCTGAATTTAGTATTTATTTGAGATCTTAGATCTTTTATTGTGGCACATGGTGCAAAAGTGAGGGTGTGTGGCTGGCCTGTTATATCAACAACTTGAATTGTTGTTATCAACCTTTTAGATCTTATCAACATGGTAAAGAGGAAACCAGGGTGATGTAATTCAAGCAGTTTGGCACAGGGATAACTTAGAAGTACACCAATTGAGAGATATAAAATTGGAAAAAGGAGTGGCATTTCTGTACAGGATCTGGAACTGTCATCAAAGGTCTCCCCAAATATAATAATAGTCACAGCATATAAAGCCACAAAGAATGAAAATGGGAGTGCAGAAATTATCAGCGAAAAGGCAGCAGTTGCCAAGTAAACAGGATATTGAAGCTCACATTTTAGAGAACAATATTTTGTAATGCCAAAGTTCAGTAAAAAACCATGAGAAACAAAAATACAGGTGGTCATTAGACAGGAGAAAAAAAGCTCTGATTTTAATCTCCAAAAATATTGTACCAGTGAAAAGTTGAATTGAGGCTTTACATGTAACAAAACTTTGTATACTGGATCAAGCAAAAATAGAAATAATTTCAAGATAATAACAGCAGGGAATAGAAGCATTTCTAACAAACAATTTAAAGTTGATCTATACTTGATCATTTGCCTTAAAGAAACCATGCACAATACTTTCCTGTAAAACATAAAAGTCAGTGTAAAAATAATGGTGGTTAAGGCTAAAAGGGAAACAAGGAAGTTTGAGAGGTTTAAGTTTTGAATTACCCTCACTTTGAAGTGGATAATAAAAAAGGACAAAGCAGAGGAGACCAACATTTTTACTAAATGCAAAGTCTTATTTTGTAACTCAAAGGAGTGAGGGATTTGTGTTTCCAAGAAAATGGGGGCTTTGAAGGGATGCAGAGGGCACATGGAAGGTTTGAAAGGCCCTTCTCAAACTCATTAATAATTCATAGAGAAAATTCAAAGGAAATTAATGTTTAATGAGTGTTTGGATATCAGATGAAAAACTGCTCATTTTTGCATCCTTAATTTCTCCTTCAAAAATGATTTTGTTTGACTTCTTTATAGTTTGTAAGCTGTGTCTGTTTCATCACCAGATGAAACACCTCGAAGTTCGTCAAAAATACTCCGCTGCGCGTCGTATTTTCAACTCTCTTCTCGGTGTTTCATCTGGTGATGAAACACTACGTCTCATGATTGATATATTACAGGAAAGATATTGAAATCACTGCAAAAACAATATGAACACACAGAATAGCCGTCACAAGATACACAATCTTATGATTGTGAGGACTAAAAAGCCAAGCAATGTCAAAATATAAATCATACAACAAGAATCCCAGTGTCAAATATATACACAATAAAATATTTTTATTCATCACGATGTTTTCTTCTTTTAAAGTAAATAACTATATAGATTTATTTTTTCTAAGCTTGCGAGCGGGCGGAATCCTTCAAATCCTGCAATCTGATTGGTTCCGAGAGCGGGCAGTTTTTTACGATCTCGCCCGCTAACCCGGGCGGAATCGTTGGCAGCTTCATTCACAAGTTTGTTTGTTATTGTGAATGAGCAAAACCGGTGATTTTAAACAATTTTTCTTTTGAAACGTGCGCTATTATTAACGTTAGCTGGGGAAAAGTGAATTTTGTTACTCAGACAAAACATCTGAAGAGGCAGGTACAAAAGTCGGACCGGATCAACTCGGACCGCCAGTCCGGGTCGGATCGACTCGGATCGAATAAAAAAAATAAAAATAAAATAAAATTGGACTAGGATCAACTCGGATCATAAAAAGAAAAATAAAATCAATCGGCGTCACTTACCTTTCACCCGCCATTTTGTTTTTTCTCACGAACTCAGATTTTTTGGGCAGCAAAAGAAAATTTGGGCAAAGCCAGGTTTTGGGGGTTTCTTGGTGTTGCGGACACCAATGACGTAATACAAAAGATTGAAAAGACACTGAACAATACCCACACCACAACACAAAAGCTAACCAACAATAGTTTCCGCAACACCAAGAAACACCCCCAGGTTTTAAAGACGTTTCCATGTTATTTTTTATTATTATTATTATTTTGAAGAGATAAATATTTTCTATTTTAATCTAAAAAAAAACTCCTGAAGTCGGCGTAATAATCCAGTTACATTCTCTCAAGAAATTGGTTGCCTAGCACGTGATGAGTTTCTGTTTATTAGGGAAGGGTATCATCTGTTGATTTACATATTATTTTATAGTTTTTTATTGTTGAGCACTGTACTGCACTGCACGAAGTGGAATGGGCTCTTTCCAGTCGTGTGTTGATTAGAATAATCTTCCGCATACCTTTCTAGAATCATCTCCGCTCGTAGAACAGTGTATGGCAGATAGCATCAGCAATAGGTCTGAAAATGAAGAAGTGGCTGACTAGTTCTCAGTTCGATAACGGCCAGACATCAAGATTTTCCATTTTTACCATATTTCTAACGATAAAACTTCATGCCAAAATATCCCAATAACACTCTCACAGTTTCCGCTTTAACTTCACGAACATCGAGGTGACTATTTGAGGAAAACGTTTGCGTGAACGATTTGTAAGAACAGTTCCCAGTGCCGAGAAATATTGCTGCAAATACAATATGCAATGGCTTCATTTCGTTGCTATGACAACTCCGATGTCATTGCATTCCTGATCATAACAAATTTTCATCTTTACCTAATAAAACTGTTGTGGCAATTTTTCCAAATGTTTGTCTAGGACGACGTATTTATGCTCAGAATTGGGAGGTATTGACCCTGAAAAACTGTTACGGTTTCGAGCCACCTTCATATGTCAGTACGGCCTATGTTGTTGCATCGTATGGCCCTCGTATCTTGTCGACTGTACGTTTCGTAAAAATTTGGGCAACTTGCGAGAATTTTGTTTGGCAAATGGTTTACCCCCCCCCCCCCGGTAAAAAAATTTCCCGTACGCCAATGCACACCCCCCCTCCCCGGAAAAACTTTAAACTGGAACGGGGGGAAAACCATCCCCCCCCGGGCAACGCAAACTTTCCGAGCGTGCACCCTACGTTTTTTTGATCAGGATTGGGGGGGATGTAACCCGAAAAATTTTTACGGTTTTGGCCCCCCCTTATTTTTCGGTTCCGCCTTTTTTTGTTCATTGTTTGCCCCCCTTTTTTTTTCCGCTGTACCTTTTATAAAAATTTTGGCCACCTTCGAAAATTTTTTTTTGCAAATTGTTTCCCCCCCCCCCCCCCCCGGTAAAAAAATTTCCCGTACGCCTATGCACACACACACTTCCAGTGAACACTTTCAACTTGAAAGGAGGAGAAACCATGCCCACCCGGGACAACGAAACTTTTCGGACGTTCTACCCACAGAACCGGAGGGTCGCGAGTTCGATTCTCGCACTGGGCATGAAAATTTCCTTTGTCCCGGACGAGCATGATTTCTCCTCCTTCCAAGTTGAAAATGTTCACTGGAAATGTACGTGTGCTGCTCACTAGTGTATCATTAAAATCAAGTTTCAGAAGTCCTGCAGAAAAAAACAAACAGGACTGGAACACTCTTCAGTCTGACACCTCGGAAACTATCTAAATGCGATCAGGAGACCAGGTTTAAAAAATAAGCAAATATATGCATTCTAGGCGACTTCTTTGGAATGAAGAAATGGTCGAGATTTTACCTTCCTCTAGGTCATCTATATCTGTGTCCTTGAAACAGAACGCGCGCGTCGTGTAACGCAACCGCGAGTTCGTAACATGATCCGTGAGGAACTGGCACTAGTAAAACAAAATGGCAGCTGAAAGCCACTGGAAAAAAAAGGATTATCTGGCCTTTTTTACCCTTTAAATGGGTTAAACTTTCAGTTTTGCTAATTAAATTATTTTTTTGTTGTTGATCCGAGTTCATCCGAGTCCACTTTTATTGTATTTTTATATTTTTATTCGATCCGAGTCGGTCCGAGCTGATCCGACCGGGACAGGGTGTCCGAGTTGATCCGGTCCCACTTTTGCACCTGCCTCATCTGAAGGGAGAATCAAGCAAGTCAGCCAGGAAAACTGCTAAAGTAAAGCACAACAGGCGGCTCGTGATGTCGCTTCACTAGTTTTATAACCTACGCTGTAAGTACTACAATCTTGCTCTTATGCACTGACATTTTTCCTCTGTTTGTAGTTTGTTTTCCATTTTTGCTGACTGAGTCTAGATTCTACCGTTTTCATTGAATTTTGCCACGCTAGTTTTCTACTTTTCAGAAAAGGTTGTTGCCAACAATTGCATGTAGCTTTCAAACAACACGGACAACTTTTCCAGCAGTTGGTTATCGCCGTTATTATTTCTTTGTTTATGTACTTGTTTAGTTAAACCACATCCCCTTCTTTTATTCGAATTCACTTCAAAACCCTAAGATTGGTATGTGTAATTAGCTCTTTTTGTAAAGCCTATGTGCAGTTTTTATCCCGCTCGATTGAATTAATCTTAAAGTAAATATTCAGCCGAAGAAAATCTTTGATGTATTTTCTTTCCTGTGGCTTTTAAGTTCGTCAATTCTTTTATCCTTGTTTGACACTCAGGTTATGAATTGTCTACCAAGACACAAAAACCTTTGTTTATTCTAAAAGAGAGCTTAATTGTGATAATATAAATTACAAGTTAAAAATGATGTTGTAATGTTTTGTTTTGGTGTTCAATCGATCGCGCGCTTCGAATAACATCGACACGAACGCGTCCTTCTTCAACACACATAGGTTGGAGGCTGAAGTTAAATTTTCCTGAAACTTGTCAATCTCAGTAGGAAAAAAATAAAAATGTTATTCACCGGCCTAGGTCTCGGTCCGTATTGGGAGAAACTGAGCCCTCGGTCTGAGTACCGCCCTCAGCGTACGGCCTCGGGCGGTACTCAAGACCCAGGGCACAGTTTCTCCCAATACGGACCTCCCAGCCGGTGAATAACATATATATATATGTTATATAACTATGAATATGATCTTACTTTATTAATTTTCTCACTAAATTAATTTTTCCTTTTTAAAATAATCTATCTTCGTGAATTAAGCTATGTACTTTTTATTTAAAATATTTTTTTCTGTCTCTTTTATATGTCTTTAATATATTTTTTTTCTCAAGTAATAGTCACACTAAATTAATTAATAGAATAATCTTTTTAGAAGGCAAATACAGAAGCCAACAACACTGCTAACAAGTAACAACAACAATTACCAGGAAAAATTTAAGACACAAGACACAAGCAAGTAAAATACGGGGAAAAAGCCAACAAAAACCGGCAGACAAATGCAAATAGCAAATTTTAACAACAATAACAAAACAGAATAAAACAACCAACAGCAGTAAATTTTCAAAGCAGAAAAGGCTAGCAATTACTTTGATCAAAACAGAGGGGCACCAGATTAACCAGCAAACCTTAGACACAAGCAGTAAACAAACAAGCAAACTTAACCCACAATGACAGCGTTCAAGTCCGCAAAATTTTTCAATACCCCAGACAGTCAAGAAGCCAAGAAACCACACGCGATTCAAAACAGTATCTTCGCATTCAAAAGGATTGATGAGCAAAGTGGCTCGTTACATCAACACAAATCAACTATCGTATCAAACTTCTGTTATTAATGAATTAAACCTCTTCTTCTGAGGAGATTTGGTTTGCAATTTAAAGAGAAAACGGCTGACGTTTAGGGTGGTATTATCTAGTTCCGAGTTCAAAATGGCGTCCACGCCACTGACCCGAAGTGGATTGGAGTAGAATTTAACACAAACGTGTGGACAAAGCAAACACAGCTTTTACACACAAACAATATAAGCAACAAAGTTTGCACACTTACGACAAATTGTTTTACAAACGCTGAACAAAAGCCTGTATTAGCCCTATCTTTGTTTAACTTCGATGACTTCTCCACGCTAAACTGATCAAGCGACGCGAAGCTCTGACTCGTTGCTATGTGACGTCACACTTTCATTGATGACTAGACGCCTCCTCCCTAATGCTTTAGATTAATTTGTCATGTCGAATTTAGTAAAAGTGCGAACTTTCATGACGATTTGTCGTAAAGATATGGTGTCTGCAACTTGGAGGATTTTTACCAGGAAATGTCTTGTCCGGCTGGCCATTATTCGCCTGTTAAGGAGCTCATTTTACCGTTAGTTTGCGACGAACCCTAATGAAACTTCGCAGTTTTACTAAGTTCGGCATGAAAACTCGATCTACGGTGGTGATTTTTTGAATAAATGAAAAACATTAAATGGCAATTTTGCGTGACATGTGGCGATCACCTGTGCAGATTGTGTGACAGCAGTATTTCACATCAGCGTGACGGTTCAAAGCAGCAATCCGATGATTAGTAATGCAGTTATAGACAGTTCGTGTACATCCAAAACATCCTCCACGATTTTTGGGGGGAGGAGGAGGATGTAGTAAGGTTGAGCCAACCGGAATTGGAAATTGTTTTCCGTTGTGTGTGTATTGATTGTCAAAGAATAGCCCATTTTACAGTTACAGGTGGAAACGGGGCAGGACTTGACCTTGTTTTGATTCACCCCTCCTGCTTAGTTTTGTAAAACATGTTGTTCTTAGGCTAATTAGTATTTTTAAGCACAATTTACATTTGAAAAGGTAGGAGGTTTGTATCAAAACAAGGTCAACCTCAGACTTACGTTCACTCAAAGGCTAGAACACTAAGCACACAACTGTAAAATGGACCAGTGGCCTATTCACACTTTTGCGAAGTTAAATACGCATGGAGATTAGTTAGGATAAGGTGGTCTTATCTATTTTTCATTATTTATTAATTTGTTTACATCATTTTATTTATTTCTTCCATCCGGAGCCGAGGTTTATAATATTATTTTATATTATTTATTTTATAGGTATCAGTACTCGTTCCATCCTCCGAAAAAATCAAGGAAGGTGATGGGATAGAACACAACATTTGCCAGGTGCCTCTCAAACCTGACTACATGGACGATTACATACGGCTTGTACTTGAGGGATTTTGGAAACAGGGAATGGTGAGGTTAATGGACTCCCAAAAGGCCTTATGCGAAGGTGCTTTAAATAGCACGGAGTTTCTGAAAAAAGTGCAAGATTATGACTTGCTTGTTTACGACAGTCCCACAGCAATGTGCGGTGTGCTGGTTGGTGAACTCCTTAGCATTCGGCGAGTGCAAATTTTGCTCTCAGCACTGAACTCCCCGTTAGGTTTTGACCACATGATTCCCATGCCTGTCTCGTACGTTCCCCGTCTCTACTTGGGATTTTCTGATAAAATGACATTTATTCAACGATTTATCAATTTGGCTTCCTACCTTGGTGAAAAGCCTTTGTTTGACATTTTGTTCGGTGGTATGATGAATAGCCTCAAAGTAAAGTACAACATTAAACCTGAAAGAACTTACCAGGAAGCAGTTGGTGATGCTGAACTGGTTTTGATTGCAGGAGATTTTGCGTTGGAGTATCCTCAGCCTTTATTACCAGGTTTGATATAGGCTAGTTACCATTTGTACGGACATTCATGATCAAGTGAAAAATTTCTAACAAATAATAGTGGTATATTCTTTCGCATCGAAAACACAAAATGACAGGAAATTTCTCGCTTTCTCTCGAAGGAAAGCATGGTACTCTGGTAATCCACGCAAACGGTGCAGAAAGGTTTTGGTCGTTTTAGTAAAAGCGAGAAAAAGTAATACCTCGGGTAGTATTACCTTTTCTCCGCATAAGTTCCATCGGGATGAACTCTCAGCAGAATTACCGAGTTTTCCCTAAAAATGGTAGGCATTAATAATGTCTATCATATAACAAAACCTGTTGATACCGATTGCTGGGAAAGGAATATGCCAAATTGCTATTACTGTAGCTAGATTTCTGCAAAGAATATCATTTGATATGAACATAAACTTAACCTTAAAGTCGGCTTCTGACGTGACATGTAAAAGTAAATACAGGTTCCACAGCAGAAATCCTTATAGCCTCCCACGCAGGCGTTTTTAGGGGAGCTCGTCTTTCACCACTCTCCACAAGCGCCTCCTCAACCGAAAACAACATTCCTTTCCCATTGTTTTGTTTGCTTGGTAAGTGACCAATCAACAGTTGTGCAATAAAGTGTTGACAGGCTAAACGCGACTAAAACGGGACCCTAGAGTTACCGTTTTCCTTCTTTTCTTTCCTTCGCTGAGGTTATGCAGTGCATGGAGTATTCTAAAATTTGACAAAATCTTATTTTTGCCGCTCTTAATCTAACATTTATTAGAGGTCAGAAAGCTTTCCCAGTGTTTCTTGCAGATCGAGTAATAGACCTTTCTACCGATACGGCGGACATATTGAATTAATTCGATTTAAGGAGTTAATTCGATTTATAGGATGCCCAGGGGGGCATGAGCACATTTCGTTTGTATTTTCGAGCGCTTTTCGGGACTTTTTTTCTTAACGTTTTCTTAGATTAAGATTGTAATGGGAAAAAAGACCCTTGTGCCGTGTTTGGATGTAATACTGATCGCCCTTTTTTAGTTTAGTATTAGAAATATGGTCTTTCACTGTATATTTCTCGGGAAAAAGGCGATCATTATTACATCCAAACACGCCACAAGGATCTTTTTTCCCATTACAATCTTATTCTAAGAAAACTTTACGAAAAAATGTCCCGAAAAGCGCTCGAAAATACAAACGAAATGTGCTCATGCCCCTCAATATGGCCGCCGTATCGGTAAAAAGGTCTATTATCAAATTACCTTTCGGTCAAGGTCAACTTTCCAGAATTTGGAAAGTACAATGTGATTAGCTAGGCATGGGAAAGGTTTAGCAGGCGTTTGTGGGAAGGGATGAAAAACGAGCTCCCCTAAAAACGCCTGCGTGGGAGGCTAAAATTCTATAGCTTACCAGTAAGATAAGGTAGTTTTCTTCAACAGGAATCCATATGATCGGACCCCTGAATGTCAAAGATACTGTTAAACCTCTACCACGTGATCTAGAAGAATTTGTTAGCAATTCAAAAGGACATGGTTTTATCATTGTTTCCTTTGGATCAAATGTGGCTTCTATCCTTCCTCGAGAAACTGTAGACATGCTTGCAACAGCGTTTGGAAAGCTAAAACAACTTGTGGTGTGGAGACTTAAAGGTAACTTATTCTCGGCTTCATTCTCCTTGGTTAAATGATAACGTTTACCCTTACTGTTCATGTGCGTATGTATTTCCCACATATCCATCTAGCAAGCCGCGTTCATCAAAGCAACGAGCTATTTGGATGCAGTTTTCACTTCTTTTGGTAGTTTAATGTCCCTTCTTTTTGATTTGGGGTTGTTTTCATTTCCAGTGTTCAACACGTTTTAAGGAAATGGACAAAACGGTTAACGTAAGAAGTACTTTCCATTATTGATTATAAGTCCACCAAAGAAACTTAACCCCAGATGAGGAAAAAGTGGCTAACACAACCACTCGTTACAGTTTTTAATAGTTTTACACTAACAGTGGCAAAGTGGTTTAAATAACAAAATCTGCACTCATTACAGATTATAACAGTTTTAGCCTAACAGACGTGTGTTAAAACCCCATACCTAAGAAGGAACTGTCCTAGTTTTGATCATTTTTGTCAATTTCGAAAGGTAGCCTTTGTTACACAGACCCCAGTGAGGAAATATATTGAGGCCTATAAGCCTTTGCATTTATTATGAGGCTTAAAATGCAATATCCTATAATTTTCCCTATTATTAACTGAAATTGATATTCTTTCTTTCTTTCTGTCTCGGTCAATTCCAGGTTTCGTAATGACGAATGTGACAAGATAAAAACCGGGATTAATTTTGACCGAGTCAAAAAGTGGAATGAGGACAAGGGCCCCACCCCCTTCGCGGTCCCTCAGCATAAGCATTCACTCCTTGGGTCAAGATAGGGGATAAATGGTTTTCTTAAACGTGGCATTGCCTCTTTTAGGTGGTGATCAGTTCTTATAAAAGGTTGTTAACAAATTACTTTCTTGCAGGCTACATACCTCCCTTCCTTGCCAAAAACATCAAAGTTATGGATTGGTTACCTCAGAATGATCTACTGGCTCACAAAGACATCAAGGCGTTTTTCTCGCACGTGGGTCACAACAGTCTGTATGAATCTGCATATCATGGAGTTCCCTTGGTCTGTTTCCCTCTGTTTGCAGAGCAGTATGAAAATGCTAAAAAGGTGGAAAATTTTGACCTTGGATTAACAGTGTACCATGACCGTACTAATGGTCAGGAATTGTCTACAACGATAGAGATGGTTATCAGTGAACCAAGGTATTGATAGTTCATGTTTTCTCTTGTTTCTGATCATTAAACCATTGCCTTTTTTTTAGATGGCTCTATTGGATTGTTCGGAGACCTATACAGAAATGTGCTGAATACTGTGCTATTCAAAAATGGCTTTAAATCGCAGATATAAGGGATATTTTTGTGTACCTTGCACAATTGATTGAAGTTTCCGTTGAACGTAACTAACGTTTTCGGAAAAACGTTTCCAAACCAAGAAGTTAACGTCATTGAGTGAAGTCTGTACGTTTGTTTTCTATTGTTTGTTATTCATATTTTTCCCGCCACCACAACAAAAAAAACCTTGCCTTTGCAAATCCACACCTATATTAAGTCTTGCTAAAACAAATTCTCCCAAAAATCTCGCAATATTTCGGACCAAAACAGAGAACTGACTGCATGATGTCGAGTTTAAGCACTGAAAACATTTAAGTTTCTGAAAAGAAAATTTTCCGACGTTTTTCAGGCGCTATATTGCTAATTAATTGGTCGTGAATCTTTTAGTGTTGTTTTTCAGAAGGGCAAGCTTTATAGGTTAACGTGCCGTTTAGACGGTTCCGGAAAAATTTTTGATCGGTCAAAAACTTGCACGGATCGGCCTTTCGTTTACACGGGACCGACGGAAACGTGCAAGTTTTTGAACGCCAAACAGTACTGCAGTCTTTAACAGAATTTGCATGGTTTCGTGTAAACGGGTTGCAAAGGTTAAAAATTTGTCCGTTCAAAAAATTCTCTGGATCCTTATCAACGGAGTGTAAATGGCACAGAGCTGTAGTTGAATTATCGGTGCCCGTTTCTTTTAGATTTTAACAAACTGCTAAGCGTATAAAGTTTATAACAAGAGGAATTGTGAAACTGCACGCATTTTAGGCATCCTACACTGATGAACGATTATTACATTTACATTATTCTTTAGCAGCAATTACTTACAGTCTCTTCCCTTCGAATTGCTAAGTTAATGTCCAGCTCCGAAAAATTTCCATACCCAAACTCTCATTAATCAGCTTGAGATTAATGCAGTCGACAGTTCGAAGTGGCGCATAAGAATTGCTCGTTCCAAAGTCTTTTCGTTAAATTTGAAAGATGCAAATTGTACATGTCTGTGTCGTTTTAAATTTGCTCCTTTTAATTTTGTCAGAGCGCAATCTAATGAATCCTTCACTCATGATATTCGAAAGTAATGCTTCAATTTACTTCATATGAAACATTGTCATGAAAGGAAGCTCTGAAACCTGGCTTTATCGATTTAGGGATTGAAATGAATTTCAAGTGGCTCTTTGTCTTTCAGATTCAAACAAACTGCAATGCGTATATCCAGCCTGTTAAAAGACCGTCGACGCACTCCTCTACAAGAGGCCTGTGACTGGATAGAGTATGTACTGAGGCATGGAGGAGCCAAGCATCTTAGACCTCAAGTGTTCAACATTCCTTGGTACCAGTACTATTTACTTGATGTCATTGTTTTCCTTGTTTCCTTGGTTACTGTGGTTGTAGTGGCGATATGGTTGACATGCAGAAGCCTCTGCCGTTTGTGCTGCAAGAGCAAAGGAATGAAACCGAAGAGGGAGTGAAAAAAATCAATTCCCAGAAATCTAAACGAACATGCGCAATGGAAAATGACACTTAGAAAATATCAAGGCATTTTACATACAGGGAAAACACAGACAACTAAAATAAAATCGAAAACAAATATCCTTGATTGATTCGATCATATCCACCTGTATATTCATACCATTGTATAAGCACTGTTGTTCCTTTAAATTAAACTGCAATTATATTTACCTAACAAGTAGTATTCGTCGCGTTTTGATTAAAATAGACGGCACAATGCATGGTGCAATTGACCTGTTACCATGCCCCCCGGGCATACCCCTGGGGATTTGCATTTTTTTTCCTTCTCTGGTGGTCTATTGCCTACCCCCGGGCACGCAGAAGGAAAGAATTCCCCACCCCCGAGCTCCTGATTGATGTCAAATTGCGTAAGAGCTGAACTGGGAGCTGCTTCGTCTAGTACGAATTTTGTCTACCAAAAAACTTAACTTGAATCTGAACACTGACCGTTTAACCACTTAAGATGGATCAAGACTTTTCAGAGGTACGTATATCTTGCATAATTTGTCTCCAGTGTTTCTGTCGTGAGTTTCCTGTGCTTTCAGCAAAAAAATCTATCTTATAATCTTGCAGGCACAAATAACAAAGACCTCAAATATGATAAAAGTAAGTTTTGCAGAGAATCTATTAATATATAGATTTAGCCAGGGCTAAAAGCGAAGCTCCCGTTAATAAATTCATAATTTAAATCAAACAATAAACTTGTAATCCACGGATCAGGGCACATTCATTTGACTTTTAAGGCAAAGGCTGAGTGATTTAAGAGAAAAATCAGAATTTGACCGTCCAAGAGTGAAACAAATTTTACATCGAGTTATTAAATAGTCTTATTTGTACACCGAAAATAGCAATCATGTGCGATCACAGTAGATTAGGCCTGGAAAACAAATAGACCTATTCGTGTATAGTATTTGCATTAGCTGTAGCATCATAATGTGGCATTCACCAGTGTCTCCAACATTGCTCCGTTAGAGAGACTATGGATAATTGGACAACCCCGAAATATAATTTTAAGAAACACATGCGCCACGATAGTCCTTGGTGGCAGCCAATTTACACGTTGCATTCCTCTGTCTAAAAGAGAGGCCAAAATATAAATCAGGCCGGATTTTTGTGTCCGACAAGTTTAGTCTACTAGTAAATCTTGGCGACGAATCTGGTGGCGTGTAAACCAGCCTTTTAAACATACTTTTCTCATCACGTCTCAGGTAAACAGTACACAGACCTCGGACAGAATTTGTTCTTTTTTGCCCTATTTAAACCTATAATTCTGCAGTTTTTCACAATTTTGCAAGAGAATTTGCACTCATTCAATATCCACGACGATCAAAGCACGCGCTTCCTTTGCAGAACAAATTATAGCATTGAATTATAAAACGTTTTCTGTTAGAAAAATCTGGTCCTATGTGATATGCAGGGTAATAATTATGGGCTTTTAATGAAAACCATAAAAAAAATTCCCAAAATCACTTTTCGGCCAGCCGGACGGGTTCTCACTTTTGACAGGCACCAAATTTGCAGTGCGATTAATAGAGTTACCATTTACGCTTCAACATGATAGAGAAATTGTTATGTTTAGGTTTTATTTCCCTTTATTCATTAAACTGTGTATGATTTTGTTATGTGTAATCTTTAAAAGCGAGTGATACCGCGGCGTTTTGAGTATTCCTACATGCGATGTTTATGTTCGACTGGAAACAACCGGTGCAGCGATGAAAATTGCGAGAGGGACTACTAACAATCAATAAAATAAGTTTAATTCGGTGAAACATGTACAGAGACAATAATTTTCATTCACGAAGAGAAGTATTGAGAGTAAAGTGTCTCAGAAAATCATGAGTCAGGCAAGCATAAGCTTATTTATGTTTTAAGCCGGCTTCCCGGTGTACGCTCTTTTTCAAGATGAACTCGAGGCAAGAAAATCGCTCAGAGCTTTCTGTTTACAGGCAAAATCATAACTAAATAATCTTCGGAACCTTTTCTTTGAATTTGCGGGTCAAAAAATGTCTAAAGGCTTTTTAAACCTGATACTATTGTAGGTTAGATCATTGCTCGTGTTTTAACTTAAGCCGCATAAACCATACGCTCGACTTCAGGAAACCGAAAAAAAAAACATCAAAAACAATAATGGCTCAGGCTTACCAGTCGAGATGCCGCTTCTGAAGGTCATCAAGTGTTCCAGAATCGCTTGAGACTTTTCAACCCTCTTACGCCTCAAGCAAGGGCAAGTGGGTAAGCTCATTTTTGAAAACGATGCCATCCGAAATCGGATTTCCAATGACTTTGACAAGCGGTGCATTTGTCAACAAAAAGTGCAATAAACAAACCAGCCACGAATTACAGAACAATCTTGGTAGCATCTGTATTTCAATTTGTACACCAAGTAGAAAAAGACAGTTTAAAACATCACAAGATGACACAAAACTCTGTCAGCTCCAGCTATCAGAAAGCAAGTTTCCAGACGCTGCATAAATTTTCCGCATAAACTCACCTGTCAAATTTTGACCAATCAGAACATAAAAGTTGGAAGTAGAGCGTGATCAACGCGTGACAGTGAGAAAAGTCAAAAGCGATTGCCTTCCCTGCATGTAAATGTAAAAGCCGGTTGAATTTTCGTGTCCGAGATCAGTTCGAAATCAACATTTTAAAAGTGTGGCTCATGAAACACGACTTATTGCATATGCATTTTAAAAAAATTGAACTTGAGCCTGCGATCATTTGAAAAGTAGCAACTTGTCAGCGGATACCTTCAAAATATTACTCGAACTCAGAGGGTCGATACCTGAGCCCGCGATTCGGTCAGGCGATACTGGTCAGCAGAAACACTGCTTTGACAGCTGTCAGTTAATCAAAACATGGATGTAAAATATCAGGTCGCAGGCTCCCAGACTAGCTAGAAAGTGTGAGATTAAACATTGGTATGCCTGTGGTGCGGACAGACGGAAGGTCGGGTGGTCGGTGTACGGTCACGTGATTGCCGAATTTTCTAGGATGGATAGATTTTCTATAAAGCTATGGGGCTTCGAATTGAGCCCGTGATCAAATAAAATATCAGCGCAAAACTTTAAACACTACGTGACCTCAATAGATAGAAAAATGAGCCCGCGATCCACTCAGGTGATGATAGTCAGCGTATACTCTAGTTTGACAGCTGTCAATTAACCTTCATTAGAAGGGGGAATATTCGAATTAACAGACTACAAGTGTGAGTAGGACATTTTCGTCCGGCATGTAGTGGAAAATGCCAGATCGTGTACCTGAGCGAACCTGAGCCCTCGTTATTAGTTTTCTGATGGTGGTCTGCACATGTCCCATTTTGACAGCTGTCAATTGACCTTAATTTGGCTTGCCAATGTAACTTTAAACAACTGTCAGCCAACTGACAGCCTTGCCCGGCGTAGTTTCGTTTTTATGTTGAATTGGTAAGTGTGACTTATATCAGCTTATATATAGGGGCAAAACGACCGGTCTTTTATCTGAGCCGGCGAGACGGTCATGTGATAATTGTCAGCGGATGTCTGATTTTGACAGCTGTCAATCTAATCGTACTCATACGGATGGCTTACATAACTAAGAGGCTAGTCAAGTTGTGCAAGATCTATTGTGACATTTGACATCGGCTTACATGAAGTGTGTGTACGGACGGGCGGGCGTACGCTACGTCATAACCAAATTTTCTCGGATGGATAGTTTACCAAATTTTCTTACTCATGGTGCTCCGCTACCCGCGCGCGAAGCGCGCGCGGGAGCTCCGGTATTAAATGAAACGCAAGTGCTGGGAAGGGTTTTGAGCCAGTTCCGTTACTTATACTATTTCTGGAAGAAAAGACTTCGAAGCACTAATTTTCAGGAAGATAACGAAATTGCTCTTGTCACGAGACGAAATGGCTTTGCTGGAAATGCCTTTTATTGAAACACGTCGAGTCGCGCAATAGAAATTAAAAATTCAAACTTGGCTGCGAGGCTTAGGGGAATGAAACAAAAGAAATGTTAAGGCACTAGTAATTATCGTGATAAAAATTAATAAAAAGCTTCCCTTAAGAGGAGCGTTTTCAGATGGCACTTAAAAATCCTTAGATCTGTAATAGAACGAATCTCACGCGGTAATACATTCCAGAGTGCCGGAGCTGCGACCTGGAATGATCTGTCTCCTAATGTAACCCTACTTCTATAAGTTGGCGTTGCAAGCAACAAACCATCCGAGGAGGATCTTAAATTATAATTTCCTGATCTTTTAATTGACACAGGTTCTCTTAAATACGTTGGCGCGAATCCATAGATGGCCTTAAAAACAAATAGTAGAATCTTAAAACTAATGGTTGCCTAACCGGTAGCCAGTGCAGCTCGTACAGCAACGGCGTTATGCGACAGTAGCGTGGCGCGCGACAAACTGGTCTTGCTGCGGCATTTAAACCGCGCTGAACCTTATTCAGGTGAGAAGCTGGCAAGCCATATAAAAGACTATTGCAATAATCTACGCGCGAGGTAACAAACGGATGTACGAGGGTATCTGGTATCTGTACTTAAAAACCTACGGATCCCACTTATATTATGCAAATGCATATTCATCAAAATATCATTCTTTACTTTGAACAGTTCTAACTCGGTGCTCTGGTTTTGGTTATACGCGGACTGGAGTAGCATATGCAAATCATTAGTTGTCATGTGGTCAATGAGCTGATTAGCCACTGCCTTCTCTGACAGTTTGGAAACACAAGGGAGGTTGCTTACTGGGCGGAAGTTATGGAAAGCAATGTCAAGTCCACACTTTTTAAGCAGCGGTTTTAGTAAAGCCTCCTTCCAATCGCTAGCGAATTCGCCAGATTCGAATGACAAGTTAAAAACCTCTAGGACTACCGAAGTAGACATTGGATTCAGCGGACATGATTTCTTGGCAGCTTTCTTGATAACCTCAGAGCATGTCAGAGACTTGCTCTTGAGATAACGTATCAGAATCAGCGTACCCCTTTTCTCCGGCTTTTGACATCTCCGAAGAGCTCTGCATATCAATTAACTGATTAATTTTATCGATCTTCTGCATAAAGAAATTTCCGAAACCATTGGCGAGATCATCTGGAGCTATATCCTTTGGAAACGACACCTCAGACGGTTCACACAGCAGCGACTTGGTGGTGCCAACGATTATTGCATCTTATCCCCATAAAACTGGTTTGCTTCTCGTCGATTTACCGGCACAGTTTTCGATTTACTTTTTCATGAAAACTAGGTAGAAAGGAATTCCGAGAAAAAAGCCGCCATGTTTGATTTTCTTCCGAAGCATTGCACAGGAATCCCAACTCGACATGACGAATAGGTCTTGCTCTTTTCCTATTTTTTAACACCATTCACTTTTGGAAAATTCAAGATCTTGCGGCAAGATTTGGAAAGTTCAAGTTCTTGCCGGCGAGTTAACTCACCACCCTTGAATATACGTAGTCTTAAGTTCCTCAGCTTCGTGCAAAACACGTGAGAAATAAAACGTACTTCGCAAAAGTCAAAGAGAGGTTATTTTTTATTTGCCCCAGCCCCCTACCCCACGGACAGGACCACTTCTAACAATTCCCCACACCCGGGCCCGAAAGGCTGGAGCCGCCTGGGGGATGGTAACCGGTCAAATTGAACCATGCATTATATGGCCGTCGGCTCCAAAACTGGCCAAACAAAGTTCTGTTTAAGTGTTCCAGTTCGCGTCAGAATTTACTGTAAAGAATCATTCTGTCTCAGAGCTGGCTGGACAGGGATGGTGGACGTGCAGTGAGATACTTAACAGTTAATGAATGAGGCTGAGTATCTTATGTTCTTAATACCTCTAGCTCCTCCCACAATAGGCAGCTCCGGCATCCGGCTCCGCCTATTGTGGGAGGCTCTAGAGGTATTAAGAAGTATAGATACGAAAGCCGAATTCAATAACTGTTTTATTATTCATTTAAAATAATTCCTAGTTTAAAAACATAGCTAAAACATGCGTACCTCCATCGATCCATCGATGTTAAGTTCATCTTCGATACTGTACGTTTAGGTTTGTCCACCTCCGCAAATATTCTCCAAATAGCAGATGTCGCCCTTCGAGTTGTCTTCTTGCTGTTCTTGCCATGTTTTTAGATATTTTTCGCCTAGTTCTTACTCTTAAAACGAGTGAAATGTCCGCCATTTTTTCAAGTTCACAACCAAAACAACTCAACCTCGTCCCTAGGTCTTCTCGGTTAACGGTGCCTTAACCTGCACGAACGCTGCATTTTTGACGTCATTTCCTCGTTAAAGTCAAATTTCTTCCAAATTTGGTCATCGGTAACTGGTTATGGTGAATTAAACGTGCGCTTTTAGCCAATCAGAATCAGGGAAATATTTTGAATGAATAATAATTTTAGTTATTGTCTCTTAATAATATAATTACCGACTCAAATGATCAGTTTTGGTCATGTGATCCGAGAAAAATCTCCCTCATCCGTGATAAAGATCATGTACGAAATTAAATGATGGCGTTGTTATCACCACTGATTTTGCTCGCATTGGTTGTTAGCTCCGTTTCATCTTCACGTATCGCTGGCTTCATGGCCCTTGGAGGATCCCAGTATATTAACATGAAACAAATCATGGAAGAACTGGCTTCTCGGGGCCACTAGGTAGATAAACAGTTAATATAATCTACGTCCTTTATTTTTGTGTCACGTTCAAGCAAAGTTTGTTGACGCGATCTCCAGACAAACTGGGCGCTTTGTAATGCCTTATTTTAAATTAACGTACTGAAAATACAAGCTGATTAATACTAAGGAAAATAATTTAAAGGGTTTTTTTTGGCTATAATCACATAAAACATGGATTTGAATATTATATAAAGCAACCGCATTCCAAACGAATCCATTTCACCACTTCACCAATCAGGGGTGGTCTTTAGGTATGATTTAGGAGATTCGTAAAAATTCGGAACGGATTCTCCGTTAGCGTGACAGCAATATATTGCCGCAAACAGGCAAGAACGTGACGAGTCTCACCAGACTGTTGTCAGGTACTCTTTTTACTGTTTGTGCCAAAAGAAACGAAGAGGTTATGAATCCTAATATCCGTACAAAGCAATGGAACTTTGTCAAGTATATGTTTACTGGTAATGATATTGTTTCACAGAAGAAAAAAAAACAACTTTAAGAACTACACATCAGAGGTCACGAGAGATCTTAGATGCTATTGCATTCCCCCTCGGAATTATCTGATCTATAAATAAGATCACTCAGAGATTAGATTTCTTGGGTTAAAATCCTTGCCTGTTTTTAGAATTTTGTAAAGAAATGCAAAATCCGTTTTTATACTGAGAGAGAATCCGGATTTGGATTTTTCAACGAAACGAAATCAAATTTCCAAGCCTTCCTTTGGGCGCGGATCCGTAAAAACCTTGTTCGTAAAGAATCAAGGGAAGCTGAAATTAACAATCTCATCTTCACAAGAACTCAACCAAATTAAGACTTCACAAATGCTCGCTGCTCAAATGGAACGGTGAGTTGTTTCTTTCCCAACTTGAACGATTGCATGTTTGCTACCCATAACCCAACCAAGCGCCGCTCGCGTTTGCATCGCTTCGATAAACCAATCAAATACTTTTATTCTTGCAAGTTGTTCGTTTTAGTTTTGTTCGAGCGTAAACATTTGATTTTCCAACCCAGTTTCCTATTTAAGTCCCCTTCGGAAATAGTATAAAGTACTCCAAGTCTACAACCAGTTGCAAAAATGTTACGTTGAGACACTCCCACGAAAGAACCACGACCTTTCTTGCTTCAAATCCCTCCTGGTCACAGGTCTGTGAGATATAATACTGACCTCCCTCCTACCTCCCATTCAAAGTTGTTCCTCCAAGTCTTGAGTATGGTCTTGTATTGCTAGCAACTTTGATAAGGGGTGGAGGGGGATCACAAGCACAAGATCATGGACAGGCCAGTTATGCCAAAATACGGCACAGTGTTTCAAGTACTTTTGCAACTGGTTGTTGCTCATAGTCTACTTTTGGCTCGTTTACAGGCTCAGATTTCGTTGAGGATTTTCATGATTTTGTACATTCACTGCAAACAAATGGTTAACTTAATTTTTGTTTTTAATTCTAACAGGTTTCACTGCTCGTTCCATCTTCCCAGAAAATTAAACCAAGTGACATGGTTCCACACAGGATTTACCAAGTGCCTCTCAAACCGGATTATCTCGATGATCTCATTCGTCTTGACTTTGAGGGATCCTGGTTACAGGGCATATCATGGCAAAGGAAGATCCTAAATATCTTGTGCGAAAGTGCTCTAAAGAGCATCGAAATGCTTGAAGAAGTCAAAGATTTGGACTTGCTTGTTTACGACAGTCCTATGGGAATGTGTGCTCCGTTGGTTGCTGAACTCCTTGGTGTTCCGCGAGTGGAAATATTGATGTCTGCACCAAACACCCCGTTTAGTTTTAACCACATGATTCCCATGCCTGTCTCCTATGTTCCGTCTCACTTGTCAGGATTCACTGATAGAATGACGTTTATGGAGCGATCTATTAATTTGGTTTCCTATCTTTGTGAAAAGCTTTTGCTGGATCTCTTATTCGGTAGTATAATGAATAACCTCAAGGTTAAGTACAACATTAAATCTGAAGAAAGTTACGAGGAGGCTGTTGTTGGTGCTGAACTGGTTTTGATTGCGGCTGATTTTGCACTGGAGTATCCTCAGCCTTTATTGCCAGGTAAGAATTGATCTCCGTTACACCAGTTAAAAACAATTTAGCGTACAGACTCTCTCCTTTGCAGGGGCTCCAGCTGGGTATTACAACAAAAAAAATCACTTTGAATTTAAAAAAAAAATAGTAAGCGTGCGGCCGGGCGACGGGAAGGATCGTCCCCTCGCTTCTCCCCATAGTCGGCGTTTTAGCTTATTCGCGTCGGTATAACGTGTTTTAACTACCATGATAAGAACGTTGGCGCTTTATAATAAACCCAAACAATTCCTAAACATTATATACTTTTTTAACAATTGGCTCATGCTAAATTAGGCTACAAAATTGGAGAGTACAAGAGAAGGGTAAGAGTTGCTCAAGGTTCTGTTGATAGCAACTCTAGTCACTCTAGCTTCTTGGGCGCTCTTCCAAAGTCCTGTAAAACCTGACACCCGCCTATAGCTGCAAGCACAACTTTTTTATAAAGTTGACCATGCTGTGGTACATGTAACTTAAAGGCGAAAAACAAACCAATAGAAGCACAAGACATTGCAATCAAATACATTGCATCGGATTTTCTTCAACAGGTAACCGTATGGTAGGACCATTGAATGTCAGGGATACCGCTCAACCTCTACCACGTGATCTGGAAGCATTCATAAGCAATTCAGGAGGGCATGGTTTTATCATTGTTTCCTTTGGATCAAATGTGGCTTCTATTCTTCCTCGAGAGATTGTAGACATGCTAGCAACAGCTTTTGGAAAGCTAAAACAGCTTGTGGTGTGGAGACTTAAAGGTATCTTATTACGTCACCAACACCTTCATGGCTAAAAATTTCAGTTAAAGGGCAGCTGAATAATAATAAACGTGCCCTCCGTGTGCAATTTATTGTTTTAAAAGGTCAAACTTATTCGCTTATAATAACAAATTTGTTCTCATTATAAAAACGAAAACGAATAGACAAACTGACCATTTTCCATCCTTTTCTCCTATTTGCCTATCAGGTATGTAAGCCGTTATCTGATGAAGTGTTTCCAGTTTAATATCATAGGTGACGAATTACTCCTTAATTTTGGCGCGAAATTTCAGCGTTTATTTGTAATTTCACATGTGAAATTACAAAATTGCCATGGCAACCCTCTGTACGTCTCAGTGTCAAGATGGCGACGAAGTTTTCAAATGCCGTGAATGAAGATGTCAGGGCACAAAAAGACGCTTTAGAAAACCTGAACACACAAGAGAACATCAAGAAGGATTCTAAGAGGCATTTTGTCGAAAAAGTCTGAAAAAGTCTGAACTTTGTAAGCCAAATTTAAGGTCTAAACGTTTGAGAGAGTGGAGTTCTCGATCGATACGATCCAGGATAAACATGTCAAAAATCCAAGATTGCTAAGGTAATTCGTCACCCATGTTATTAAAAGGTAATCAAATGGTATACTCGTGAAATTAGGGAATAATTTCACTTGCGTTTTGTCCAAATCCTAATAATTATCCGAGCCTTTATACACATACAAATCAATATGCCAAACAGACCTTAACTTATGCCAAAGAAAGTTGTACCTATTATAGGCTAAGTGATGAGTTCAGAATAATTTTAGCAGTCATAGAAGCCATACCCAAGATAGTAGACTATTTTTGACAGTTTTAAAAGGTGGTCTTTGAAACAATATTTTCGAAACGAAAGACTGAATAGGCGAGACCGCCTGGGGAAGACTGCACAAGAATCATTTGCCAGTTTATGGCCCTTGGCATTCACGGCGAGGCTGAGAATACAGACTCCATGACGTCCTTAATAAACTCCCGTAACTCTCCCTAACCCTGCCTCTGAATGAATGTAATGACATTTCTCAAGATTATTGACCAAAGTCCTTTATTGCAGGCTACATCCCTGCCTTTCTTGATAAAAACATCAAAGTTATGGAATGGTTACCTCAGAATGATCTATTGGCTCACAAAGACATCAAGGCGTTTGTTTCTCACGTGGGTCATAACAGTCTGTATGAATCTGCATATCATGGAGTTCCTTTGGTCTGTTTCCCTCTTTTTGCAGAGCAGCATGCTAATGCCAAGAAAGCGGAACATGTTGGTCTTGGCTTAGCAGTGTACCATGACCGTACTAATGCTCAGCAATTGTCTAAAACAATTGAACTGGTTATCAATGAACCAAAGTAATAATAAAAATACATACGGGTGGTCTTTTTATTATTATTATTCACTAAGCTCGCGTAAGGTAACTCCTTTGGATTTTTGAGTCAGTGATCAATTACCGTTTCATTTAATTGATAACGAAATACAGATAGTATGCAGTGTAATGTATTCTGGTAACAATAACTAGTTGTATAGCTATCCTCCCTTCCAATCCATTGTCAGATTTATTGCCCTCAGCCCATTCAGACTAAATTTTTCTACGATCTTTTGCAGGCCTTGTACGTAGTGTCGAATTGAGCCTTGTAGTGCATGTCGAATTGAGCCTCCTCGATGTTATTGTCTCTATGGTCTCCCAAAAATTATGCTTTATTTACGGATCTTATCGGCGAAATCTTTGCGGCAACTTTAAACTTATTTAATCTTAAATTTGTTTGCTCTTCTCAATTTAGTAATTTGATGGTGTATGACTACTACACAGGTTGTCGAAACGTCAGTCATTGTCAGAAACAGTCCCGCCTAGAACTACGCTCGCTCGAAAGATACCGTATTTATTCGATTAAACGCCACGGCGTTTATTAAATTTTTAGCGCTTCCAATGCGGCGTGTTCCAAGGGCGGTGTTTATTTCGAAATCACTTTTTTAAAATCACTGAAAATAAATCGTTTGTAAATATTATGTAATTTGAAGGTTCCAATGTCTCCCTCATTTTGCTGAGATAGAATCGTAAATGTCTGGATGCTGTAAATTACCAAGTTGTACCGAAAATTTCCTTATTATCCTCGGGTAAGTAAAACGCCACATTCTTCTGATTAGATGCGGCGTTTAATAGAATAAATACGATACATATATTCCACAGAATTATTAGAAATTCTAATGAGACCGAAACCAACAGCGGAATTGCACGAAATTTAGGTCTCCTTCTTATGAACAGTTAGTGCACTATGATATTTGCCGGGGCATGTTCATTTACTGTACATGTCTCTCGCCCCTTGTCAGGTTAATACCCATATCCCCAACAAAAAACGATAAAATTTCCAAATAAAATTTCCGGCTACTCAATAAGCAGCTTAAGATTAAAACATTATTGTCCGTGAGTGGGGTTGCCCATAAGAATAATACAAATCCCTTAAGTCGTTTTGTTCAAATTAAAAGGTGCATGTCATTTCTGCGCTATAGTAAGAATCTTTCAATATTGTTTTACTTAGGTAAAGACAAGAGCCATAACGGGACAGGGACGGAAACGCCCAGACTAGCCCTTATAATAATTTCACCAAAGTTATTTTTAGACCAATTAAACGGTTAAAAAAAATCGGAAATTTGTTTCCCGAGAGGTCCGCAAACTTTTTATTCAGCGCTGTCAAAGAGGAGGGGAGAAGATAACGGCGTCCCGCGTGGAGGTGCGTTTCATCGACGAAAGCGATTTTGTAAACAACGGAAATGGTTTTATCTTGGAAGATTGTCCCGATTGGGAGCTAGATTCCATGATTTCTTTGGAGTTGACTGATTTGCTAGATGACATATCAGTTTTTTAGGAGGAATTTAAATCCGCGGACAGCGATCCTTGTGGTGAAATCTCAATTTCGGTACAGGAACCTAGGCAGCAAATAAAGTTAGAAGAAAAAAACCACAGCAAAAAGAAAACAGAAGAGTGGGAATAATCGTCGCACAAAACAATCAAAGCAGCTAAAAGTCCGACTCGATTCCAGTGAAGCGACATCGACGCGGAATTGGAACAAAAACGCTAAAAAGCAAGCAAATCACAGCAGAAATCAAAAAAAGAAAGCAGCAAAGATGCTAATAAAAAAAGAACTAGAAGGTAAACGTCGTCCCATCTGTCAGAACTTCGTATCAGAACAGCTCTAACAACAAGTCATGAAAATTTGGAAACCGGTCGAAATCTTATGGCTAATCGAAGAAATACTCGACGCTCAGAACTTCTCAGTATTTCTGGAACTTGTAGCTGCAGTTGCAAAGGACGTAAACAAAAGCCGTCAAGCTCGTTTGGCATTCGAGGTCGTGGGCCAAGCGTCGTTAAACATTGCAGGAAACCAACACCTTCACGGACAAAAGGGAATTGCTTTTAGTTATTCAGATCCAGGAGGAACTTAAGAGAAAATTAAATGACCTAAAACCCTTATTTATCCGCAACAAAGAGGGTTAAGTTTCAAGAGAGGTAAAAGACAATGTTCTTGCATCAGAGGGTCAAACCTGCCGACCAGAAACACAGGAAACAAAACCCACAGAAAATCAATATGCGTGTCGTGAACAAGCGGCAAAAATCACATTTGCTCGATCAAAACTAAGAACCCTCCAAAGTATAATCTACCCGCCAGAAGGGAAAAAAAATTTGGAACAACCAGAAGCATTTGAAGGATTTTTGACTTTCGTCTGTCTCTTTTCATAAGCGGACTTCTCCTCACGGCTTTCTCGAGCTCGCCGAGGGAAACAGAATTTGAGTCCACTTCGGACAAATCATCGCTTATCCTACGCTTGCGAGTAGCAACGCTAAGTTCAATTTCTTGAACTGAAATGCGCTCTTCAGGATAATCTAAAATATTCATGCCGAAATGAAGACGCCTGTAAATTTCACTCGAAAAGGTCATGTTCATTATTCCACGTTGCCATTATAACATTCTGCATTGTTTGTCATCGTGCGTGGAGTTGATGACGTTTCAAACAATAGATTAAAGCGAGCGGACGTCCCAGGTATTAGACTTCCGTTTAAGTAAAACCTCTAAAAATAACTTTAGTGAAATTAGCATATCCCGGCCAACACCCTAAGATTTGCTCTCTTTTATTACAGATTCACTCCACTGCATAACAAGCAAATAATGAAATGAAATAAGCTAACACTACTTTAACAAACAAACAAAAAAAGAAAAAAAAAAGTTGTGGAGAAGGAGACAACCAAAAGCACCAATGCGCCATACTTGGGATGCTCTCTCTCGCATAACGGCTCTAAGTGACGATTAATACGTCGATACATTAGGGCAAGTTCTATGGACTAGCTTTTTACGTTAATAGTCGTAATTCATAACAAAACAGTTAAATAGAGAGTGATTTTTTTTGGTTTCAGATTCAAAAAAACTTCAATGCGTATATCAAGCCTGTTGAAAGACAGGCGACGCCCCCCTCTTCAAGAAACTTGTGACTGGATAGAATATGTCCTGAGGCATGGTGGAGCCAAGCATCTTAGACCTCAAGTGTTTAACATTCCTTGGTACCAGTACTTCTTGCTTGACGTCTTACTTTTCTTGTTGCTGTGGGTACTGTGATTGTAGTGACGATATGGCTGACATGCAGATCCTTGAGCCGTTTGTGCTGTAAGAGAAAAGGAACCAAAACAAGGAAGGAATAAAACAAATCAAGGTGGTTTGGAATAACGTTAACTTTTTTTTACGAGGGTAGTGTTCATTATAGCATACTTGAAAGGACTCAAAGTCAGTTATCTTTCTATCTCGATAATCTCCCCAATAATTGATAATTATGATTTATTTAAAATATATTTTCGCCTTAAATATATCCCTCGGCTAATTCTTCATAACCAGCTACCGTTGACTAAATTTGTTTGTTTGCTATAGCCCACTTAGGAAATGAGTGATAGCCTGTGACCAAACTAAGCGCGCACGTTTATTGGATCGTTTGGGGGGACGCGAAAAAAACATGACGGAAAGCAAAGTGAAATGTAGCGGGGTTAAAACAGCTCAAAACAGCCAAAGAGAAGGTGGCCATGAAAGAAAAACACATGAGAATGTGAAGCTAAAGGAAGAGGATGTACCTGGGGCTATTTTACCGCGAGAGAAACCTGAAGAATGCACCGTGAAACAGCTCATGAACCGCACCTAGGTATTAAACAGAGTGGAAACGGTTGTTTCTGAAACATTGAATCTAATTAACCTAACCTAACCTAAGTCTCATCAAAGTCAAAATAAACTCTTCAAGTATACTCATTGATCTGGGTCTCCCAAGATTTTGCTCAGGACAGGTGTTTTTCTTCGCATACGAGCCATAATTTAAGTTCTGGGCCTTGTCATGTAACATATCGTTAAGAAGCATAAGTGCATTCCAGTGAAGAAGAACAGTATCAAATTCAATATCTTCATCCTTTTCCTTAAATTTTGAAATGTCAAACGTCGGATTTTTCAGTGCATGCTGAAGTCTCTTTGAATCTCTAGTCAACTCGTCTTTTTCTTTAGCTAATTTGCCTTTTACCTCGCCTGTCGATTTTAATTCAAATTCCAATCGATTGAGAAATTCTCCGGTTATTTGAGTTTGCGTCTCAGTATCACAAAAGGAAAGAGTCGGTGAAACACTGTTGCTTTGAGTGTCCACGTCAATCTGCTCAACTGACACTTCATTTACTGAGTCAGCCTCAACGTCCATTTCGGTAAAAGAAATGTCAGTTTTTCTTTTCCTGGCTCTTGAATTCGAAGTTGCCTCTGACCTGTATAGAATTCGTTGTTCACTTTTTTTTTTACTCCAAGGAAAGATAGATGGTAGATGAGTTCTACTGCGCTTTTCACCACCATCCCAATGGAGAGAGCAAATCCGTGCGCTATAAGAGTTCAGATTCAAATTATCGTTCCGAAGCAAATGTACATATTCTCGCCGGATACGTTTTGCCTTGGGTATTCGAAAAAATGCCAGACCATGGGAGTTCTTGAAATTATTTGGGCACAAAGGCACACAGCAAGTTACACGTCCCGGCATTATTCCAGGTGGCTGTTCGGGGTTTTCTGTCCCCCCCCCCCAAACGATTCCATAAACGCGCGCGCGCGTATAGTTTGGTCCCAGGCTATCACTCATTTCCGAAGTGGGCTTAGCCTATTATTTTACGATTCACATCTGTCGTAAACTGGTAAACTGAAAGGTGCCGCAGAATGCGGCGTGGTGGCTAAGCTGTTTTGGCAAGAAAATGGTGGAAGAGTTTACACTTTCCCGGAAGACGAAATAGCCATATTACCGCCACAAAAACATAAGAGAAGCACAAGAAAATACCACCCGAAGGATGACAACTGCCTTTTAAAGAATATCTGCGGAAAAGAAAAACTCTTTTGTTTCCTTAATCTGCCGAGGAACGCGCAAATGTTTCAAGAATTTTACGTAGAGGTATTGGGATGCTCTGAGCTCAGAAACATATTAAATTAAAAAATGAGGTGATTAATGAATTCGGCTTTCGCAGCCAGTGTATTTTGGCGTTGATAATTCTTGTTTTACCAACTCTTTAACTCCGAATTCACGTTTATAGCATTCTTTCATGTTGAAAGTCTCTTCACCAATACCCCTTTAAACGATTGTATTAACCTGGAGGCTAAATAAACTAAGAACAACGTAAAATGTACTATGAAAGCTGAGTTAGATCATCAAAGGTTGAGATTTACCTGAAACATTCCTTTTTTTAATTTTACAGTTATATTGTGACCCGCCGGATTCAAGAAAATAAGTATATAATACAGCACTTTCCGGCAAAAACTTAAAACTTTCACTTTCAACACGAACGCTGATGGAAGACTTTTGAAATTGCTTGAGTCACTGAACACTGACCTCACTAAAGAGGGCCTCTCGAAGTAACAAGTTGTAGAAGCAAGCAAATGTATGGACAATCGTCGTTTCTCGCGTTAATTTACTCCTACTCAAGATAGCACTTAATTATACCTTTTTTTCCAGACAGAAAAGATGGCGGGAAACTTCAGTCAACGCTCTCCTTACAAACCACTCTAGGCGCAATGACTAGCTCTGAAGTTGTAACGAACAGCAGCATCGGAACCCCGTCTGAACTGTGACTTAAACTTTATAATGAAAAGCTCCCGTAAGCTTCGGTGTCCACGTTTTTGAAGTACTAGCTGGTCGTTTCCCTTGTTTTGAGTTCTCGTAAGTGACCCCTCGATCATTACATGAAAAAAAGGACTTACTCCTTGGTAAAATTAAGGGTTATACGCAACACAAGTGCTAACGGTTCGTTGAGGTCGTGTGTGAAAAGTAATTAAGTAGATATAGCCAAACGTTGAGGACTTCGGGCGAGTTTCAGGCTTCTTATCGAAGATCAAAACGCTCTTGCTCCACACTGGTGCTTTCTGTAAGTTTAACGTTAAAATGCGGGTGAGCAGATTACACGTGATAGAAGGTACAAACGCTTGTGACTTGATTGCGTTCTAAGCATTCCATTCATTCTTAGTGGAAGTCCAAACAAATGCTGTTCACTGGCGTAAAATGTCTGATTTGTCGATACGCCACCATGTGACATAGCGTAAATTCAACATGGTGGCAAAGTCGTCCCTCGTGTGTTTTTAATATTCCAGCCCTTCTATGCCCTTCTATATCTTCTTTAAGTACACGTGTATCGCCAGAAAACTTTGCTAAGTGTACAATGAGGGACAAAAGTGTTGGCACACTTCCGTAAAATGGCCCCTTTTTGCATAGTGGATATACTTATCCCATTCCCCTGTCTACCCCAACCCCTTCCCCCCCAAAATCAATGTTGAATTTTGGACCCCCAAGTCTTTTCTTTACTTCAGACAACATTGATTCGGGGGGTGAGGGGATTTACGGCGTTTAAAAAGAATGAAATAATAGATGAATTAAATGTTTGCTAAAAGCACCCGTTTTAAACAAGTGTGTCAACTACTTTTGTCCCTGATTGTAGCTGCCCTTAGTTTGATTCAGGATCAAGTTCATCTTCTCTGAAAAACGTAAATAAATGAAGTATACGTCAATATTTCATTGCCTTTTCTATTGATTCAACAGTAAACCACTTCACCAAGATAGAATGATCTAAGAGATCGAATCCCCCATACATGACCCTCTTTCTATAAAAATTATTTTAAATCTCTTCTTGGTTATGTGTGATACTGCGTAGTCATTTTAATAACGCCTCCTTATTGGTCGGTCAGAATGGCGTCAAGTAATTTTAAACTTGGCGGGTAATTCATTTTACTGCCGATTACGCACTGCACGTGATATGACGTGCGAACTTGGCATTACTTTCGCCGACGAGTCAAAAGATTTCTACGTGGAAAAATCTTTCCAGAGCACATGCCGACGAGGAAAACGGTCCTGCCTTGCGAGAGTCGCCGGAGAAAACGGGTGACGGTGCGACTCGGCGAAAACCGCTCATAATGGTCTTCGCTACACATAAGTAAGTAAACAACCAACAACCTCGAGTAAGTTATACTACAGACCTTAAGTTAGGGTGGACGGTATCGTGGAGTACGACAACCGGAAATAAAATTTGCCAGATTTGGGGCTAATTTGCGTATATCTCAGCCGTCCAGCCTACGTCGATTGCACATCGCGACGGTGAGAAGGCTTTAGTGCGGCGGCGTGTCGAGAACGTGAGTTTTCTCTCTCTGTTTTTTGTCTTCAAAATATCTTTATTTTAACAGAATACCGCTTTAACCTGTTTCTGTAATGTCTTTTTTACTTCAAATTGTAAGCCTTTTTCAATTACTTATTATAATTAACAGTAAATGAATGAGGTTGAGTATCTTATGAGGAATTATGGAGATCGAGGAGGGTGTTATCCGTCGAGGCCGTAGGCCGAGGCGGATAACACCCTCCGAGATCTCCATAATTCTTCATATGATACGAAAGCCGAATTCAATAACTGTTTTATTATTCATTCAAAATAATTCCTAGTTTAAAAACATAGCTACAACATGCTTACCTCCATCGATCCATTGATGTTCAGTTCATCTTCGATAGAGTACGTTTAGGTTTGCCCAGCTCCGCAAATATTCTCCAAATAGCAGATGTCGCCCTTCGAGTTGTCTTCTTGCTGTTCTTGCCATGTTTTTAGCTATTTTTTCGCCTAGTTCTTACTCTTGAAACGAGTGAAATGTCCGCCATTTTTTCAAGTTCACAACCAAAACAATTCAACCTCGTCCCCAGGTCTTCTCGGTTAACGGTGCCTTAGCCTGCTAAAACGCTGCATTTTTGACGTCATTTCCTCGTTAAAGTCAAAATTCTTCCAAATTTGGTCATCAGTAACTGGTTATGGGGAATTAAACGTGTGCTTTTAGCCAATCAGAATCGGCGAAATATTTTGAATGAATAATAACACTATTTAATGATGGAATATAGCACACTGAATTTCTTCAAATGGTACAACTGTAGGATTAGAATTCCCAGAGATGAAAAAGCTAATTTATGCAACAGGATAAATTAGAGTTAATGTGATAACCATAAACCCACCCTTACCAGTAATGGAACCAGCTCACTTCCTTTCAGGGGCACTTCCTGTGGCGACCCCTGTCACACTAATTGTTTCGCTCAGCCAATTAGATGCGAGCTATCACATGTACAGTTGATGCTTATATTTTCGCGCCTAGCTCAGCAAAATAGTACTTCATATTCTTCTCTGCGTGGAACAAAATGTTCGTTACTTATAGCCTGGTTTTTCCTTCATGAATTGGAATTTTTGCTAAGCTGTAATGACGAGATCACCGTTTAGGAAGGGCTACCTTGATCTTCCCACTGCATACAAGCCTTACGCGTTTGAGTTTTTCTGGACAGACCTTCCACGAAGAGGTGTTGCACCGCCGCTCTTGGTCTAACTCCGTCCTTGGAACATTGATCTACAATAGTTCAACCCTCCTCTCGAATGTCGCTGCTTTCTCCTCTTCTTGAACTTTCGACATCCTCTCGCATGTACCGTCACTTTAACCGTTTCGACTCTCTCGGCTGGCACTTCACAGTCAAGGTTCCTCCGCAGCAAATCATCTTAGGCCAATGTGTCTTCCTTTGGGATCAGAGTTGCTCTCTCATGATTCAGGTGCGGTATTTTTCTGGTTTATCGATAGTTAACTTAATATTCTTATTATATTGTGCCTCGAACGACATCTGTTTTTGCAATATTGTGTGCATGTGACTTACAACATTGATTCGGGGGGTGAGGGGATTTACGGCGTTTAAAAAGAATGAAATAATAGATGAATTAAATGTTTGCTAAAAGCACCCGTTTTAAACAAGTGTGTCAACTACTTTTGTCCCTGATTGTAGCTGCCCTTAGTTTGATTCAGGATCAAGTTCATCTTCTCTGAAAAACGTAAATAAATGAAGTATACGTCAATATTTCATTGCCTTTTCTATTGATTCAACAGTAAACCACTTCACCAAGATAGAATGATCTAAGAGATCGAATCCCCCATACATGACCCTCTTTCTATAAAAATTATTTTAAATCTCTTCTTGGTTATGTGTGATACTGCGTAGTCATTTTAATAACGCCTCCTTATTGGTCGGTCAGAATGGCGTCAAGTAATTTTAAACTTGGCGGGTAATTCATTTTACTGCCGATTACGCACTGCACGTGATATGACGTGCGAACTTGGCATTACTTTCGCCGACGAGTCAAAAGATTTCTACGTGGAAAAATCTTTCCAGAGCACATGCCGACGAGGAAAACGGTCCTGCCTTGCGAGAGTCGCCGGAGAAAACGGGTGACGGTGCGACTCGGCGAAAACCGCTCATAATGGTCTTCGCTACACATAAGTAAGTAAACAACCAACAACCTCGAGTAAGTTATACTACAGACCTTAAGTTAGGGTGGACGGTATCGTGGAGTACGACAACCGGAAATAAAATTTGCCAGATTTGGGGCTAATTTGCGTATATCTCAGCCGTCCAGCCTACGTCGATTGCACATCGCGACGGTGAGAAGGCTTTAGTGCGGCGGCGTGTCGAGAACGTGAGTTTTCTCTCTCTGTTTTTTGTCTTCAAAATATCTTTATTTTAACAGAATACCGCTTTAACCTGTTTCTGTAATGTCTTTTTTACTTCAAATTGTAAGCCTTTTTCAATTACTTATTATAATTAACAGTAAATGAATGAGGTTGAGTATCTTATGAGTAATTATGGAGATCGAGGAGGGTGTTATCCGTCGAGGCCGTAGGCCGAGGCGGATAACACCCTCCGAGATCTCCATAATTCTTCATATGATACGAAAGCCGAATTCAATAACTGTTTTATTATTCATTCAATATTTTTCTGGTTTATCGATAGTTAACTTAATATTCTTATTATATTGTGCCTCGAACGACATCTGTTTTTGCAATATTGTGTGCATGTGACTGTACTGAGCGCTTTGAGACATGGAAAGTTATTTTTGAGTTAGCTTACTGTATTACGAAGAAGGACTTGGCGCCGCGGCCTCTGAAATTCACTTTATTCAAGTCCTGAGGATTCAAGCATGCATGTCCGTGCTTTTATTATGCTCTTACTATGGAGTAAGAAAGAATACGAACTGTCAAAATCAAATCTGTGACGACTGGGCCTTCGAGGTTTTCTCAAATAATGGATTGAATTTCAGTTTCAATTGTTTTTTCACATCTAACATATTTGAGTTGAGAATGATACATGACAGAAAATCATCAAGGTCGGTTTCATGCTTCGCACGTACAGACTGCTCCTTGCGAAAGGCGCGTTTTACAGTATTCGAAAATCAGAAATTTCCTTAGTTCTACGGATCATAAACAGGAATTATAACCTAAAAATTTCAGGATTATCTGTGAGAGCAAAAAAAAAAATATATATATATATATATATATTGAATACACTTCGTGTATTTGTGGGGATAAAGTGCTCCATATAGGTCGCCCCTTTGCCCCACAGACTCACACGGTCAGCTTTTGTGGCAGAATGGGCCCCCAGACAGCCTTGTTACATGGTAACAAGGACCTAACCTTTTTTGTTGTGGTTGTCCCCAGGGGGCCTGGGAATTAGGATCCCAGAGAGAGATTAGGACCTCTCTGTAGCCTGGGGACTTGATGGCTTGTTGTGGTTGTCCCCAGGGGGCCTGGCAATTAGGATCCCAGAGAGAGGATTAGGACCTCTCTGTAGCCTTGGGACTTGATGGACTCATGAAAAGGAGGGAGAGGATTACCACCTCTCAGGGCCTGGGGATCAGGACCCCCGAGAGAGGATTAGGATCTCTCTTTAACCTGGTTGTTGTGTTGTTGCATGATAATGTTCTCATTTGGTGAGTCCTCTCTGTCGGAGCTAACCTTTCTTGTTGTGGTTGTCCCCGACGGGCCTGGGGTTGTACTGTTTTCATTGTTTCAATAATTGAGTTGAAACCATAAATAATACAATTACTTTTAGTAGCTTACAAACAACAACCATGAGCATGTGTATTCCGATTTATCGATAAGGAATTGTTTAAAAATGTTTTCAATATATATTGGGTTCTCACATCTCAGTATCTGGCCCTGACTTGATAGATACACCAGTTGCATCCAGTTTGTGTAATTAGTCAATTAATTGTGCTTAATTTACAGACTGATCCTTTGTTTTCTTCTTTGTTATTGCATATCTCCTCATCTGCTGTGGAGGAAGTCTTAGGCCCCTGACCAACTTGTTGCTGTTCCTGGTTAAGTCCTCAGCTGATACCTGGTCGATGGGACATTTGCCCAGTCTAACCTTTCACGCAATGTTCAAGTACCATGTGACCATTATTTCAAGTGACATTTGACTTTGGAAATAGCCCTACAATTCCTGTTGTTCGTCTATGGGGAATACCCCCTTTGGGGTATTTGTGGGGATGAAGTGCTCCCATACAGGTCACACTTTGCCCCATAGACTCTTGTTACTCCTTAAACCGGGGAATTAGACATCTAGAGAGGTCTTTCCACCTCTCAAGTACCCAATGGGGATTATCACCTCCACTCACAACCATGGGGGATTATCAACCTCTAGAGAGCATTATCACCTAGCTTCTCACTATCCTGGGGGATTATCACCCCCAAGAGAGGATTATCACCTCTCACTATCCTGGGGGATTATCACTCCCTGAGAGGATTATCACCTCTCCCCTTGTAGATTTTGGATTGTTACACCAATATGTAGAGAAAAGTGACCTGCTGTCCATATTTGGAGTACTTCATCCCTTACCCCTTTTTCCCATAATAATTCTGGTCTAGTTACTTGCTTTTATCTAAGGGGTTATGGGTTGAGAGCATTAATAACACATTTAATATTCTCGCATTATGTGAACATCGGCTTCTACCCTTTTCTTTATTCACGATGTATTTAGTTCATTTTTTTCTGGTTAAGTTATAGGCCAAAATGAAATTACGTGTTCATTAGTTCATTTATTGGACGAAATAAACCCCTTGATAAAGCAGGATGAAGTAACTTGTTTATCGCGCGCAACCTGTCCAACGTATTAATTTGCTCTTATTATAAGAATGTGTAGTGCACTAAAGATCACGATATTCAGCTTGCTAAAGAAATTCTTGTAACTGAGCCCTACCGCTTCAAGTCCAGAACTGTGTAAGCTCGATTACCAGCCGTGGTTAGCCTAAGAACTGTGGAGAGTGGGGAAATGTGGCAATACGTAGATCGCAAACGACGAACATTCGCTTTCGAGTAACAAAGCGCTTCACTAGATTTCATTGTACAAGAGAAAGAATTCCTCATCTGATATGACATCACCATATAAAAGTAGACCAAAGTCTCTCGGATCTCTTTCAGGGAACTCATTGTCTCTAACCTTCAATAAAGTTAAAAAAAGTATTTGACCGTCACCTGTACTGAAACTTAAAAGTTTGTTTCTCTCGCCAAGTCAACGTCGTCCCTCCCCAAGCCGCCGCAGCCAGAGTCACCGCCCTCTATGTCGCCGTCCACCTAAGTTTAAGGACTGTAGTAACTGTTGTAAATGACAATGGTCTATCCCGGCGATGAACAGGTAAACCCGCGAGCTGTGATACCGTCGTTTGGATCCAAAAGTGGACAAGTAAAGAGAAAATGGGTTCTATGTAGGTTCAAACATGCCATGTTTGGCCCCCAAACATTTGAATTTTGAGAGGGGGTTAGACAAATGTTTTCTTGAAGTTTCTGGCTTGAAGATACCGAGGGTCCTAAGAGGACTGGGATATCATGGCAGTTATCGGTGGTGTATAGACAGAAGGAGGAGGAACTGCAATGGTAAGCCCTCATCCACGCAGTACAGTCCTGTACCCAAGGGAGTTCAGCTGTGCATCCATGATGCATCATGGGCTGGAAACAATGAGCATCTTTGGTGCTTCGGAAGATAGTGACTTGGTACTCAGAAAGGTTTATTCCTGTCTCCAAGACGGCTCTGTTAGTGGTTTTCCAAAGGGTATCCGCTTAAGAGAAACATCTCTCCAAATCCCCCAAAAAGGTTTACAATCCCCTAAGATACATTTGTTAAATGACTAAGCAAAAAAGGGTTACAAGGCCCGTTTGAAGGGAATTGTTCGCATATTGCCTTCATTCAAAGCCCCAGTTGTTCCCCAGGAAGTTCACTCTGTTTTAAAAAAGGGATGGGATCGCAGAGCAATAAAGAAAGCCTGCTGATTCAGTGAAAAGCACTAGATAAATTCTGCAGTGGTCAAACTACGTTCCACAAGCTTGACGCTGAGGGTCTTGCGAGGGAAATGTGACGTGCCCATGGGGCCAATGCTGTACGCCTTTTAAGCGTCAGTATTTCACACCACCACACAGGCTATCTTAATTCTTACTTAAACAGATTTCAAATAATTATTATGGGGCACAGGAATTCGCTCTCTTAGCTCATTCTCTCTTGACTTCACTCAGCAACAACCTCTTTAAATAAATTTTGTAGTAAACCTATAAAAGCGAGAAAATACCGACAAAGTTGTTTCTACCACCAATACAGCCTATACCCTCCTTGAGGTGGTTGGGATTGTTGTCGGGCTTTTGGAAACCGTCGCCCTTCGTGGTCTTGTGGCTCGGAATTCCCATACACAAGAGGCCTTGGATACGTTTGGCCACATGCGGCCCCGACAGCAAACTGCTACGCGGTGCGGCTTTACTTTTTTTATTTTTTTGTGGTCTTCTTTTGCACTAGTCTACAATACAGACGCCCTTCTATGTTCCCAAGCGACTCTTTTTTCGATTTCTTCTTGAAGAGACGCACCCCAAACAGGCGTTTCCTCGTTTCCTGTTTATTGTTAACCGTCCTACCCCACTGGGGATAGGAAAAGGATCGTTCTTGGGACGTTGAAAGATTTTCTCTGCGCAGTGCGCGACTGTATATTCGTATGCAGCGAGATCCAGTTTTTTTTTTTTAACTTTTGGTTGACGGAGTCGCACAGCAGACCAATCTTGTTTGTTCCACCTCCTCCTTTGTTCTCTCCAAAAGCTCTTCCTGCTCCTAGTTTTCCAGTAGTTTTTGCAGCTCCTGCAGCTCTTTCTCCTTTAGGATGGATAATACGGCAGTGGGGTTCCAAACAATTTTTGCTCCAGAAGATTTGGGGGTCTTGCACAAAGATAAGCAGTCTGGTGCTTTTTCGTTGCAACCACTGCATCGTGCGGCTGTAGCCGTCCACCTCCTTTTGAAAACATTACGCTTGGCTGTCTAAAATTCTTTTCAGGCCACTTTTCTCCCAAACACAAACCGTTTGGTCTTCTTTTGTCCTGCAGCAACAACTCTTTTCCGGCCGGTTTGCGTATCCCGGCACCCCAAGACCCGGAGAACCTTCCCAGCCAGTTCTGCGTTTTTTTGTGTCCGTCTTCCAGAAGGGCTCTTTGGACAGCGATTCTGGTTGCAGCCCTTTCTTCCCAAAGCTCAGGGATTTCCTTCGTGGCGGCTTCCAGCCGCTCGATCTCTTTCTGCCGTATTTCTGTCTTTCTCTGCAATTTTTTCCATTCGTGTTCCCCAGTCCAGGCGCGTCTTTGCTTCCAGCATCTCTTTGACGCAACAAGCGCCCTCTTTGATGCTTGCCTGCTCCAAAGCCTCCATCACCAGCTGTTCTGTCACAGTTTTGGAAAGATCCTCGGACACGCAGGCGTACAGCAGGACCCCGGTCCGCGTTCATCCGCTTCTTTGCACGTCGGGATGCCGCAGCATCCGGTAAAGGTGCTTGTTGGTACTGTGTACATAGTGCGCCAAGTGGCGTCCAAAGGTTTCCCGCACCTCTCCTGCCTCTAACTGCGAGACAACTTTGTTGTAGAATTCGGTCGACGTTGTGCCTCCGAGGCGCATTTGGAAGGAGGTGTAAACGTGGTCGCTAACGCTGGTCGTATTGTGCAGAATGCGCCCGCCGCTATCGAAAAAAGCAAAGTCTCCTTGGCGGGAAAATCCGTATGTGTCCACCAAATGCTGCGCCAACGCCGGCAGGTCCAAAACGACACAAAAGTCTTAAGTGTAGTATATCTGATAGAGGCCAAAACCGAAGGTCCCAGCAAGCGCCGCATGGCTGGCAGCCTTTTTTGCAGCTGTTCTATTTCCAACTCCCAAACATCCACCTTGGCAATGAAATAGCCCACAGCTTCCTCTTGGGGGTCGGGCTCCTTCCACTTACGGCGGGCCCGGTAGTTCGTTTCTTTTTCTATTTTCTCCACCGTCACCACAATGAGGCTGTTGAGGGACGTTTTATCGACGACGTGGCCGATCGCGACGCTTTTGTACCCGCCCTCCTCGCTCCAGACTTCTCGAGCCCTCCTCGTCGGGGATGCACGAAACTCGACCGCGCACCGACGCAGTTTGGGCATTCCGGAGCGGCCCGTAGACGTAGAAATCGTCGAAAAACACCAGCAGCAGCTCTAAGAGTTCGAACTTTGTTCGCCCTTGATGTCCGGCCAAATAGTTGACGCTTGCAATGTCGGGGATCAAATTGCTTTCCCAGACGACGTTCTCTTGCAAAATGTGTTTTCCAAAGTAGCCCTCTTCGTTTCCATGGTGCATGTATACACAGTAGCTGAAAAGTATATGTCTAATTGGCGGGCTACTTGGTAGCCTGAGATCCAACTAGGCAAAACAAATCTTGCAGGTGCGCCTCTTGGGTAACCAAAAATGTTGGTAGCCCTGACAAAATTTCCGCTACTCTGAATAACATGCTGTGCCACAAAAGGAACCAAAGTGATACGAAGAAGAGAAAGTGGAAAATCAGAGGTTTTGGTTTGTTCGATCACCGATCGCTTTGTGAAGGTATGTGATGTAGTATGCAGAGTGAGAGTCCTGTCTGTTGCCCCATTTCTCACCCGCATCGCGAAAAATATGTTCGCTGTGGCCGGACCCGCAGCCATGCCGCGGTATCGTCGATTCAAATGCAGTGTAGTATATAAGGTGATAAAGCCCTGTGACAGCTGGCTAGGCCTTCATTTCAGTATTTTATGCTTTAGCCACACAAAGATTTAAAGGCGGCTAAGGCATAAAATACTGAACGAAGGTTTAGCCAGCTGTCACAGGACTATCACCTTATATACTACTAGCGCAAACCTCTGCGATGATTAGTGTGTACGCGCTCAGATTTAGCATTCAGAATATTTGTTTTAATCAACGAAAGTGGAACCGAAAAGGTCTTAGCTACCACTCCCCTGCAACTAGGTGTAAGCTAAATCAAATTTATCCCTCTTCTTTTTAATTTTCTGTTGTGTTGTACTACGTTGCGATTAACTTGAACTACGCATAAAATTTCAAAGTTGGCTAAGATGTTGACAGTGTGTGCAGACCGAGCTTTAGTCAAGTTGTAGAACTCAATCATGTCGATTTATAGCTCAAAAAAGGTTTAAACGTTTTACAAAACGGACGCTTCCGTACAACTCAGTACATGCTGATTTATATACCAAAACAAAGCCCAAGAATTTTTCTTCCATTGGCATTTTATTTCTTGTTGTACCGATCCGCGAGTTGCACGAGACTTGCACTAAGCATATTAAAAGGTGAAAATGACCTACCTTTTTAGCATGACTTCAATTCCAACGATCGCAACGCCGATTTCAGTTAAATGGATCGAGCCGCTGTGTTTTGCTGACAGTTCCAGCATGCATTATCCTCTGGACAACACACATCACAAAAAATTTCAAACAAAATATTTTAATCTCTCACAGTGGCAACAAAACCTCATCACTACAGACTATTGTGAAAAAAAGCTGTCATTTCTCCTTTCATCTTGACAACATTTCGCGGGTATTTTGCCTCTAATCCAATGACTTTACCGGAGATCGACCATTTAATTTTTCGCGGCACAAGCGAAGACATTTTTCGCTAGTGAACCAGTGCTGGTTACATTCCTGCCAAGCATACGTAATAGCAACCTATAGATTAGGATTACGGGCTCTGCGGTCGCAATCAAAAAGACTCCATTCAAAAATATTTAACCTGTATTTGTTGCTCAAAGCTTTCGTAAGGGTCTTCCTTTTAAAATTCGTTTAGCTCATGATCGCTGCCAAGAGAGCCCATTCTCTATTTGCGACCTCAAACATTTGCGTTGACTACAAAGACATGAACAATATAAGTAAAAGTTGTAGGTTAACTACTAACAACGGGCTTCAGTTGTAACAGAGTTTTCTTTTTTTTCGTCTAAGGAAAATACTCAACCGTTACTTTCAAGATTTTGTACTCCGAATCCGGGTTCCTTTTCCGGATTCCAGATTTCCATGTTTTAGGGTTGCTCTCAGTTCGTGCCAAGGATCATGCATAGAAACAAAAAGATGGCGTTATTGGCGCTGATTTTGCTATCACTGACTGTCAGCTCCGTTTCATCGGCGCAGATTGCTGGCTTCATATCTCTTGGAGGATCGCAATATATGACCTTGAGACGTATCTTGGAAGAACTGGCTTCTCGGGGCCACCAGGTAGGACAGCCAAAAATAAATTCATTCTCGTGTCACACAAGCTATTTAATTTACGCTGGAGTGCTCCATCAAATTAAGATGAACACTTTGAATCATCTTAAATTCGGTACTGAGAGTACTAAACTGCGAAACAGAGCGAAAAGATTCAATGTATTTTGTGAATGCCAAATAACTATAAAGATACAATAAAAGTGAATACTCACTTCAGTGAGTTAAGTTCTCAGTTCACTACGTAACGTTCGAACTCATTTTTTGCCTTCCTCGCTCAAGAGTGTGGACTGTAGATGATAGGAGAATTAAGTTATTCGCATTTTTTGAAAGGCATCTCTTTAGCCCCTTTTAGTCGTTTATTATCATAAATTGGACTAGGTACACTATACAGCTTTGATTTGAGTGCCCAGTAAATCGATCGGCTTCGAAATTCAGTCCTGAAAAGTAAGGGTAGGTTTCTATTGCTAAAGGTACGTGCGTGAATATAGTCACGCGCCATGCACATTTATATGCATTTTCCGTCGTGGGTAAATATTAATTTTAATTTAAAGTTTCCATATTATCACTGGCAATTGTGCAATCGCCTCGACTTCGCGAAGCGGGAAAATTGGTCAGATGACACGGATTTAAAAAGATGTTATGTAACGTGTTTCGAAGTCTCGTGGTCATCGAAGTAGGCTAGCGATGAAAAAGATCTCAAAAGCAGAAATTGTAAGTTTCGAATCTTTTCTCACTTCAAGTAAGAATGATGTTGTAATTGGTAATCTTATCTTTTGATTAATTAAACTTCAGTTGACTATGACGGACTCACGTATGCTACGATCCGGACTTATAGTCTAGTACAAAATAAGCCCTTAAGCGTTGAAACCCTGGGGTTGTTCTTCAAACCAAAGCAGCGCCTTAAACCATAGGAGCGAATCACGCGTACAGTGTACAGTATGACGTTACCGGAAGCTTAGAGTACATCATTTTTTCGGTCAGTTTAATAACTCTTGCAATTTTAAACGGCAGTTTTCCAATAAAGTGAAAATGGATACGGCATTTAGGGAACTTAATTTCAACTGTCTATCGGTTCAGTCGTTAACCAAGAGATAATCTAATTTTCAGATTTTAAATTTTAAACTGAGTTTTCATGTAAATTATAAAATCTTAAGTTTTAAATTTTAAACTCATTTTTTTTTTAGCAAAAAAATGTAGTAACATTGTTTTTTGTTGGAACACATGATCTATATTTAAACTGTAGTTAGATAAGAAAGTATTTTATTTTTCTAGTACACACGGCCCCTCAAGCATCTTACTGCTTTATTACTGATCGTGTTTAAATAAAGGATATTCATTCATTAATCCATTCATAAAGGATAGCGTGCAATATGATACTATAGATTTAGCCAGGGCTAAAAGCGAAGCTCTGGTTAATAATACGTGTAAACAAAACAATTAAATCGTGTAATGCTAAACGGGGACGACAATGAAAATGGCTTCAAAACTAATAGATCTAATTAGCAAAAAAACGAATTGCACGTGCAGCACACTTTTTCTTCTAATTAGAAAAAAACAAAATTTGCCTCTTTTTTGGCTTTTCCTTGCCGTTGTTTTGCACGACTACAACGCTGTTTTGTACGACAAAAACGTCAAACGTCCTAGTTACAAATTATTTTTATGGAGGGATTGTCGTGTGTGCTTACCCAATATTTTGTTTCCTGTGTTCATGTTGGCTTTTATTTTTCACTGCCGCTCATTTTCACCTTGCTGGCCGCAAGCATTTCTCATTTTCTCACCGCCTTTTTGAATTTCCATGTTTTTCTTCCTACGAATTCGTCTCACTCGCTCTAGCTCTTTCTCTGTTATCCACGTTAGTGGAAACATAAAAAATAACTCCGAAAAAGACACGACTTTGTTGTTGTTTTTTCTTTCTAAAGTCCGGGCGGCCATGTGATTTCCTTCCAAATAAAAACGTGAGTTGCATTTGGGTTGCCATACCTGTTGATTGAATTATTTTACATTGGTTTGCCTGTGGTGCGGACGGACGGTCGCTCGCTCGCTCGGTCGGTGTACGGTCACGTGATTACCAAATTTTCTAGGATGGTAGATTACCACATTTCCTTAGTTATGGGGCTCCGCCCACGCACGGCGGAAAAATTAAATAAGGAAGAAGTGAACGTTGAAAGTATAGGAAAAGAAACCGTTGAAGTCGTTATCCAAAGGAAATTTGAAATGTAAATTAGTATAAATAAATACAAATGTAAGAAATAAGGAATGTATTACATTTCATCTTTGCTATTACATGTAATTCTCAAGGGCCCAAGCCTTTTGCCTCTCTTGATGAGGTATTCTTCTCTTATTAGCTTTTCACACACTGTCTCTATTGGATTTAATTAGTTCTAGTGGAATACGTGTGATGTCATTAGCAGAGTGATCATTGGCAAGAAAATGTTCTGAGACCGTGGTGGGTTTGGAGATATTAGATGGGTTGTCAACTGTTCTGCGGTGTTCTTTGAAACGGTCTTTAAGTCGTCGTTTAGTTTGTCCGATGTACCGTTGTAAGAAGCTGTTGCACTGTACCATGTAAATGACGTTTCTGGAGTTGCAGTTGTTGTGATGGGTGGTAAGTCTGGTTTCAGTTGTAGAGTGAAATCTGTATGAAGTTTGTCCGCCAGATGTGCAGTATTTGTAAGTAAAACAGTTTTTTCCACGTAGGTATGAGCCTCGGGGTTGGTTGTGATGGGTGAGATTTCGAAGTTTAGCTCTGACGAGAAAATCACTGAGGTTACTAGTTCGTCTATAAGATGCAATGGGTACAGCTTTAAAAGAAGTTAAAACAACGGGGGATGAAATTAAGATGTGAATTTTTTTGCGAATAATGGACGAAAAGAAACGAAGAGCTGGGTTGTACATGATAACGAAGGGAACATGACCTGGTTTGTCCATTGTGGTAGTGCCACTGGGCGTAAGTGCTTCTATCTGTAAGTGTGATGTTGTTAATTCGTTGTATTTCCTGTTGAAGGAAATAGCGGTTGTAGGCACGTTTGTAGAGATGGACGATAAGGTCATTGGTGCGGAGTGTAAGGGTCTCGTTGGTAGAACAAATGAAGCGGAGTCTAAGAGCTAGACTGAAAGGAATAGCACCTTTTGTGTGTATGGGGGGACATGGCAAATGTAGTAATTAGTGGTGTTTGTCAGTAGGTTTGGTGTAAGGGTCAGTGACGATTTTGCCGTTGTGAAGTGAGACGTTGACATCGACAAAGAGTATGGATGTGAAGGAATAATCGAAAGCGACCGTTTTGGAGAGGTGGCCGTTATGGGGAGATAGGGATGTAATATAACACCTACTTTTGGGGAGGTTGGGCGGGAGGGGAGTGTACTACGGGATTATTAATTGTGCCCTGTTCATGCCTGCTGTAGCCTTCAATCATATGGTAATCCAATCATAAAAGAATTATGTTTAGAAAAAAATACACAGTAAACTTTGAATAATGTTTTGAATCAAAATGTTGACAAAACAAAACGAGCAAGGTTTGCAACATTCGCTATGAGTATTGAAACAATTTAAGCTCACTGCAGCATATAAATGGAACACAATCAAAATACGTAACTATATCATTTGCTGCGAGTAATCATAGAAGCGCCTTACGGATCAAATTTCGTGATCATTCTTCACTTATTCGTCAGTCACTGAAAAGAACTGGGCGTTGTCAAGAGTTTATTTTGGCAGTTGGGGACGCGGTTCAGTGGCCGTTGCCGTTGTAGAGGGGTTTTATTAATTTCGCCACGGTGACGCAACACGGTGACAGGGGATGAAACAAGACTTACCTCCCTGCAACTGATATCAACCCACTCATTACCCACCCAGGCCATGAAAGGTTGTACCACACCACCGTGGTCTACGCCCCCTACTCTTTACCAACAGAAGCGTGGGTTCTTTTACGTCGAACAAGAATCAGAACAGTGGAGGAGCTATACATGGGGGCCTGAAGTTTATCGTCCTTTTCCGAGAAGGTTTAGACAAAAGTCATTGTATGGACTGCCAACGGAGACAAAAAAGTGGCCGTTGTAGAGAACGTACGCGTGTAATGCATTACTGCCTTGCATTCATGACTTGTGAATTTTTTCGATTTCACTTAGGTCAAGTACGATTACGACTTTTTTATGTCAAGCAAGCTGTGTTCTAAGATTTTTCTCCACTACCAGTAATTGCCTGTTATGAGACCTTCTGTTTTCTCTTTAGAGATCATCGGCGTAGCTTGTGGGAGCAAAGTGCAGGGGTGTTTTTTTCACTAAAAGGCTCTCGAGAAAGCTTCACTCTTTTCCATTCTCCCCGCGGATTTCAACCCAAACAAAGATGGTAGTAGCCCCTGTAGAATAAAGCAGTCGCGCGAGACACATTTCACCAGCTACGCGGGCTCTGTGCCAGGTCTAGATCGAGTTGCAAGTTTGATTAAATTGATAATGTCAGCCAATGAAGACCAAGTTTGGTAATGTGTAGTTACTAGAATTCATATCAAGGCGACGAGCCCTTGTACGTGGTTTAAGATCCGTATACGACACCCATAAAGAAAGGCCTCCGAGTAAAGGTCAGACTAGACTTGCTACAAATCGACCTCTTTCCTCTTTCATTGTGAGGAAAAGAAATTGAATTGAGTATCTGTGTAAATGTTGTTAGCAGACGCGACTTCACGTCTGTTAACATAATCAGGAGGCAGAATTTCACCACCACTGAGGTTTTTTTAAATTTCTTCCTTAGGTATCGCTAATCGTTCCTTCCGCCCAAAAAATAAAACCAAGTGAGAAGGTTCCACACAAGATTTACCAAGTGCCCCTCAAACCTGACTACCTCGATGATGCAATAAGGCTTGATATAAACGGACCCTGGTTACAGGCACAGAAAAGGATGAGAGACGTCCTGAATATTTTATGCGAAGGTGCTTTAAATAGCTCACAGGTGCTTAAAGAAGTGAAAGATTTTGACTTGCTTCTTTACGCCAGTCCCATGGGAATGTGTGCTCCGCTGGTTGGTGAACTCCTTGGCATTCCACGAGTGGAAATTTTGCTCTTTGCACCAAACACCCCGTTTAGTTTTGACCACATGATTCCCATGCCTGTCTCGTATGTACCGCTAAACATGCTGGGATTCAATGACAAAATGATGTTTATGGAGCGAGTTATCAATTTGGCTGCCTATTTTGGTAGTAAGCTTTTGTGGGATCTTGTAGTTGCTAGTATGATGAACGACCTCAAGGTTAAGTACAACATTAAACCTGAAAGAAGTTACCAGGAAGCTGCTGGTGGTGCTGAACTGGTTTTGATTGCAGCAGATTTTGCATTGGAGTATCCTCAACCTCTGTTACCAGGTATGACATAATTTCAATCATATAATCTTGAGTAACCACTGTCCCATGTAAATTTGCGTGCTAAATTAGAATGAAATTTTATAAATGGGCCAAAAATTAAGCTCAATTTTGTCTGTTTGTCTGTGTTTGTCTATGTCTTAGTATAAATGTCCAGAAATGTATCTTTTTAGTTTCCGTCTAGGAAACGTAACTTTAAACTTTATCGAGACTTCTGAAGGTCAAAGGCTCTTTTCCTGACCTTTATCCATTATACTCACACCAAACGGATTTCACTAAAAAGAGGAATAGGGAACGTGGAACGTTTACAGGCTCACATATTACCTTGCGTCTTGTCTGACAAAGGTATCTGAAATACAGTCCAGTCTCCTCCCCAAAACCACCACCCAAAAGGCGAAGATTTAGTGGTCGCTTACGGGAGGTGGCAGCGTATGAGATTCTCTCTCTCTCTCTCTCTCTCTGTGTTTTTTTTTTTGGCTTCCGAGAAAAGGTTCGAACATATCTACTTTGGAAAGAGAGCTCGTTGCGTGAAATTCGTAGGTTATGATATGTGTAGTTCCATCGACTGCCACTAAAAGTTTGTGGCAGTTTGTGAGTCGTGCAGTACATACAGCGAACATAAAGATCAAACAATGCGTCAAGTTTTCGCATGCAAGAGGTTAAATCAATGGAACATTCTCAAACCATCACTTGAAAAAGTGGTCGCTGTCGCTTAACAGGTGGTCGGCTGGATGGAGGTTCCATCTGTAATGATTTGAACGGCAAAATTTCGGTGTTTTGGGTTGTTGGTCGCCTATGGGAGGAGGTCACTTACGAAGGGTTGTCGTCCATACTATTTCTACTTTAATTTTCAATTAGATGAACAGCTGGTAAGTGCTGTATATTGCCTAACATCGCTTTACCTTGTCACGTTAATCAGAATTATGCCCTTTCTTTTTGTACTTTTTTTTTATGTTGGTGAACAAAAAATTATGAAAGTAAGTTTGGTTGTTTCCAACCTCGTTCCCACTGTCCTCTCCTACGGGTAGGAGAGTACCCTGGGAACGAAGGTTGGGTGTTGTTCTTGGTGTTGCGACTACTATTGTTAGCTCACTTTTGTTCTGTGGTCTGTTCAGTGTTCAGTATCTTTTCATTCTTTTTTATTACGTCATTTGGCGATTGCACCCGTTCGCAACACCAAGAAACTTACCAAGTTTTTAAGCAATCTGGGGGATCTTATTAGTGGGAGGGAGAAAAAACCTACGGTAGACCATTTTGATCACTAGGATTTATTGGTGATCCGATCAGAATTTACACCTCATTAGGGAACCGCTTGGTCGGACCTCTGAATGTCAGAGATACCATTAAACCTCTACCACCTGACCTGGACGAATTTGTAAGCAATTCAGGAGGACATGGTTTTATCATTGTTTCCTTTGGATCCAATGTGGCTTCTATTCTTCCTCGAGAGATTGTAGACATGCTTGCAACAGCTTTTGGAAAGCTAAAACAGCTTGTGGTGTGGAGACTTAAAGGTATTTTATTATTCACGGTCAGTTATCTTTCGTTCAATAGGGAGCTTTAGCATCGACGAAAGCGACGGCAGCGAAAACATCACTTTTAAAAGAATTAGCGTTTTTTCAAACTTTGTCGCGTTTAATCCAAATTGATGAAAATGTCAAATGTAGGCGAATTTCCCTGGAATTGATTTCTTGGGGAACCGCTCGCAAGTTTAGAAAGAAAAAGAAAAATTTGTCGTCGCCTGTTTACGTCCTCCATATAATGTGAAATTAAGCATTTTCACGTCATAGTCCTTCAGTGACGGTAAAGAAATGTACAAAAAACCAAGATGCAATTGCAGAGCTGTTGTTTGGTTTATATAAACTTATTGTTTTTTTGCCGTTCTCGTTGCCGTCGTCTTTGCGAAAGCTCCCTATTATTTCTGCAATGACGCCCCACGTAAGGTAATCCAAGACTGTCTTAGATTCTGGATTCCATGCTGTGGATTCGGGATTCCTTGCTGTGGATTCCGGATTCCTTGTCAGTGGAAGCTGGATTGCGAATTCTACCGTTAGCGGGATTCCGGATTCCTCAATCTAGATTACGGATTCCAAAGCCCAGGATTCCGGATTCCACGAGTAAAGACTTCCTGGATTCCGCAATCCTGATCCCCTTACATGGGGCGAGTGATGAGCGCGGGTATTTCAGGGAAAACATAATGTGTAAAAAAAATTGTGCCTGCCTATTAGCAGCTGGCATTTATTGTGAGTCTGAGAATACAGAATCCATGTTTTTTTCTTTCTCTTGAATTTAAACTTAAGATTCCCTCTTAAGGTAATGACATTTCCTACAACAGATTATTGACCAAAGTCCTTTTTTGCAGGCTATATCCCCGCCTTCCTTGCAAAAAAAATTAAAGTTATGGATTGGTTACCTCAGAATGATTTATTGGCTCACAAAGACATAAAGGCTTTTATTTCTCACGTGGGTCACAACAGTCTTTATGAATCCGCATATCATGGCGTTCCCTTGGTCTGTTTCCCTCTCTACGCAGAGCAGCATGCTAATGCCAAGAAAGTGGAACATTTTGGTCTTGGTTTAGCAGTGTACCATGACCGTACTAATGCTCAGGAACTGTATAAAACGATTGAGCTGGTTATCAGTGAACCAAGGTAATGACAAAAAATAGACTCATTGAATTCTGCAATGCCGATCGTACTACGAGAAAATTTATTTTTGCAAGACATGAACACGACACCGATAGAACCCAAAACAGAGCGGGCTTACGTTGTAGCTGTCAACAGCTGTTTTGCTATTTCTGTGGTTCGTCAGGACGGCGCAAAAACAGACAGAACAAAGACGCTCTGCTGAGAAAATACATACAGTTGTCTTTGATTTTATTCATTAAGAGTATAAGTTAGCTCCAGGGGAACACTTTCTTGTATGGCCCTATAATAATAATAATGTAATTTATATAGCGCTTATACATCGCTGTTCTAAGCGCTTTACAATGTAAAAAAGGACATAAGAATATCATTAAGCACAAGCTTACATATAAACCTACTGTACATATTGGGAACTGAATGTTTGGCTTTTTAGCATACACATCTTAAAAAGGGAAGGAAAAAAAAAACAAGCAAACAAACAAACAAATATGATGGAACTAATCATGAAATTGAGAAGCGCATCATTATGACGTTTATGTAATTTATAAAACTCTTTCTGCGCCATGCGCTAGTTTGGCGTAATTTATGATTAAAAAATGAAATTAAGAGTGATTTTATGGTTTCAGATTCAAACAAAGCGCACTGCTTATATCCAGCCAGTTGAAAGACCGTCGAAGCCCCCCTCTTCAAGAAGCTTGTGATTGGATAGAGTATGTACTAAGGCATGGTGGAGCCAAGCATCTTAGACCTCAAGTGTTTCACATCCCTTGGTACCAATACTATTTACTTGACGTCACTGCTTTTCTTGTTGCTGTAGTTACTGTGATTGTGGTGATGATGTGGTTGACTTGCAAATGCCTGTGTCGTTTGCACTGTAGGAGCGACGATGGCAAAACAAAGAAGGAGTGAAACAAATCAAGTGATGTCGACTTTGGGACTTAAAAATGGCCCTTCTTTACGAGAATAGCGTTCGTTTGAGCGGCCCTGTCAATGTTTCAGTATAATTACATTCTCTTTTCTTGTTGATAACCAGCTGTCGTTAACCAAAGGTGTTTTTCTTTACTAAACTCCTAATAGGGATTTTTAACCAAAAACGGATCGTATCCAAAACTGGATACTTTGGATACACGTTCGGAAGGGTTTTTATGCCACGGATCCGAAAAGAGTGAATACAGCCAGCGGTAACTCAAAATAATTTTAATACATACATCAGCCGTTTGACTAAGCCGCTCATTTTTACGGTCATTTTTGAACCCAAGGTATGGGCTAAACGGTCTATTTAATAGCCGTTTTATCGGGTTGGTAAAATTTCCATACAAACAGGACCTGCATTGCTCTAGTTCACAAGGGACAAAACTGCTACAGAACTTCGCCAGCGCCTCTTGCGCCACTTTACTTTTCAAGTACATATCTTATTGCAAGACTCTTCTTCATTTGGCCCGTCTAAAGCAGCATCCTTGGGCTAATTGTCCAGAATACAATGAAAGATCAGCAAAGTTGCAACATTGTAAGCAGCCGTGCTAAATTCTTTCCCCTTTTTTGGATATCTTTTCTTTTCGAAAAATACTTGTGATCGGGATTTTTGATCTGATCTTAGAGTGCGTTTTTTTGGGAAAATCCAAATCCGGATTTCTGAGTCCAAAAAAAGAACAAAAAAACATTGTCTACGAAAGTTAAGCACATAAGCTTAATTTCTTCGCCGAAGGGTCGAGTTGAAAGGTTTTCCACTTCAATTTCATTAAAATAACAGTTATCGAGATCAAGGGAAGGTGAAGTATCGTCTGGTAAGGCCATGGCCCTCGAGGTTACATGAAACAAATTTTATAAGTTTACTGTAAATGTCGTTGTTTTGATTTTCTTTGCACAAAGTTCCCGCTTCAAGCCTGACACCTTATGAACGACAAACAAATTAATCTTGTTTGAGGAAATTTTAGTGTCTGACTGTTTGTTTTATTCAGAACAAGAAGATCTGATTAAACATAAAAAGACATATTGAATATTGAAACTATTCGTTATATCGGGCTCAAAATCTCTGACATAACTGAAATTATTATGCTCTTTCAGTAGTCAGAGATTTTGTTTTCATTAGCTTCATCACATAATAATAAACATATGTTAATGAATTATTTCATATACTTCACATCAAACATAATAGGGCCATTTATACGAGGAAAAATAAGACGCGTCTTACATAAGACGCGTCGTAAATAAGACGCGAACTGTACCATTTATACCAGCATGTCTTATCTAATAAAACGCGTCTTAGCTAAACCGCGTCTTATTTTAGACGAAATGTGCCGTTTATACGGAAAGTTCGCGTCTTATTTAAGCATATAAGCTTATATTTAAGCATATAAGCATTCCTGTTCATTTCGAGAGACAATTTCGATGTATTAAAATTCATACTTGGCTACGAGGCTTAAGGAAATAAAACAAAAGAAATATATTATTCATCGCTGAGCGTCAAGATGATTCTTTAATTTATTCCCCCAAGCCTCAAAGCCAAGTATGAATTTTAATCGACATTTGTCTATTATATAAGACATTTACCAGATGGTAAATATAGTTAATGGAACATGAAGCCCCAGGGGGGGGGGGGGG